TAACGATTCTTACTCATTCTCAACGCTCAATAGGACAGTATATGTATCGATTTCTGTATAACGATTTCTATTTTAACGACAGATTTCTCCTCGTTAACTCGTTAGAGTTAGCACTTCGTTATATATATATGGCTTTTACAGTACTACAATATAGTACAGCACTTGGCACATTGAGGGTTGTACCAAAAGCATGATGCTGCACCACTTTTAGCTTAGCCCCCTCCCCTATCCTCTTCAAATTTGTGCACACTCTTGAATAATGCATCCTCATAATCCTTGGACAATAGCCATTGAGGATTATAGTCCAGTACAACAGTGTGAATAATGGCAATGAGCGTGCAAACATGATATGCTCCATGTGAGAAGCAATGCAGATTGGCATAACCATGTACTAGCTAATCCAGCCACGTCTGCCCACCCCATCCCACACCTCTACCTCTCAGGTGGCGCGGTTGCTTGATTAATCCTACAAGAGTCAGCCTATGTCACCACCACCGAACCTGCACAAAACTCCAACAACCAGCCTATGTCACCGCCACCGAACCTGAAAAACACTTCAGGGAGTCATCCAGAAGGCCTTCCCGACAAACGGCAAGCAGCATATGAAGAGACCGTAACATGGAGGCATCCTTTTGGAACTTTTGGAAAACAATGTATTGAAAAGATGGCTCGATTGAAGAAGGTGTCTGCTATGAACTTTGGAGCTCACGCATCCTGCTGGCTGACTGACACTTGACTGACTAACGACTACCGTCTGGAGCACACGAGAAGCATATTGAACTTTCCACTCGGCAAACCTGCAAGAAACACCATTCCCTGCTCAATACACAGTGTTTCAGTGAATCCACCCCTCATAAGATGAGCTTGAGTAGGCTAATAAAAATCGTGCTCAGAGATCATGACTTTATGTAGTGCTCTCCGAGATATAACATCACAAGGGATTTCAACGTACAGGGCAGGCGCCTTTTTGACATTTGGGTGGCACAGCCAAGGTCGGAACTGTTAAAGAGCCAGCAAATCACCACCCAGCTCCAGACCAATGAGAGGCAGAAGAAGCAGAATAGCGAGCGCATCAATCAGATCGATCGTGGAACACCCACGTCCCTAGATCTCACAATCAATGTCATGGTCGGCAAGGAATACTCAATCTTACTGAAGTCTTTGGTCAGCCTGATTATGGAGAAGAATTCAGATTTGATGTATTCAGCCGGGGCTCGTCATTTGCGTTTCCGTCTGTCATTTTGTTTGCTTCGGTGGTGCATCACCTGCCTGTGTGGCTCTCAGTCATCATACTGGTGACAGCGCTCAGCCAGAGTATGATGTGGAGAAAGTACATCAGGTAACTATACTGCTGCAGTCTGTTACTATTGGTTTGGTTTCATAAGCACTTTGTTCTGTTTCGGTGGCAAAAATTCTACGCTCCCACAATCCTTGTTGTTAGACTGATCAATGCCATTGTGTTTGGCTTGCTGTTCCCTTTGAAAAATTACTTTGATTGACTACTATTGATAACTTAATTCATTTCTTTTGCCCGTACAAGAGGCCTTCAGTGGCAGCAGTGGTGGCAGTGGCAGCAGTGGCAGCAGTGGTGGTAGTGGCAGCAGTGGTGGTAGTGGCAGCAGTGGTGGCAGTGGCAGCAGTGGTGGCAGTGGTGGCAGTGGCAGCAGCGGTGGCAGTGGTGGCAGTGGCAGCAGTGGTGGCAGTGGTGGCAGTGGCAGCAGTGGTGGCAGTGGTGGCAGTGGCAGCAGTGGTGGTAGTGGTGGTAGTGGCAGCAGTGGTGGTAGTGGCAGCAGTGGTGGTAGTGGTGGCAGTGGCAGCAGTGGTGGTAGTGGCAGCAGTGGTGGCAGTGGTGGCAGTGGCAGCAGTGGTGGTAGTGGCAGCAGTGGTGGTAGTGGTGGCAGTGGCAGCAGTGGTGGTAGTGGCAGCAGTGGTGGCAGTGGTGGTAGTGGCAGCAGTGGTGGCAGTGGTGGTAGTGGCAGCAGTGGTGGTAGTGGTGGTAGTGGCAGCAGTGGTGGTAGTGGCAGCAGTGGTGGTAGTGGCAGCAGTGGTGGTAGTGGCAGCAGTGGTGGTAGTGGCAGCAGTGGTGGTAGTGGCAGCAGTGGTGGTAGTGGCAGCAGTGGTGGTAGTGGCAGCAGTGGTGGTAGTGGCAGCAGTGGTGGTAGTGGCAGCAGTGGTGGTAGTGGCAGCAGTGGTGGTAGTGGCAGCAGTGGTGGTAGTGGCAGCAGTGGTGGCAGTGGCAGCAGTGGTGGCAGTGGCAGCAGTGGTGGCAGTGGCAGCAGTGGTGGTAGTGGCAGCAGTGGTGGCAGTGGCAGCAGTGGTGGTAGTGGCAGCAGTGGTGGTAGTGGCAGCAGTGGTGGTAGTGGCAGCAGTGGTGGTAGTGGCAGCAGTGGTGGTAGTGGCAGCAGTGGTGGTAGTGGCAGCAGTGGTGGCAGTGGCAGCAGTGGTGGTAGTGGCAGCAGTGGTGGCAGCGGTGGCAGTGGCAGCAGTGGTGGTAGTGGTGGTAGTGGCAGCAGTGGTGGTAGTGGCAGCAGTGGTGGTAGTGGTGGCAGTGGCAGCAGTGGTGGTAGTGGCAGCAGTGGTGGCAGTGGTGGCAGTGGCAGCAGTGGTGGTAGTGGCAGCAGTGGTGGTAGTGGTGGCAGTGGCAGCAGTGGTGGTAGTGGCAGCAGTGGTGGCAGTGGTGGTAGTGGCAGCAGTGGTGGTAGTGGTGGTAGTGGCAGCAGTGGTGGTAGTGGCAGCAGTGGTGGTAGTGGCAGCAGTGGTGGTAGTGGCAGCAGTGGTGGTAGTGGCAGCAGTGGTGGTAGTGGCAGCAGTGGTGGTAGTGGCAGCAGTGGTGGTAGTGGCAGCAGTGGTGGTAGTGGCAGCAGTGGTGGTAGTGGCAGCAGTGGTGGTAGTGGCAGCAGTGGTGGCAGTGGCAGCAGTGGTGGTAGTGGCAGCAGTGGTGGTAGTGGCAGCAGTGGTGGTAGTGGCAGCAGTGGTGGCAGTGGCAGCAGTGGTGGTAGTGGTGGTAGTGGCAGCAGCAGTGGTAGTGGCAGAAGTGGTGGCAGTGGCAGCAGTGGTGGCAGTGGCAGCAGTGGTAGTGGCAGCAGCAGTGGTAGTGGCAGCAGTGGTGGCAGTGGTGGTAGTGATAGCAGTGGTGGTAGTGGCAGCAGTGGTGGCAGTGGCAGCAGTGGTGGTAGTGGTGGTAGTGGCAGCAGCAGTGGTAGTGGCAGCAGTGGTGGTAGTGGCAGCAGTGGTGGTAGTGATAGCAGTGGTGGCAGTGGCAGCAGTGGTGGTAGTGGTGGTAGTGGCAGCAGCAGTGGTAGTGGCAGCAGTGGTGGTAGTGGCAGCAGTGGTGGTAGTGGCAGCAGTGGTGGTAGTGGCAGCAGTGGTGGTAGTGATAGCAGCATAGACATACATGTATGGGTATTCTTACCTATTCAAGTGATCACCATACTGGGTGAAGATATCAATCAGACCTTCATAATCATAGTGCTGACTCTTGGCTAGGCTACATGCACGCACCATGTACCATGCACACACACGCACGCACGCACGCACACACACACACCACACACACACAGGCAACATAGGCACATACATACAGGCACGCACACAGACACCCAAGCACGTACGCATGCACAACACACAGGTACAACTGTCTTCACAATCATTCTATTTTCAGCACAGTGTCACACGCTAAAGGCATACGAAACATAGGGTCCATATGACAGGTACCGATCACTCATAGGTACTCATCATTCATAGGTACTTATCAACCATACAATCTCATCGTCCATATCATTACATACTCATCGTCTACTCAAATCTGTGGACAGCAACTGTTTCGCTCTGTTAGAGCTCCTCAGCACAGCTCAGAGGACCGAAGCGCAGCTCTTCGCAATGAAATACGTTTCCGTGAAGCAAAGCATTTTTATAAAGAGCTGCAAACCCCGCCAAGAGTGCACGAATGGTCTATGTTTACTCATCTTCTACACAGCAATGTTGTATTACTGGCTCTGTCCACTGGACATAGAGCACTGTACGCAGCCTGAGGACCTTAGACAACTGTCTATACTCATCATCCATACATACTCATCGTCTATGTATACTCATCATCCATACATTCTCATTGTCTACGCATAGGTACTAATAGCCCATAGGTACTCATCTATCACAGGTACTTAGCATCCATGGGTGCTCATTATTGCAATCACAAACACTACTTTGCTAGTGGAGAATTGTAACGTTTACTAACGTGCTAAAAGCCTTGCGCCGCCGCCTTGTACGAGTAAGTCAAATGCTCATTCATTGTCCGGGTCCGAGGATTCGAAGGAGCTCTGCAGAATGACTAATTTATCTGACTTTGCGCCTTTTCGTTTGCTAGCTGCTTTGAGTGACGTTTTGCATTGTACTTGGTTCGTTGTGGAATACACAAGGTCTCCATTTTAAAGCACACAACATGAAGGAGGACTGGAACGGTCAATACCCAACACAATTCAGACTGGAACGGTCAATACCCAACACAATTCAGACTGGAACGGTCAATACCCAACACAATTCAGACTGGAACGGTCAATACCCAACACAATTCAGACTGGAACGGTCAATACCCAACACAATTCAGACTGGAACGGTCAATACCCAACACAATTCAGACTGGAACGGTCAATACTGAACACAATTCAGACTGGAACGGTCAATACTGAACACAATTCAGACTGGAACGGTCAATACTGAACACAATTCAGACTGGAACGGTCAATACTGAACACAATTCAGACTGGAACGGTCAATACCGAACACAATTCAGACTGGAACGGTCAATACCCAACACAATTCAGACTGGAACGGTCAATACCCAACACAATTCAGAAGAGATATGATTGTTAGGTGTGCACACACACACATACTTGATAGCCATCTGGTAGAGGTTCTTCTTGAAGAGCATGTCCAGCTTGGTCTGAGTGTCTTTCTCATCCAATCGATACAGCTACATACAGCAAACAACAGAACACAGTCATATTCATTTATTCAACATGACATATGACAACCAAACCCACATCTCCACACGTGACACCTTTAGACCTTAGATCCCCATCGCCAGAGGCGATGATTGCGCTGCTGTAGCAAGAAGGAGCCACGGGTGTGTGTGATCTCCGGTAGCCTAATTTGTACGAGGGCACTGTCCCGGAAAGACAGGGGTGCTGGGTTCGAATCCCGCTCGTGGATCCTTCTTTTGCAACAATGCCATAGCAGGACACATAGATAGCTGCCTTGGCCGCAACATAATGCAGAACACACACATGCGTGTGCGCACACACACACACACACACACACACACACACACACACACACACACACACACATACCCCCCCCCCACACACACACACGCGCGCACGCATGCACGCACACACACACACACACGCACAAATTGTGCTGGGATTGTAGCATTCAATAAGCTTGCGAGACTGAGGAAGTAACAGCCACTATTTCACATGGTCTACATGTATACCAGCAAGCCTTTTGAGGTGGCTTTTCAGGTCAGAGAATCCCTACTTTTTGGTCTCTTTCTTTTTTCTTCCTTTTTCACCGTGCACACATCCGACCACATACTTCAGCTGTTGGTGACTACTCAGGAGAATTACAGAAAAGTCAGGAGGAGAACGAGAAAGAAAAGCAAGACTTATGTGACCATTATCGTCGGGAATAGAACCCACAACCCTCTCAATTGGAAATCAGCCGCACGTAACAGTTACCATTGTACCACTATACCATATGTACCATATACACTATGTACACCATGTACACCATGTACCATATACACCATGTACCATGTACACCATGTACACCATGTACCATATACACCATATACACCATGTACCATATACACTATGTACCATGTACACCATGTACACCATGTACCATATACACTATGTACACCATGTACCATATACACCATGTACACCATATACACCATGTACACCATGTACCATATACACCATGTACCATATACACCATGTACCATATACACCATATACACCATATACACCATGTACCATATACACCATGTACACCATGTACCATGTACCATAATTATACACTATGTACACCATGTACCATATACACCATGTACACCATATACACCATGTACACCATGTACCATATACACCATGTACCATATACACCATGTACCATATACACCATATACACCATATACACCATGTACCATATACACCATGTACACCATGTACCATATACACCATGTACCATATACACCATGTACCATGTACCATGTACACCATGTACCATGTACCATGTACCATGTACACGCCCGTCACAAGAGAAGCACGCAAATCCGCAAATACACTCGATGTGCACCCACAGATTTCTCTTATAGCAACGATAGCGGGCAAGATCTGAACGAAACAGATCAAGACTAGCGCCAGCTAACTGCCTAATCCACGCAACTGGCGAGGCCATGTGAATTGACCCCCAATGCACACTTGGTCCACACCACGCGGAGCACAATGGAATAGGACGGCCAAGGCAGCTATCTATGCACATCCTACACTTGCTGGGGTAACCAGTAAAGACAGCACGCTGCTTAGATAGAAGCAGACACTAGATGCACTGGTACCTTGTACCATATGGTACATGTGACAAACGCACACACTCATGCACGCACTACCACCACAACACACAAACACGGACCATGTACCATGTACCATGTACGCCAGTCGCAAGAGAAGCACGCAAATCTGCAAATACACTGGATGCACACACACACACACACACACACACGCGCGCGCGCGCGCGCGCGCTCCTGCGCACGTGCACACACACACACACACGCACACACACCTTGTTGTCAGTTGAGATGATGAAGAGAGATCCCCACTCAGCAACGATGTCAACAATCTCAGGCAAAGGTGATGAATATGCTGTAGTCAAAACACATCCAAACATACACACACACCCACGTGCACGCATGTATGATATACATAATCAATGATCACATCCCAATACCTCTAGTATTTCTAAGGAAAATGATGACCAGCAAATAGAAATGGACATCATTTCTATAGTGGATTAGTGCCATTGAGTCATGTAGATCAACTGGATGGGGAGCCAAGTTGTCAGTTAGTACAAGACAGAAATACACTGATAGTTTGTCCTTGACACACAACAATGTCTTCACTGTGAAAGACGTGCAATTTGACTGTATGAAGTGCAAAGCAGGATTTACCGGATTCTTGTGAAATGCGATGGGTGACATCCAAGAGTGGTACGAACTTGCAAAATACGATTCCCAGCAGAAGTCAACAAAGTGATGTGGCTTGATGATTTTTCACAGTACACAACTCCGGTGTGTATGATTGCCTGACATGCACACATTGCTACTCGAGAAATTATGATTCCCTGACATGCACAAGCAGCTGGGTACACCTTGGACAAATCCATTTGCAACTCCTTCATCCAATGTATATGTGCATCATTTCATGCAAAACAAGGAATATCCAAGAAGACTAGCATCTGTATTCCAGATTGCATTTTGAAAGTTGACAATAGGGAGGTTTAGTCCCATGTAATCCGTCGGTACTTTACGTGTGTGTACCACGTGATACTCAGTGACCCACGTACAGACGTTTTCTGATTCACGACATACCGTGTATGGAGGCTCACCCACGTTCCGCCAGAATGTGGGTGAAAATCAGAATGGAGCGCATTGTGCGAGCTGTGAGGGTGCTCAGCTGAAGAAGTTTCCGAAGCACGAAATCAAAATATTGGATGAGCTTCTTAGGCCTGGGTAGCTTCGTCTTTGACCAGGTTTGGGCCTTTCGCTTCATGCTTTTGTTTGTTCCGTGTGACTAAACACAACATTGCAACGTGGGTGCCCTTCATCCACTTTACGTGGATCACCCACGTACGCGTTTCCGTTACGTGGGAACTAAACCTCCCTAATATGAGCCAAGCTCAACTTCTGCAATCAGCCAAATGCAAAGGTTGTGGAGTAAAGCAGTGGGCATCATCAGGGTTGTCTCCCTTGGTCTAGAAGCTGCCACATGGCTCATTGCATCGGAAAAAATCCTTCCGTGAATACCACTTCCAATGTGAGAATGACATGTCCAAAAAAGGCAGAGTGATGGCCAAAAGGAAATAAGGGCAACATGCTGGTATGTACCGTCATGCCACTGGTTGTCAGCAAGACACAGATCTACATTGTAGGGCTAATCCAGGACCCTGGTAAGATTACATGTACACAAAAAATCTTCAAGCAAAGACACAAGCATCAACTCAGGATCAAAACTAAACAGTCTTCTTACCCGTGAATTTGTTTTGAATGTCATATATCGTCAATGTGCACATGCCCCTGAAGAAACACACCATGAACACACCATGAACAAAATCAATCCAGTTGAGGTGATCTGCGGTCACATCACCTTCAGAAATGGGACCATATGTAGTACAATGCTGATAACATGGAACCCCTCGGGATGGTAGAAGACATTCGCCTTATCCGAGTTTCATCTTATCCAAAATCACGCGGATCGCACAGTATGTGATGCTGAATCGAAGAGGAATAGTGAATATTAAGCAGCATTGTTGGCGAAGTGAGGGATGCTCTTTCTTGAACAGCTGCGAAGTCTACAGCAGCTTTGTTGGTCAGAAGAGTAGACTTGATAATGACCGGCTGTAGCTGACCTGGCAGCTAAACAGAGTACGCTACAAAGGCTGGACAACCACTGCTGTAGTGAAGATGCAAGGCATGCTGGCTAAGGCCCGATGTAGAGGTATTTTGATACACGATGCTTGACAGAAGGAGTCTAGACTCTAGAATCATTGCGGGTGAATGGAATGACTTGAATAGCTGTATGGGATAGTGGCCCTAAAGTCACCATTATAAAAAAATTGGATACCATTCCCTCCCATCAGTGCTGAGCATTTACATATCTGGGTTGATTTTTGACACCAGATTAACACACTTGTGAACTGCCCATGCTGAATACGAGTTGGAATTTATCTGGCAAATAGCTCTCACCCTTGTCTAGCCATGGTCTTCGTGTCCAGACTGGCGACAACTAGATAGTTTCGGAACCACAACACACGTGTCTTGTCACCTGAACAACAACAACAACAGCAGCAGCAGCAAGGAATATTCAGCATTCACATGTGTAATAAACAGCAGCCATACACCCATTCAACCTGGGTATTCGGTTCATCTGTGTGCTGCGTTGCATTAGCCAATCAACGCGACAAAAGAGCAAATTCCAAAACCATACTTCGTGCAAAAAATGGTGCAAACTACTGTCGTGGACATGGAAATCCGGTCGCACGTCTAGCGGCCCCAGGGCGCTGGCCATGCAGCCGCAGGTGAGCGGTACACACATGCATGCATGCATGCATGTGCTGCAGCGCGCTGGTCGCATCGGATTAACATGTGCACTGCATGCAACGTTCTGTGCGCGCTGAGGGCGCCGGCCCCGGTCATTTGACTGGATTTCCATGTCCACGACAGTACAAAACACAAGACTACATACAAATGTGGATAAGTTGCTGCCAGGTAACACAAATCTTACCTTCAAATGCCAAGCAAGGGCCACGACCATCTGGCTGATAGAAATACAGAGCCTACAAGCATGTAGCACATTCATGCATACAGGTGAACAAACATACAGGTTGCAAACATAATATGAAATATACTACTGTAGAGGCAGAAAATTTCGCCGGTCAATAATTTCGTCTAACTCCAAAGAAAAGGAGTCCGTCCGGTTGTAAATTTCGTCCATGGATCATAAGTGTATAGCAAAGCAGGGCAAATCGACATTAGTCCTACATTTAATTTAGTCCAAAAGCTCCTTGGACGAAAAAGACGAAATTAAATTCCAGACGAATTTTTCTGCTTATACAGTATGTAGGTTCACGAACACAGACACAAGTTATATGCATGTGTTCTCACACATACACCCACATGCACATACACCCACAAACACACACACACGCACGCACGCACGCACGCACGCACGCACGCACGCACGCACGCACGCACGCACGCACGCACGCACGCACGCACGCACGCACGCACGCACGCACGCACACACACACACACACACACACACACACACACACACACACACACACACACACACACACACACACACACACACACACACACACACAAACACAAACACACACACACACACACAAAACAATTTGACAGATGCCCATCAAGGAGAGTTGAGCTGTCAAACAGACAGTAAAAAGTAAAGCAGTAGCTTCTAAGAACACTGATTTATTGCAGACGTGTGCAGTTACAAGCACCTAAACGTGGGTATACTCTTATCGGTGGAGCGTAGTATATGGATGCCTCCCTAGAAGACACATTTAAAAAGAAATGTACTTGTACATGTAGCATGTGAATGATGGCAATTACAAACAAGTAACTCTAGACTCACATCACTCTTGCCGACAACAAACTGGAAGTCCTGCGTGTGGTTGCTTAGTGTGGAGCAGTTCACATGGCAACCATGCATGTCGAGCACATTCTATGAACAGCAAAAAGGGCAACAGCAGTAACAGGAGCAGCAGAGGCAACAGCAGCAACAATCCAGAGTTATGGACGATTGAAGTTTTGAAAATGATCACCTGTGTAGTCACAGAAAGCAACACAAGCATGTATGGGGACGGTGTGGTTTCCGTCCGGCACTGCACTTCTGGTGTGTGCATGCACGTGCGAGCTGTAGTGCATGGCGATACAGGATATGGGTGTCGACATACATGCCATGTGCGCGTACTTGCACAACTCACACGCTTTCATCGTCACCGCTTCACAGTGTGCGTGCAGTTCACTCGATTTTTCCGCCCACCGCCGGGAAATCACCGTGGGCTGGTTTCGGCGATCATTTTCCTTCTACCGCGATGAAGCGCTAGCCTAAATATTCTAGAATCCTCTTGTTTTAGACTAATTCGAGGCAGCTGAACACAAAAATCAGGTGTTCCTGCCGAGTATGCATCCGGTCAAAAGTAGTATTTCGCAATGCCTCAGCGCAAAGCGCAGCTCCGTTTTTTAAAGCACGGCATGTGTGGCATCAATGAAAAGGTAATGACTTCAGCTACCCAAAAAATAGCATTGGCAAGGGAGAAGTGGCTACAGGAGAAGATAGAAGCAGGCTCGAAGTCAGCCCAAACAGCTGCCACGTGGGGTCCATTGCATTCGTAGACACAAGTCGGGACTGCAGTGTTCACCTGTCCCGGGCTGGAACTGAACTTCCTATCCATAGCCATGGCAGGGGGGGGGGGGGGGGGAGCATGGTGGTGTTCATGCAGGATTCGAGATAAGAACAAGACTACCCTCCAGCAAATCAGATATCAGAATTTCCATGTTCGCAGCACCAGCACCACCACACAGTTGACAATTTCAAGGGCTCAACAATCAGATTTCTACATGTAGCCACAAATTGCTTTGGAAAAGATTCAAATCACCATTGTACATTAGGAAACCCCTCAACGCATAGAATATATAATTCATACCCTGAAATCTTTGTGAGTCAAGTTGTACGATGTGATAGTGTCTGTTGTAGCCACAAATAGAACTGTCTGGCCAGACACATGGCGGAAAGCAAGACCTATCGAAAGAAGTAGGCATAACACATGCATATGCACACGTACACGCACACACGCACACAGCGCGCACACACACACACACACACACACAGCGCACACACATACACACATGGATACACGCACGTGCATATGTGCACACATAATTATAGAGTGTGAGTGAGTTAGAATGAGACCGGGAGGCAGACAGGGGGAGAGAGAGAGAGAGAGAGAGAGAGAGAGAGAGAGAGAGAGAGAGAGAGAGAGAGAGAGAGCGAGAGAGAGAGAGAGAGAGAGAGAGAGAGAGAGAGAGAGAGAGCGAGAGAGCGAGAGAGCGAGAGAGCGAGAGAGCGAGAGAGCGAGAGAGCGAGAGAGCGAGAGAGCGAGAGAGCGAGAGAGCGAGAGAGCGAGAGAGCGAGAGAGCGAGAGAGCGAGAGAGCGAGAGAGCGAGAGAGCGAGAGAGCGAGAGAGCGAGAGAGCGAGAGAGAGAGAGAGAGAGAGAGAGAGAGAGAGAGAGAGAGAGAGAGAGAGAGAGAGAGAGAGAGAGAGAGAGAGAGAGAGAGAGAGAGAGAGAGAGACTGCATAAGCAGAAACATTCGTCTGGAATTTGATTTCGGCTTTTTCGTCCAAAGAGCTTTTGGACAAGATTAAATGCCAGACTAATGTCGATTTGTCCAGCTTTTCAATACACTCTTATGATCCATGGACGAAATTTTCAACCGGACCGACGAACTCCCTTTCTTTGGAGTTGGACGACGTTATTGACCGACAAAATGTTCTGCCTGTACAGTAGAGAGATAGAGAAAGAGAGACGGAGAGGGAGGTGCGCATGTGTGCATGCGTGCGTGCGATTGATGTGTTAGATGTCCTGGGTGGCAGAGAGAACCTTCAAGCAATGGCTTTTGGCTCGGCCTCTCCATGAAAATTTCTGCTTGCGTACATTAACTTTTTAGACCCCCCAGGTCTAAGAAAGAACACATCATTCAGAGAGCAATGCCTCCAAGGGGAACTATAAGAACTTAGGGCAGGGTAAATGAGCACTTACCAGTGACGGGATGCTTGTCAGAATGGATCACCCTAGTCTTGCTGTGCCTGTGCTCAACAACAACAGCAGCAGCAGCAACACAAGAGTAGCAGTAGTAGCTCAGAGCTTTGTGCGTTCAATAAAACACCTTTTAGTAGTAGGAGCAGATAGCAGGAAGAACTCTTTGACTTTGAGGTGGGGGAATATATCTAATAAAATGGCTTTAAATCAAGCAGAGGACCAACACTGATTTCATTGAACTCTGCCATACATAATTATTTTATAAGAAGAAAAGAGGACCAAGGAGCTACAAGTTACGCTATAATATCCACTAACACCACTGCAGTTACTTTACAATCAGCTCATGTGATAACATTGCACGACACTGACCAACTTCTTATCTATTAATCCTTGGCTCTCCACCCAAGTCTAACTATACATTATTATTATACAAAATTATATAAAATTATAGAATGCAGGGCAAGTGTAAGAAAAATAATGTGCTGGACACATATCCGTGAAATAGTGAAGATCAAGACACCTCTTGGGCATGAAATCAACCCCAAGGTGTCCAGATTTTTTAATCATGATGCCCCATCAGGGAGTCGTACTCAAACTAGGGAGGTGACACGGCACAGAAATCCGTGTCACAGGGGTTGACTCGCACCCGTGACCCCTCGTTGTTATTTTTGGAATAGTTCAGTCCAGTCCGGTCCGAAAGGTCATACTCGGACCGACTCGCCTTCTGTACTTCACCTCCAAGCGTGCAACGCAAGACCCGCAAAGTATGATTTTTCTGTGGGGAACGATTTTGCCATTGATCAAGTTTTTATTGGAGTGCTCAGGTACACTACGATTGCTGAGACGTCCCGAGCACGCTTGTTCAGGTTCTCTATTTTTGACGAGCCGGTCCTACAGCCCCCTACATTGTATCTAACGACATAGGAGCTGACAATGTAAGAGGATTTCCCTGGAAATAATGATGATGGTGGTGTGACTGCTGCAGGAAAAATGCTGGCTGTTTATGACAGTATGACTAGATGTACAATGTAGCTCTCTTGTATGGTACTTAACCTCTGCTATAAATGTGTTATTTAGGAAGACTGGTGTATTGTGCAAGTCATAAAGAAGAAATGGGGCAGATACACGACTCACAATTTTCAAAAACCAGCTTCGTGTTATGTGTAATTTGTGTCAAAATTGTAGTATTTAGACATGACAATATCATTGGCTGTACTTCTCTTATATGGTACATAACCCCTGCTATAAATGTGTTATTTAGGCAGACTGGACCATTGTGCAAGTCATAAAGAAGAAATGGGGCAGATACACGACTTACAATTTTCAAAACCTGGCTTCGTGTTATGTGTAATTTGTGTCAAAATTGTAGTATTTCAACATGACAATATCACTGGCTGTACTTCTCTTATATGGTACTTAACCCCTGCTATAAATGTGTTGTTTAGGAAGACTGGTGTATTGTGCAAGTCATAAAGAAGAAATGGGGCAGATACACGACTTCCAATTTTCAAAAACCAGCTTCGTGTTATGTGTAATTTGTGTCAAAATTGTAGTATTTAGACATGACAATATCATTGGCTGTACTTCTCTAATATGGTACATAACCCCTGCTATAAATGTGTTATTTAGGCAGACTGGACCATTGTGCAAGTCATAAAGAAGAAGTGGGGCAGATACACGACTTACAATTTTCAAAACCTGGCTTCGTGTTATGTGTAATTTGTGTCAAAATTGTAGTATTTCAACATGACAATATCACTGGCTGTACTTCTCTTATATGGTACATAACCCCTGCTATAAATGTGTTGTTTAGGAAGACTGGTGTATTGTGCAAGTCATAAAGAAGAAATGGGGCAGATACACGACTTCCAATTTTCAAAAACCAGCTTCGTGTTATGTGCAATTTGGGTCAATTTTTAGTATTCGGATTAACCTAGGATACGACTCTGAACAGTTCTGAACAGTTACCGCAACACTACACGCCGTTTCATAACTGCTGCTGTTGCCATCACTGCTATCAAGTAGTTCGGACATGGCAGGAGCTAAAAAAATTGCTGGTAGTCTTTCAAAGAATACTGGCGAGTGATGGGCTGTAAACGAAATGTGCTGCCTCAATAATTTCAAAAACTAGACACCCATGCTTGGAGGTGAAGTACAGAAGGCGAGTCTCCCGAGTATGACCTTTCGGACTGGACTGGACTGAACTATTCCAAAAATAACAACGAGGGGTCACGGGTGCGAGTCAACCCCTGTGACACGGATTTCTGTGCCGTGTCACCTCCCTAGTTTGAGTACGACTCCCTGTGCCCCATACAGGACGCACCCAGTGTGCTGAAAGTGCTCAGATGTGGCGGAGGCAGAGCGTACTACATTTACACAATAGCACAGTGAAGCAAGGCTAAGGTGGTGTAATTCTGAGTTTCACACACATAGCACGATCAACAGGCAACACGGTAAATAGTGCTTTCATCATGCCAGTACAGTCTGTATCGCCTATAAGGTTGGCGGCTATCTCTTAATTTGCTGACCCAAAATCCTATATATAGGATTTGAAAATATGTGCGTTTTATGCCGTTGTTATTGGTCATCACGACCAATAATAACGGCATAATGGTTTTCATGGAAGTTGTAAATATGTTTGAGGCATGAATCTTTACATTTTAGATTCATAGGGCGATAATATTTCTGATGAATACCCATTCTCAGCAATAATTTGAAATTTGAGCATAATTGTTCAGCTGCTGTCATGGAAAGGACTGAAGCAGTGAATGTGCAGAAGAACATTGCAGGCGTGGCACGGGGTGGTTTCATGACGACATATCGCACATGCCGTCATGAAACTACCAGTTTCAAGGATAAAACAAGGTCCAATAAAATCTCAAATCCTATATATAGGATTCGAAAAATAGGGCACAGGCCTTTGTAATATTGGGCAAGGAGATGAGCCTGAGATGTTAGTGTTTGAAAAAGTTATCTTATTCAACTCTCGATATCTACTAAGACCTAGCAAGGAAGAATTGGTAACATACGTTTCCCTATGCTCGTGCCACACCCATTTTGAGTTGAAAAATATGACCAAAATCCTATATATATAGGATTTAGCAAATTAAGAGATAGTAATATACCGGATATAGTGATCAATTTCTCAAATTCATTTTCATTTGCCATAACTAAGTATACACAGTTATCGCGTATAGTAATAATAGTCTATAGTAATATATCGCCTATAGTGATCAAATTCATATTTCAAAAGACCTTTATTACATTATTTTTGCATCGGTTATAGTGACTGGTGTAAAATCAAGCGCTGTCAGAGGAGAACAGGCTGTTACTTCTTCGTGAAGAACTTGTCCAGTGAGTGTTGTTTGGTGAGTTTTGCTCGTACAAGTTGCCAAAATAGGGAGGTTTAGTTCCCACGTAACGGAAACGCGTACGTGGGTGATCCACGTAAAGTGGATGAAGGGCACCCACGTTGCAATGTTGTGTTTAGTCACACGGAACAAACAAAAGCATGAAGCGAAAGGCCCAAACCTGGTCAAAGACGAAGCTACCCAGGCCTAAGAAGCTCATCCAATATTTTGATTTCGTGCTTCGGAAACTTCTTCAGCTGAGCACCCTCACAGCTCGCACAATGCGCTCCATTCTGATTTTCACCCACGTTCTGGCGGAACGTGGGTGAGCCTCCATACACGGTATGTCGTGAATCAGAAAACGTCATTACGTGGGTCACTGAGTATCACGTGGTACACACACGTAAAGTACCCACGGATTACGTGGGACTAAACCTCCCTAATATGCCTCCATCGTGAGGAAATGCTGATTTCGTGTGTCAGGAGCTACAGCCAGCTACATGACATTGTACATGTATGTAGTGCGTATGTGCACGGCGCGCTGAGTCGTTTGACACCCCACTCGCATACATTGCATGCAGTATCGGTCATAATAATATATCGCTTAGGCCATGGTAAAAATTATCTTTGATTCTCAAGTACGCGCGCACCGATTTTTGGCGGCGCACCGACGAATTTTTTTATTTCTATGCATGCATATGCGCGCATGAAAACGATCCATGCGAAAGGCATGAATCAGGGAGTAGTAAAATACCGGTATTTGTCTACTCCCTGGCCTGAATAATAAAATAAATTTAAACAATTATATGAACCTGTGACGTACATATGTGTGACCCTATCTTTGGAAATAAAAAAATTGTGGGAAATAAAATAAAAAATCGCTCGCTCGCACCGGTTTTCACATGCTCATGACCTGAGAATCAACTTTATTTTTTACCATGGCCTTATAGTGATAAAATGCTCAAAATCAAACACCAACGCTATAGGCGATATTGACTGTATATGTACAAGGAAGAGGGGGTGCAAGCAGCGGCAATGTTGAAATGTCAGTGGTCCTGGGTGTGCTGCTATTCTTTGGCTGTTGGGTTGTCATTGAATATGAGCAGTGAGAATATATATCTGTGTTTGTTGTGAAGCCCACACAGTCGCACATACAACAAGTGACTCAGCTTCTCTCTAGATAGTAGTGTCTCTACAACAGGTTGCATCTTGACCAGGCACTTGTACAAAAGCTTACTCACCGCTCACGTGTGATATCACCCCGTACCAACAACACGCTACCATCACAGAAGCCAACAGCCATTGCTTGTAGGTTCTCATGTGCTGCCACGCAGGATACCTAACACATCAATCAGACACGCACACATGGATACACGCACACATACATACATTGACATACGCATACATGCACACACATAAAAAAGTGCCACTGCGCGCATCACTACACGGCACTGTCGCCCGTTCACACTGGAAAAGTGGCCGCTTTGTATGGTTGCGTCCCCGCCTATGATACGAAAAATTGAACAGATTCAACTTTTCCATCACTTCCCGATTTGCATGGATGATGGTGGTATGGTTGCGTTCCCGTTCCTGGTGTTCACATTCGATATCATCATGAGTGTCTCGTCGTTCCTTACGTTGTGTCACATCGGACCTTAATTCATCCTTGATGTCATCCTACCCAAAGGGTTAGGGATATTACTAATATAATTCTATTGCGGACATTAGGCGGCTTGCAGTGGAGTGTACACAGTACACTGCATACCATATACAGTACTGCATACGGGACACATTACACTGCACACGGTACTTACTGCAACAGGTTTAGTGCCAGGTGCTACACGTAACATGCGTACACACACTGGCAGGTTCATTGAGTCACGCTGGTATATGAAAGAGAGTAGATACAGATACCCACACACATGGTCAGTCAGTCAGTCAGACAGACAGACAGACAGACCCAGATCGATAGACACACAAACAATACAGCACAATAATACCCATTCGCAGATGATGGTACACACACGCACGCACGCACACACACACACCCACACACACACACACACACACACACACACACGCACACGCACACAATGAGTGAATTCTCGGAAATGCAATATTCCCACCCCATCGCCACCACATTTCGGCCCAGTCCACACAAGGAAGAAAAAGCATTTAGTCTCAATGGCTCGTAAGAGTTCACACAGCACCACGCTTCTCCTGCACTGTTGCGGTCCTGACAAGGACAAAGTTTGCCATGACAACACTGCTGTGTAAGCTGATGAGAAATACATACCTATAATTACCCCGCCCAGAACACCGTTCAGAATGTTGGAAGTCATTTACACAGCTGTAGTGGTGGTGGTGGGGGGGGGGGGGCTGTTGTAAAAAAAATCTCCACCCGCAGTGCACTTTCCAAGCACTGAAACAAGGCCTAGGTATACACTCCGTCAGCCATCTGCTGGTGTCATGTGAGCAGGCCCTGAGGTTTACAAAACATTAATGGTACCAGCAGCTAGTGTAGCCAACCATGTCATCCTCCACCCACCTACCCACCCACCCACCCACCAGATTGCAGATTCACCATTGCAAACAATATTCGCATGTACATACATGCTTCACTCAGCACCAAGCTAAACGCATTTTCATCCTGAAAATCATTTAGCCAGCAGCACTTCCATTTGCCACACTCACACACTCACAATTGCACACCAACATCAGCTGGTCACAAGTTGTTCTGGAATTACAGCATTCAACAGCGTACAAGGCTGAGGAATCAACCATCAGTGTTTAGTCAGCTTAATAGGCTGTTTCTAAAGCTATCATTCAACAGCGTACAAGCTTGAGGAATCAACCATCAGTGTTTAGTCAGCTTAATAGGCTGTTTCTAAAAGCTATCAATGAAACACCAGCCAACCTTGTCAAAGTTCCACACTTTCACCATCGGGGCAATTCCTTCATCATCCTCCTATAACAACAAAGAACAATTGACACAAAATATTGGACATGTTCTAAGGCAATGGGTTGACAAAGCATAATTATTGCATTGCGACATGAGGGTGAAAGATATTCCACCGCTAAAATTCCTGATCTTCGTGCCTAACGCTCCTACTTGTGATGTATTCTGTTTCTCTCCGGTGGTTTTACCGGTAGTTTTTCTTGAGCAGTGTTTCTGCTAAGTCTACTTGGTCCGCCCAGTTAAAATTGGCGCTTATCTTCACACTTGTCTCAGGAAAGAAATACGAATATTTGAAGCAAGCCACGATCACAAAGCACTATATACATGATTATTTACATGTCAGTAAGCAACTCAGTCGAAAATTCAAGCAAGTTACACAATCATCCTCCTCGCCACTATCGTCGCTGGAGGAAGAGCTCAAAACGTACAATCCGGACAGCTGCTACACGGGTCGTTTCATAGCTTGTTCCACTTCTCCTCGTCTCGAATCACGCTCAAAGGCAGTGCGTGCCTGTCACCTTCCCATCAGAAGCTGAGTGAGACTGCCCGCATGTTGACTGTAAGTGTTATCCCCGTTCGTCGCAATAATGCGTCTTTGTTTGAGACAAAAAGGCCACGCCATATCAGTGTCCTTTTTTCAAATCGCCTCTGGCGCTTGTCGTACTTGCTGATCAGCACCCGTACGCACGCAAGCCGCTGCTGCTGCACTGGTGCTTGAAGATTTACATGCAGCGCAGTGATAGCTTCCGCTTGATGTAGCACATGTGCGTACTGCACCTACAACGCCGCGCAACAGGCTTTTCGGCTAGTTTCCTGAAAGTCCTTTGCACGAGTGTTTCTCTCAGGACTTGGTGTTTTCTTTGATTAGCTCCTTTGCCCTGTCCTCTGTGAGCTTCAAAGTGTGTCCGCCAGATTGGTCTCACTTACTGGAGATATCGACATGAGCTGCAGTTTCTTCGTCAGCGATTTGCTAGTGATAGCGCTTCACTAGGCGCTGTACTGTGCAAGCACTGAAATTCAAGCTCGCGAAGCGCTTTTTCAGCTTTTCTATACCTCCCCGGGGTAAACAATCCTTGCCATCAGACAGCTGGAAGTAGACAGAAACTGTATTCTCCATCGCTCTGAAATGCGAACATCCTGACCTATTATACGGACTCGAGCGGAGGTTGCAGTGTTTTCTTGCGCTGACGGAAGTGTTCGTCAGCGGCAGCTCCGTCAAAAAGACTCCGTCAAAAAGACTCGAACCGATCGCAACTTCTGTGATGGTTTGTGCTGCCATGTCGTCGGATGCAATGGTCAATGGTTATGCTCGGATGGTGAATCGGTGGTTCCATGCCGTGTGGCACAGGCAGAACACCAAAAAACCAAGTGAGAAGATAAGCGCCAATTTTAACTTGGCGGACCAAGTATTTATTACCTTGACTCCTTCTCACTTTCCTTTCATCCCACCCACCCTTCCAGGAAACTCCCCTGATAAGTATCCCATTTTACTTTTGGAGAATCCTGCAAATAAAGTCTGAATGAATGAATGAAGAAAGCGGCAGCAGTAGAATCTGTGAAAGTGCTCCCGGCTATTCTTCAAACCTAGGGCAAGGTTAACATGAAAACAGGCTACTCACTCCGATAGTGACCAAGATATTGCTTTGCTTCAGCTGGAAGAGATGAGAAATTCTCACTTGATAGGCTGGAAATGATATGAGTGTCCAGCTATGGTCTGTAAAGAAGACCATACCCTCGGCATGTAATCACCATCAACAACCTCTAGTCAAGGAATACATGTGCGTGCACATTGGCAGATGTTGGTCTCCCTCTCTCTCTCTCTCTCCCTCCCTCCCCCTCCCCCTCCCCTCCCCCTCCCCCTCCCCCTCCCCCTCCCTCTTCCTCTTCCTCTCCCTCTCCCTCTCTCTCTCTCTCTCTCTCTCTCTCTCTCGCTCTCTCTCCAGCTACTAGTATATGTTCTTCACAATGTCTGTCTCGCAGTGACAACTTAGTGCATGCTACCCATGACAAGCTGCAAACTGTTGAGACTAAGATCAATACACATGCACACTCACACATGTACCCTGTTTCTCCGGATGGTCCGGGACCGGGCACTGCCTGTAACTTTGAAATGTCCGTAACTCTATATCACATCCATGTCTGATGGTGAAAGGCCAGAGATATAGCATGTGATGTCACCATTTCCACTAAAAAAAAAAAGAGTCGTGCTATCTCTACTAAAACTAACCCAAAGGGTGCCCAGTAGACTGGAGTGCCCGAAACTTCGGGGTCCTGATAACCAAGGTATCACTATGAGTGTAGTACTAATACGTACACAAGTGAACGTGGCAATCAGCAAGGCTATCTGTGTTTCTATGTGTGCCAGAAACTTAGGGCACAGCCTAAAGTTAGCTTAACACATTTATTCAGAATACACACGCACACACACACACACACACACACGCGCGCGCGCGTGCGCATGCACGCATACACACGTACGCACACACGCATACAACGTGTGTGTACTAAATAAGGAGGAGGATATCTCCACAGATGATGTTGCCACGTCCACTGGCCCAGCATGTTATTCGAAATCCCTATACAAAGCCACAATCAAAGGAAACCAACATTTACTTATCAAGAAGAAGTAGAGCACCAGCATTGAAATATTGTAGGCCACATACAATGATAGTATGAGTTTGAAGGGCTTGTACTGTAGAGTATTATCCCAGACTAAGATGACTGCAGTCCATGATGAAATAAACACACAATTACCAAGCAATAACGTTACAAGCACACAGAACAAACAATCCAGGTACAGTGAGGCTGCAGTACAGTACAGCCACTGGTCACTGAATCTTGTTCATAAAAGTACACACCTTAAACTTGTCAAGAGTTTGGCCAGACTGGGGGTCCTTCACGATATCCTTGTCGAAGAAATTGAATTTTCTCCACTGAATAGTAGCAGAACAACACATATCAGACACGCACACAATTAAAGAAGCCAAGAATCAGGCAGGCAAAGTCCAGAAATACAATAATTATTATAATGGCGATGAAGAGGACAGACTGTGCTGTTAACTTATTTGTGGTCTCCAAAACTCAATTTTCAAGGAATCATTCTCACATGATGTGGTTGCATATGATTGCCAGATATGATCGAGCTGTCGGTGACAATTAGTTTTGTGACTGTATTGCATATGCACAAACTATGGTGCACAATTATCCAGAACCCAACTTGTAGAAATGATGTGATCATCTCACTTCTTTTATGCTGTAGTAATGTAGATAGTGGGAGCTGAGTAAAACCAAGAGTACCAATGATAACCAAGAGTATGCAACTCGACGATTCCCCAGCCCACGGCGGAATTTTTTATGACATCAGTCTTTGGCGGCGGTTTGGCTCACTGATGCCATCATGCGTAGCCAGAGATCAAAGAACAAATAATTTGTACATTACAACTACGGTAGTCGAAGCAGAACGACGGACGATAGATCGATGTGTTTTGAACCTGATGAACTCTCACCGTATCTACAAAACAAGCGCAGGAAAGCATGCACACTATCATACTTGTGACGCAATAAAAAACTTCTGCCGTGGGTGAACCCATCGTGGCTCTTGTTGCGTTACGTACTCTTGGTAAAACCAAGAGTACATAACCAAGAGTGTGTAACTCCAATCTTGAGCTGCGATGGGTTCACCCATGGCGCTTTATTTTGTCGCATCATTCCTTGGCAGAAGTATGATCAAGAGTGTATGCTTTCCCGCACTTGTTTAGTAGATACGGTGTGAGTTCATCAGGCTCAGGACACATCCATCTACCGTCCGTTGTTCTGCTCCAACTACCGTAGCTACGATGTACAGTACATGTACAGAATCGTTGTACTTTGATCTCTCGCTGCACATGATGGCATCAGTGATTCAAACAGCCACGAAAGACTGTCATAAAAAATCCCGCTGTGGGCTAGGGAATCATCAAATTGCACACTCTTGGTTATGTACTCTTGGTAAAACTCATTAAGCCCATTTGCCAACTGGGAAATGGCACGATCATCAGAGAATTAATTCCCAAGCTCTGTCAGAGTGGTGTTTCATCCTCAGACACATACATAATTATACGCACCGGGCTGGAGAGATTTGTGCTGAAACATGTCTATTAAAGGGTGTGTTTACACGGCGACGTTAGGGATGAAAAGTTTATCGAAAACGCAACAAAATTCTTTTGGATGCATGGTTTGTTCACACGGTACATGGAGCAAAGCGGAAAAAGTTGTACACCAAAATGGAAGAACGCCAAAACGCTGGCCAAAGTGGAAGAATTTGAAAACGGAAATGTTCGGCCGGATAAATTCGGACTTGTGAACAGTCGAAACGGTGTGCGGGGCTACTGTCACGTTTGTATCGTTTCGCGCGTCCACGCGGCGGATTCGACAATGTTTGTCATGTGTTGTGGTATAGAGTGTTTTCTACTATTTAGGGGTGAAAGTTGGCATTGAGATCCAGAGTTCGAGTACTCTGATTTTCTCCGATCGAATATTCGAGTATTCGAGTATTCTTCATCTCCTATAAATTGCACACCGAGGGCCTTAAAATCACATGATACAACCCTGCTTGAACCGAGTGGCTGCCATTTTTCAGCTCTGGTATATAGGTTGCTGGGTCATTTGGGCTCTCTCTACTCGTGAACAAATGTTCACCACACAGTCTGCACATCAATATCTGCCGACTGCTGCTCTGAAACTGCAGGTTTCTGTGGTAAATGCATGTACCACGTATGAACGAGTACTCTGAGTTATTCCGAGTACGATTATTTCTGAAAAAACCGAGCGAGTACTCGAGTATTCGGTATAATTGTTTCACCCCTACTACTATTACTTGACTGTGATTGGTGCTCTCACGACAAACACTGCTCACATGACGAACTTTGGCGGATCCTCCGCTCCCATGTGGACGTGCGAAAACAATACAAACGGAGACCAGCTCGGATCAGCTCTGATCGTGTAAATGCGCCAAAACGGAAAAGCACCCATGAAGAAATATGGGATCGAAAACAGAAAACTGGCTGCGTTATCGTCTCAACAACATGTTCATTCTGGGATGAATCTGCAACGAAGTGTGTACAAGATCGACTCACTTTTTGTATTCACATGTACATGGAGTCAAATGTGTACGCATTTCGGACCCAGTATGAGCCTCAACTCGCCCTTCCAGCACAAGTTGAAAGTTCCCTGGAATATATTGGCAGTATTTATTTCACTAGTTTACCGGTACGTTGGAGGAAGCACTAGCAAAGAGAGTCACCCCCATCCCCGGCCTCCATGTGGAGAGATGATATGCCAACATCCACCGTACACTACAGTCGACTCCTAATACAACAAGCACCATTGTGCAGAACTACATTGTAGTTCTTTGTAGCCGGGGTTCTTTATAACAGACACGCATTATCCCCATACACGCTACGCTTCATGACTGCATGGGGCCCGTGACTGTATTCGTGCACTTCGTTTACATATGGCCCTACAAGATATGGTTCGTTCTAAACAAAATCTATTTGCTTCAAAGCTCAAGGGTCAACTTTGTATGTGTTCAAACAGGGACATGGGCAATGGTTCGCTATATCACCAAATTCGCTATATACAAGTTCGTTATAAGTGGAGTCGACTGTAGTGAAATACATACTGCGATCATATTCCAGGTGAACTTTCAACTGGTGCTGGAAAGGTGAGTTGAGGTTTATCCTGGGTCGCAACTCGATAAATCCAGCCCTTTCATATTTTGTTAATATGAAAGGGCTGGGAAATGACCTTAAATCACCATTGTACTCAGTACTGGTGCAAACTGAACGGGACACAAGTAAAAATTAATAATATCCAGTAATGGACAAACAACCATAAACATTTACCAGCACAATACAATAGAATGAAAATTAATATTCTACATTCATTTTGAGATTTACGTGACCCGTGCTGTGTAGAATCGTCTCCCAGATGCCGAGCAAGATTGGAATTCAATAACAGTCCCGTCGTAACATTTGTTTACACAGTATCGCCTAAGTCTCAACTACCTCTGTATCATGTCAATTACTACATGTATCATTATTAGTGGTAGAGCCACATATTCTACAGTGGAGCCAGCTGAGATTTCAACTGGCACCAGTGTGCTCGATTTGCACTTCTCAAATCAATTAGGTTCACCAGAGCGTGTAAGCAGTATTCGTAGGCCGACGATCACGCAATGTAAAATGAAAGATAACACCAAGAAATTGATAACATTTTGTATCTCCTATAAGGAATTTCATACCTGGAGAACAGCCATTCTTGCATGTCACTGCAAATCTCCTCGAAACTGGTCGTTTACCACTGACTTTCTCGAAACAATCATACGCTATTACGAAAACAGAGAGAATATGCTGCGAAGACAGGCATAGACTCGGAGTCATACGAGCACAGCAATGTTGAGCAGTAAAACTGGCGAAAACCGTTTTGGCACAGCTAGCTGGATCATTCAAGCTGCAAGCAATTAATTGCAGCAGTAGACCTACGTGTACGTGTACGCGACCTCTGTCTTCATAAAAATAAAAATCCCGCATCACCGTAGCATACCAGGTTGTCATAGGGACGAGGGGCAGGATCATGATGCCACTGCCATGCCGCATGCGCCTGCATCAGGGAGTCGTAGTCTCGCACTCAAACTAGTTTGAGTAGATCTACGCGCACATGATACGACTCCCTGGCCTGCATGCATGCCGGCAAGAGTACATAATCATTATGTACTCTTGATGCCGGTATGCGGTGTGGCCCCGGCCCTCGATATTATTATTCGGATTTCAGTTGCCAGCACTGTACAATGTCGTGTACATCATGTACTATGTAGACATGACATTGCAATTTTATGTACTCTTGATGTGTGGTAAACATGAAGATGTCAGCAGACTGCAATCTCGGACAAAAACAAACAAATCTCAGACAGCTCGCTGAGCTCAGAATACAATAGCGTTTCCCTGTTTGTACTTTCGTACCAAGGAGTCGCTTAATACGACTCCTTGTTTTGTACAGCATATCTGCCCGCACGCACACACGCACACAACAACGTTACAACAACAGTCAACAACAACAACATGCACACATACACGTATTCAATCAAGCCACTATTGACGATGGAGCAAAGCGAACAGTCAGTACTTGGTGAGAAATGAACAAATATAGCAGTTGTTTATAGAAACAGGAAACAGCACTACCTGAACACCAGTACAGCTATGATGCATTGGCGGCTATAACAATCACAGTTTACCTTGTCTTAGTATCAAACAGCAAGCAAAAAGGGAAGGTCTTGCATGCAGCTAGAATATACACACATATTATACAGTATAGTGCCTTGGAAAAACAGCTTGCACTCAACCAAATGGCAGGTGCGAGCAATAACACGGCGGCAAAAGGGAATAACGAGTTTCTGACTGCAAATTGAGTGTTTCTTGATTTACAGTGTGAAAATATGACGTGATCTTCTATGGGCAAACAGCGCATGGCACATGCAAATATTTCATGAGAATGGAAATGTGATTGCTGCATGTCAAAACAAATTAGATATTACATTCTTTAAAAACTGAAGCAAGTCACAACATAGATAATGCATAGTAGATAACAAGAAATAAAAAATGGGGCTTGTCAGGAAGGAGCACAAATGAGAATGGGAATGACAAAATGTCACAAGGAGTATGTACAACAGGATCTCAGAAATACAACACACAGCAAACAATACTATTCATACTGCTGCTGCTGCTGTGCTAACACAATATCATCATCAGCACTCAGTTGTCATCATCACCACCTTCAACCTTCTTCAGGATGACAAAGCCTTCCAAGATCGGAGTAACTGGTTCATCTGTGTGATACTAGAGGTCAAGGAAAATACACCCAGGCGAACTGTAGCACATGTACTGAGATGCAGTGGGTGAGGAGCACTAGCAACAACTCATTCGTGCAAGGACACAAGAGTCAAGTAAGTAGGAGAATATCTTTACCTGAGCCTATTATTCGGTCAAATCAATTTTTATGTACGACCAACTGGTCGCATTGTATCGACACTCTGAAAAAAACAGTGAGTGAGGCAGCATCACACTAGGTTTTTAGCAGAGCACATGCACAAGTACACAGAAGCATGGTACCCGTGACTGTACGTCCATATCTTAGTTAGTGTGCCCATTAGGGCGCGTTCAGACAACCGTGAACCCCGTCAAACCGTGAATGCCGATAAGCCGTGAAGGACATTCACACTACCGATAACAAACTAATGTTACCGTGAAGTTTTCAGCTCTCACCGCGGCACTGACAAGGGATTTTCCCTTTTTCCCAGCGCGCATGCAGCCTGAGCACTTTTTTACTGCCGGTAAAAGTTTACTGCCGCAGCAGCCGCGGCAGTAAAACTTTCCCACCGGTAACGTGCCAGTAACGTCACGTGATCAAATCACCTTGGCGACTTTCCCAATCGGTCACTTTTTATTGGTAGTCTGAACGTGCCCTTACCAGAGATTGAAAACCCACATTCCAAAGGACTCCTTCTAACACACCCCCCCCCCCCCGCACACACACACACACAAACACCCCCCCCCTCTCCCCCGCACACACACAAACACCCCCCCCCCCCCCACACCCCCCCCCCCCCCCCCACCTCACACACACACACACACACACACACACACACACACACACCACACACACACACACACACACACACACACACACACACACACACACACACACACACACACACACACACACACACACACACACACACACACACACACACACACACACACACACACACACACACACACACACACACACACACACACACACACACACACACACACACACACACACACACACACACACACACACACACACACACACACACACACACACACACACACACACACACACACACACACACACACACACACACACACACACACACACACACACACACACACACACACACACACACACACACACACACACACACACACACACACACACACACATGCACACAAAAGCAGAGAGGTAATCATACATCTAATAGAAAGGATACATTGGTCAGTAGCCAGCTCAGCTCGCTCACCAGCCTGCAGCAACACAGGTGTGGTGTGAGTCTGGAAGCCAGTGATTGTCTTAGGCTTACCAGCCTGACCAACAACATCTACAGCCTGCAAGTAAACATGAGCAAAACAAACACATGCCCATACATTCACACGCACAATATGCTCAGGCATGCACACACACGCACGCACACACGCGCGCGCCCACCCGCATGCACACACACACACACACACACACACACACACACACACACACACACACACACACACACACACACACACACACACACACACACACACACACACACACACACACACACACACACACACACACACACACACACCAAATGATGAGCACATGCAGAACCTGTATAAATTATGTGATCAAAATGCAGGCGGTTGCTATTTTCAAGAGGCAAGGATATTTCGAAAAAGAGTTAATAAACTTAATATCGTCACCGTTTTGCAATGTTCTACTTCCTCTGACTTGTGTGGTTCAGTTTCAAGTTGTAGTACAGCACGAAGACAGATTATGTGTTCAAAATATTTCGCATAGCAACAGCTATGTACATGTCCATCACATTGAGAGGAAATTAGTCGCTCTCATCTGACGAGGAGTATGTGGATTCAGCGGTTTCCTCGCTGGGTGCTGCAATTTTGGCGGCCATTTACTCGCGGACTTTCTCAGCGCTCGTCACAAGTCGCCTTGGAAAGCTCAGGTCGTGGCGATTCGCAGTTGATTTCGTCTTCGAGCTCACCCGTGCTCCGTGCTCCGGTGTGGTGTGAATAAGTGGTGTCACCTCGGCTCTCGATGATACCATTGAAAGATGCGAAGAGACACACTCTCCATCCGCTCTGCAGGGTACTCAGACCAACATTTCTTCACAGCCTCCATCAAATCGGCGACATTCTCCTTCGAGACGAGCTCAGTGTCGGACTGCAAGCTGGCAAAGAGCGCCAGGTCATTGCAATTTAGGTCGAGCGATTGAGGCGGCTGCGTGACAACAACGATGTTGAATCTTTTCTTTTTCGCCGTGCAATGACCAGTGCTTCAGGTTTACTCTTGCAGTGTGGGGCCGTGCGTCGTTGTGCTGATAGATCTAATCAGCTGCTGGCCAGCCTCAGGCTTTCCTGACTTACGGTGAAACCACCATAGCTTCTGACGCATCGAGTCAAACACGCAGTCTTTGCTGAGCATGACACGCCGATACTCCTGTGCATTCTAGTCTCTGGCTTGAGAATGTCAGTTCCGCCAGCTACCGTACTCGTCCGGGAGTCGGAATGCTTCTGAACAGCCTTAGGCTTAGGTGTTGCGGGAGGTGTACTCACGCTGTAAATTTCCCCCGGCGATCACTTCTCCTTGCTCTTAGGGCTTGCCATTTTTTCTCCAAACTAACCTACGACCAACTGCAATAGGTGAGGAGTTGTGTCCCTGTTTTATTTCGGGAGATGACAGGTAGATCGAGCGGAACAGATCGATGAATTGAAACGCACATTTTAATAAGTCGGAGGAAGTAAAAGCAGTCCCTACCTCACAAACCATTGCCTAGAACCAGAGTGTGTAGTGTATCAGCACACACAGCCACATGACATACCTGACCAACGCGCACCGTCACTGAAATGTTCGTCAGATCTTCGTCAAGGGTGATAAGCATGCGTGGCTGAATGGCAGTTGTCAGGAGATACAAGAAGTAGTGTCGATTGCCAAGAAGAGCTGCTCGCTCAAACACACAATAAATAACAGAACGGGAGACAGAACTTCAGGAATACATGAATGTGATTAGCATTACTACTAGTATTATTTAGGAAACAAACACAGTGTCCTTCGTCATGCGTAAAAGACTATGAAGTGCATTGCGTGCAAAGATGCCAATGCCCTGTTGCTAGATCTGGGATACATAATACCTTGCGCTGTAGTGTAACGGTATGACAGTATCAAACAAAGAGCGTTTGAAGGTTTTGCAAAATGGCATTAAGTAAATTTTTGCAATCCGGATTGACATACGGCTTGGAAGTGATCATATAACAAAGATGGGTAGTGTAAAAACACTGGAGGAGGTAACTGAAGTTGGAGCTTTCCATTGCACACCCAGGCCATTCAAAAATAGTTGATCTCTCTGAACTTTTTCAAATCCGATATAGGCCGAGCTAGGTTCAAAATCCAACTCTAATTCTTCGGTGAAATGGGTTTTGGACCAGCATGTCTGTACAATTATCAACACGAAACTCGGCTGAAAAACTCAAAACCTTCCTTTTGGTCCACCTTTGGAGAGGTAGCCACCAAAAACATATAGGAAGAGCAATCCATACTGAATTGCAAAACAATTGTGAAGAGGATGAAGAAAGGAAAAGGACAAAATGTTAAGAGTTATGACAAACTGTCCACCAGTGACAGTTTGTCATAACTCGTAACATTTTGTCCTTTTCCTTTCTTCAGAATTCCCAAACTCCATTGCAGCGTATTTCTTGCACTTGAAAATACCGCCATTCCGACAACAGGCTCTCAGCTGCACCAAAAAGATAACTTTGCCAATATTTCGCCCATTGGGCATCATCAGGGCATTGAGGAAGGGGAGGCAAAAACAGGGTTAACCGTTGGCTCGTTTTATTGCCAAAAGCAATACGATCATCTTTTTCTGAATGGACTGTAGTGGGTAGATGGTGACAAGGCCCACACTGGTGTGATTTTTCTGTACCAACTGCCCCTCCCCCCCCCCCCACACACACACACGCCCCAGGGCCCAGTCCAGGCACCAGCGGCGGATGAGTCAACCACCATGTAAGAAAAAATTGAAACTAAAGGCGTTGGCAGAACGCTTTCAAGCCTGCATGAATCTCAGACAAGATATCAACAGAAAACTCACTTCCTTTCATGTCAAGACACATGACCAGCAAAGAGAGGAGTCCAGACAAGTTGGCTGAGGAGAGGATGCTGCGATCTGAGTGATATGGTGATAGAGTGAGAGTTCCCTTCCCAAGATGTGTCAGCCCCTACAAATACAACAAGGAAATCAGAAGTGAATACATGCACACACACGCATACACACAATGACATACACCCATCCACTATCAAGACCAACCCGACCGGCCTGATAGGTTAGGTGATAGCCCCCAGATACCTGGTATGGGGAAATCCCCAGTGCAGATACATTGACAGACAAATACCCTTCAAATATTGCCGCACGTCGCAAACAAAGGACCTGCAATAAGTGCCAAGTGTGGAATCTACCAGTATGCACCACATAACCAAGTACAATAGGAGCCCAGCAGAGCAGAAATGCACAGACAATGAACAAAAACATCATGCAAGCTGCCACATGACCAATAGCAACTCCAGACTCTCTAATACAAGCCATACAATAAAAAGGGATATGAAACAGAAGAATACAACGATCAAGCGAAAGAATACCTGAGCAATTCTGGTCATGAATAGGCAGTTGTCATCCTTGTAATAATACTGAGCCAGCTGCCGCAGCATAGCTGCTAATCTAGCATTGTTAGTACCTAGACAGATGTTAAAATTTGCAAGCACAACCATACACGCATACACACATCACACCCAACACCCAACACACACACACACACACACACACACACACACACCCAACACACACACACACACACACACACACACACACACACACACACACGCACGCACACAGATCGAAAAATATATGGAATACAGGAGCAAGAAAGAGAAAGCAGTACTACACACACACACACACACACACACAGAGAGAGAGAGAGAGAGAGAGAGAGAGAGAGAGAGAGAGAGAGAGAGAGAGAGAGAGAGAGAGAGAGAGAGAGAGAGAGAGAGAGAGAGAGAGAGAGAGAGAGAGAGAGAGAGAGAGAGAGAGAGAGAGAGTAAGTTACATTTATAAAGACAGGTAAGTCTAACAAATGAGGACTGAGACCTCTACAACAGGGTTTTTACGCCTGAAAGCAGGTGCATGATTTAACAAGCAGGTTGTCAGTCTAGATTTTATGCGCAGATGGAGAAAAAGCGCAGAATTTTTGTAATGAGATGAAAAGCAGAAATAATAAGAAATAATAAGAAAAGATGAAATGAAAGCCTGCTCACAACCCCGCCCAGCCTTGCGAACTGGGTATGGTGGATAGTGGTGAGAAAGAGAGAGAGAGAGAAAGAGAGAGAGAGAGAGAGAGAGAGAGAGAGAGAGAGAGAGAGAGAGAGAGAGAGAGAGAGAGAGAGAGAGAGAGAAAGAGAGAGAGAGAGAGAGAGAGAGAGAGAGAGAGAGAGAGAGAGAGAGAGAGAGAGAGAGAGAGAGAGAGAGAGAGAGAGAGAGAGAGAGAGAGAGAGAGAGAGAGATAGGGTGCATCACCTCCAACGTGTTAGGGAATTCCGAAAGATCAGGGACACTGCCAGCGCTTGAGGTGCAATCAAACACTATGATCATGTATGGGTATTGATGAATCAATTCATGACTACCTCTACTCAGTAGATTAAACAGATGTGCACAAACAATAACTTACCTGCTCCTACAATACCAAGTGCCAGAATGGCACTGAGAGCGACTTCTTGATCAAGGTCATGGGACAATTTGCTCAGAGTATCCAAAACCTTCAGTTTCGGATCTCCAACTGACAACAGTGCCAGGCCAAGAGGAACGGCACGACGAATGACAGGCTCGCCGTAGTGTAACTACAGCAACAAAAAATAAGTGAATAACCAAGCCACAGTCATACATTTGCAACACAGAGAGTGGCATGGAAGTACAATGTAGGAAGGTACCAGGAAAACAATAATATCCTTCAACACATTTCCCATCATGTAGCAGTTTCGCCTCCAAGACGGGTGCAGCCTAAACAAGAGTGCGGCTCTGACCTCAACAAGTACACTACACGTACTGGCAGCCATCACGGCAAACCCAGTGAGAAAAAAAGCAATTCCATACCAGGTGTGCATAGCTGCGTAGAACCATCTCCTGACCGATTTCCTCTCCCATAGCAATCAAGGCAATACCAATTACAGCAGCACCCTGATGTGCACCTCCGGCTTTCTTCTCCTTGTCTTTGCCATCCTTTTCTTTCTCGTCTTTCTTCTCTTTGCTGTCCTCTTTCTTCTTGTCATCAGTAGCATCTGAAAGCCAGCCAAGCACACACCAATATAGTTCTTAGAATTGGCATACACATGTGTGCGCACATGTACACTAGCAAATACCCACACAAAGGATGACCTACAACACAGGTAATACTATTCAGTATCCAAACGCCCATCATATAACAGTTAGGAGGTCATCCGGTATATCCAGCATTACTAGTTTTAAGGAATAACAAATTCCGTTGTGTTACCACCCATCCACTCCCTGAAGTGAAAATATAATGACTAAAAATGCGCCAGTTGTTCAGGACAGAAGAAAGCTACAGTATACAAGTTGTACATACAATAGAAAGGTACCTACCCGTAGCAGCTGGCCCATCAGTGACAGTTACACCCGGTGCTAGTCCTGGGGCTGTAGCGGATGCACTGGGTTCTGCAGGAGAATCCTTGCCTGCAGCAGCTGCATCTTCTTTCTTAGCTGCACTAGAATCTGATGATAGACTCTCACTACAGATATGCAGCAGATTCTGCACGGCAAGCACATCACCAGTACCGGCTTTGGAACATGCTTCAACCAGTACACTGGCAAATGAACAGTAAGAACTCGGAAGAGTTTTGAGTGTCTCTAGGAAAGCATCTGCCGCATCAGGACGACCTGCAACAATTAAAAAAAATGGATGGGACAGAAGAAAGGTTCACAGTAACTGAAAAGAACAGGTGACAAACCGATGAGCCTCCCTGTAGAGTGGCTACTTGGCAACAACATGTGTTCATAAGCAGTTTTTACAGCGTGCTCATATTGTATGGAAATAAAGAGGCTATACAAAATCACTCATCCCAAGCAGGCATTTACAAACTTCACACAAGAGCAATCTGTAGGGTGGTTGCAGAAGAATACCACCACAAGCCTTACCCAAAGAACAGAGAGCAAGAGAGATAGCCAGCATACGGGCATTCTTGTCCTTGACAATAACCTTTGGGTCCAAATCCATCATGGCTTGCAGCACAGAGAGTGTGACATCACCGTTACACTGTCCTACTGTTACTAGACCAAGAGCTAGAGATGTTACACCAAGGACCTAACACAATACACAGCAAAAGAGTGACGAGAAAATAGGAATTATACCATGACAAGCACCAGAAAAGTAACAGAACTCATATTTCAGGCAGGACCAATCACCTCCAGAACCAAAAACATAATCTGATCTATTGCTACACGTATATCACATGCATGCTCATAGTGCAAACATAGAGTAGAACCATGTAGGCATCAGCACCACCACTCCAATACTCACCTCTACACTTGCATCTCCATCTGTCATCGGACTGGAGATAGCTTCCACCACATAATCAATATTGGTACCAGCATATGCTAGACCAAGCCTGCATTCAGAGATAGATAGATACATACATAAAGAGAGAGTGTGAGAGTGGGATAGATAGATAGATAGATAGATAGATAGATAGAGAGAGAGAGAGAGAGAGAGGCTCCTGGGCTCTTAAAGTAATCCCGTGCAGATTCAGTTCACACATTTGATAGTACATGCAATAATAGAGAGGTTCCGCACTACATAAAGTTCAGCAACTTTACCACAATTACGTAAGTGGACAGGGAAACGCGTGAATTCGCGAGTTTGCACTCTACTTACGGAATGTTGTCTACGTAGAGTACGTAGGCAGGGCTCTGATAACGGACGTGCACAGGAAGTGGATTGGGGTACAAATTATAACTCTCTCCCCAGGGCGACCCGGCCGTACTCTGCCGCGTTCCAAGTTGCCAAGGGCGGCTACGTTATTCGAAAACTCCGCATGGTGAAACACAGATCCACATGCAGTGCACGTAAGACTTTCCGTAGATCGACTACATTTTTTACTAACGTAATGACGTTATGCGGAACCTCTCTATTGAAATAAACATGTAGTGCACTACAGTCACTATCACTGAAGTTCATGTTCATGACCGAGTTAGCGCCCTGTACCAGTGTGCAGGCCACTGTCCGCAGGCCTAAGGCAGCACAGAGCCTGGTGCTAATTCACAATGCCAGACTTCAGTAAGCGCCTCTGTACTTACCCAAGGATGGATGCAATTCTCATGCACAGAATATCACTGGATACATAGTCAGATAGTAATGCTAACGCAGGATCACAGTCATTTCGCACGCCATTGTTAACAATGCCACAAGCCAACAAGGCACCAGCCTGGAGAAAAACACACAGGAATGCACAAGAAAAAAAGGGAGTGATTGACCACAGCAGTATCTCCAGGAGCTGATAAACCATGTAAACTGCCTCGGCTTGCTTGGAGAGTGGGATACCAGTATTGATTTCAATGCAAACAAGAACACACACACATGCGAGCGCGCATGAGAAAAGTGTTGTTATTCGCGGGTTCCTATTACTTGTTAGGTAGAAAGTATGTAGTGAATAGTTGGTAGGCCAGCTGGTAATGTTTAATTCACTAGTTGTGTTATACTCAAGGTTGTTACTCACAACATTGACTGTATCAGTAACAGACTACAGTGCGGGGTAATACCGTACTCACTCGATTAGAAGCCAGGGGCATCTATTTTTCAATACCAATTTTGAGGAGGCTTCTATTCAAGAGGGGCTTTTATTGTTTCATTCCATACCAGTATTCCAATCGAATCTCTAAAACTTTCATATTCACAGCAACTCGGACCCGAGTTAGTTGCACACACTACGTCGAGCAGGACATGTACCAATATGAATATAGGCACGAGATGTTTTTTGTACACTTGACCTTCATACATGGCACTACCTCGTCACCCCATGCTTTGCGAATAGTAGTCCGGGCTTCTATTCGAGAGGGGCTTGTATTTTTTCAAACAGTCCTCGTGGGGGGGGGGGGCTATTATTCAAAAGGGGCTTCTAATCAAGTGAGTACGGTAAGTACTAACGACATCCAAACTCATAGATAGAAGAGAGCAATGCTAGGGGTATCATGCAGATGCAAACGTCTACCATAGTTGAACAAAGAGTTCTGCCTCTGTACCAGAAAACGCGTCCGCATTTCATCGGCAAGGATGGCAACTTAGTGCGCCCTACCTTGATATGATCATTGTTGGAGTAGAGGTATTTGTCAATACTTGACAAACCGCCATCAACATCCCAGAGCAGAATAAGACCAAGTGATGCAGTGGCACTCAGCATTCCTATAAAAGACAAGAGCAAAACAAGAAAGTCAGAGGACAGTAAGCTGCCACAGTACTTCGAAGTACATCCACACTGGACTACCAGGAAATGCAAGAGAGAGAGAGAGAGAGAGAGAGAGAGAGAGAGAGAGAGAGAGAGAGAGAGAGAGAGAGAGAGAGAGAGAGAGAGAGAGTGTGTGTGTTTGCGTGTGTGCGTGTGTGTGTGAAAGTACCTGAAGCAGGAACAGCCATACACGTTGCAAAGCAGCAAAGCCATACCCAAACTGAAAGTACTTAACATACCACTATCCTTGTTCTTGTAGATCCACTTGTTACCATCCAGTGTCATCAGTTTGTCTTTACAATACGCACAGTTCACAAAGCCATTGACAAAGGATGAGGCAAGGTTTTGGCGAGCGGAGTCGATGTGTGCTGCACCAAACGATGGCCCTGTGGAATAGAAAATAAGACAAAAAAAGCAAATGGACAAAGTTTGGGAAGTATTTGCGCATCAGTATTGACATCAGCAACATAATCATTACACCGGGCCACACAGAGCACCTCCTCAGCCATACAATTACTTGGCCCGTTCTGGATAAAGGAATTCAAGTGTAAATCTGTGCAGGATAGACTTTGAGAATGATGGCACATTCGAAAGCTAGTGAGCAGAGTTTCAAGAGATTTGCTTTGTTCGGAGAGAAAGGTCCAATAAGACACAAGTACAGAACCTCTAAGTGCGCAAAGTTGCTGAGAGAGTGCGTATGTGCGTAACACAAACGAAACAGGTTTGTTCACCAAACGGCCATGTGCAACGGCCATGTGCAATAGCCATGCACAACAACCCTGCACAATGGGCACCAGAATGCTAGGGTGAGCAGATCATATCCACCGTGAAGTCGCCAAACACCAGATGTCCAATCGCTGCATCGGCGTTACCAAGAGTACTCTTAATGAACATGGATACCATTCACAAAGTATACCCAGTAGAGAAGAGACACAGTTCTGTTGTAGTGAGTAAAGAGAGTGGGGTTAACTTACGGTGAGACTCCAGATGGGTTTTGTAAATATCTTCAGGAGACTTGGGTTCAAGAATATCGAGCTGTGACGGAGAAAGGAAGTAGAGTGAAAACGTAATATAACATACCCCCCGGTGTTGAGAAACGTAATATAACATACCCCCCGGTGTTGAGAAAGGGACCAAAGTACTTTTTATCCAGCGCACTTTGCACGCGGATTGGCTACACAAGCCTCAAACCCGACACAACCATTAAAAGTGTTTACCAGATCCTGCCCCAAGTGGATTTCTGCCATGGATGGACAGATGTTTATGCACAGGCGTTGAAAATCCACAGCAACAAGCACAGTCCCACGTTTACCTGCAACAAGTGAACTCCATTTGGTCCCCTACGACACAGATGCAAAAATGCCACTTGTACCCTCGCAAGTTTGATCAATCCGGCGCCTAAGGCCGTTGATAATCTCACCCGCTAGCCCCCGTACCACAGATGTTAACTTGCCAGTTGTGGGTGGTGATCCACGAACGGAAGCTCAAATACTAAAAAATGAGACAATAAAGGTGTGGGGATATTTCAGGGTGACCCTGCTGGAAAGAGGATGCCAAGTTATCACTGACCCTGAGCATCAAGGAAATCCTACCTATGGCTCCGAGATTTACGCCGTAAACAACAAAAACAATGTGTCATGGAAGGCTGTCCCTTTGCTAAAACAGTACGCTCTATGCAGGAACGCTGTACACTTTTTTACGTGCTCTTATCGAGTACGAAATAGAGGTTGCGACTTCGGCAATGATTTTGTTTAGGAATGTACTCTTATCGAGGACAAAAAAACTACCGGGACATCTGAACGTAATAACTGTCAACGACACATACACATACACCTGTACTCCACTGTACACCACCAGTGGTACACAGCACAGCGTACTTCCTTGTACATGCCGTACGAGTACGTGCAAGCGCTTTAGTTTTTCGTTTAGTTTTGTTTTTGACTCAGGGCTGTGAATCATGAGTGCGGGTATGCGAACCATGGAAAAATGGCGTGACTCAACATTACCTTGTAAAATTGTGAAGGTAAATATTACCGGTATGATGATTCTGCAATGGATGGAGTGCTCGGTGGGGTCCCATGGCGGTAAAAGGGTAAACACAAAAACATTTAACGCAGTAGTTCGCTCGTGGTAAATTTTCACGGGGTATAAAACCTACCTCACGAGCCAGCATGAGAAAGTGCGTGCTAAGATGACCATTAGACACGATATCCACTGATCCATCCTCATCCGTCAGGAAATATTGCTGCCTCCCGGCAATGAATGCCAGTTGCTTTTTGATGAGCCTAACAGAAAGACAGAAGATGAAACAAAAAGACGAAAAACGTTGGAAATGCTCGGTTCAGTAAATAGGTCTGTAACGACTCCTTACCACAGCAGCTTCAGCAATCACTTACATGTACTGCGACTGGTATGCTGCACAGGCAGTACACGGTACAAGTGAATTACAGCGACATATCTGATCAGCGCTAGAAAGGAGCTGTGAAGAGTTCTTGTAAACGGGCAAATAGGTTAGAGATCTCTCTCTCTCCGTGCTGCTGTACGACACAAATCTAGAGATCTATCCATGCTGCTGCACGACGCAAATCCAGAGCCAGTCCCTCCACACTCGCATGTCGTTATGGATGCTGTGCTTGCACCGTCGCAATTGATCATCGACACTGACAAAATGTCACAGGGATGATACATACATGTAGATGACAGGTGTTGCCATGCCGCAAACACATACAGTGATACAATCACAGTACTTTTGCAGGAGAGAAACAAAGACAGGGAGTTTGGGAGAGACAGGGTGCTCTGGCAGGATTTTATGGTGCCTGTGAAATAATGTATTCACGTGCCAAGAAACAATCCCCTAAGTGACAGTATGGAGCTTCCGCAACAAGATGCATGATGTAAGGTAGATGTAGCAGAAAAGAACAAGCAGAATGCTCGACTGCCTTTTAAAAGGGTGCTGTACATCCTGAGGAAAGTGGAACAAGTAACAGTCCTCTTCCTATTGTGTGTAGCAAAGAACTGTACAGTTGCGTTCGGTGAAATCAGACCCGAAGTGCAAAACTGGCTTCTTGGAACTAGCTCTAATTACATCACTGGATGTGTAAAGGTGTACATCCAGCCGCATTCGTACCACTTCCAGGCCATCAAGGGCCGTGTAAGTTGAGGGCGCCAAATATGCACCTAAGGTCAGATGTCACGGAGCGTAACTGTACAATACTACAGAGAAGACATCAAAATTCTGGTAATCCCATTCCAGTTTAGGTTGCATTCAAATTATAGAAAAGCTGATAGCATCTCCCCGACAAATCTTAGCAGTAACACGAAGAGTGCCGCCTACAAATTGGATAACCAGGCACAGCACTGTTCAACAGTGTCGGAGGTTCCATAGTACCAGGCGCTGAGATTTCAAACCATTCTTCTCTCCCCCATGAGGCTTTATCAGGGAGTAAATTAGGAGACAAGAATTAAAAGTGATAGCACCTGAGGCTGAGATTGTGGTGGTAGGGGTAGTGTTCAAAGGAATAGTCATGTAAAATATTCTCCAGTACTATGTTCCCTGCTGCCACATGAGCCGAAGTCTAAGGTAAGACAACAAAGAAGTGCACAGTTTTACTACATGGAATATTACAAGGCAGTCTAACTGCGCCAACTTACTCATCATCGCAAGCCGCAAAAACTTCCTGAGATGAGGACTCGGCAACAGACCGATTCGATTTCATCATGGCCATGCGCATTGCCTGAGCATATTGCTCAAACTGCAAATAGATCTTCATGCAAGTGTCCAGCAGGGCCTCATCCTCCGGGCTTGGGACATAGCGAACACAGCTACAACAACAACAACAACAACAACAACAACAACAACAACAACAACAACAACAACAACAACAACAACAACAACAACAACAACAACAACAACAACAACAACATCGTGAGAATAAAAGATTTCAAACAACAACAACAACAACAACGATCTCTTATTGGCGATGGTACCATCGTGAGAATAAAGAATTCAAACAAACAACAGCAACAGCAACAGCAACGACGACTATGACAACAATGACATCATTTATTACATGGCCTACCGGTTTATGTACACAACAGGATCCATATTCATGGATATTCCATGTAATGTTAAATGTGTGCACACTAGATCACTTGTACTTCACTAGATCACACGTACTTCAAGTAAATGTACAATAAACAATGGAAGCCTGAAACGAAATTAATAGTGATCTTTGCTGTCCCTGAACTGAACATCGTTCATTTCGTACCTCACCACCCCCACCCCCATTCGCTGAATCATACACAATAAGAGTTCTGAAATTGGAGAAGCAGCCAACGAGGCTGAGAACTGCAGCATCGGCTCAAGTGAGATTGAAAAGCTATGGCAAATTATTTACCTGACCAGGTAGAGACAAACACGCTCATAAGTGTTCTTGTCCACAAACTTCCTGATGTCATCAGTTCTCTCCAGTTCCATTAGCAAATCACATGCCTCTGCTTCTGCATTGTGCTTCATGTTGAACGGGATGATGTCATCTACAAGGTTACTTAAAGCACCAAGCTCGTCCAAATTGTTTTCTGTATACATTTGCCCAACTTGAGCTGAGATATGACTGTCAGACAAAACAGAGAGAAAGAAAGAGAGAAAGAGGAGAGAGAGAGAGAGAGAGAGAGAGAGAGAGAGAGAGAGAGAGAGAGAGAGAGAGAGAGAGAGAGAGAGAGAGAGAGAGAGAGAGAGAGAGAGAGAGAGAGAGAGAGAGAGAGGCAGACAGATGGAAAGACAGACAGACACACAGACAAGGAGAGACAGAGAGACAGACAGAGAGACAGACAGAAAGCATTCTCAAAAAATTAAGAAAATCTGAACTGTGTTGGGAAATTGGTCTAAGATTTCTCACAAATACCTCAAACTCAATGTAACGCTTTTTCGGTTGTTCAGACTTATTCAGTTGCCATCAATCTACCCATTAGAAATGTAAGGAACGACACAATAATACCAACTCATACTCACATCCACACACATCTACACACGCACACATACACGCACACACACACACACACACACACGCGCGCGCACGCGCGCGCACATACACGTACACACACACACGCGCACGCACGCGAACACACGCCATGCACGCATGTCGCAAGAGAAGCACGAAAATCTGCAAAATGCACATGTTTTCTCTTATTACAGCAACGATAGCGGACACGATCTGAATGGAACAGATCAAGACTAACAACACGGTAATCGCCTAATCCACACAACTGGCGAAGGCATGTGAATCAACCCCCAATGCACACCTGGTCTACATCACACGGAGTATGGACGCATGCACACACGTGTGTGCGCACGTGCTCAGGCAGGTGTGCGTGGTCATGCAAGGTATATAGAGCAGGGCTACGCTGAAATGAAGACACGGGGAGAAACCAATTCGGACACCAGTACAGTGCAAGACGGTATTACCGGACATATTCGTGTCCCCATGACTCCAACGCATCAGATGAACCCAATATGCGGTAATCCAATGTGTCACGGCTATCTGGCTGTGTCATTGCCAGTACAGATATGATGTCCGCCAATCGTTGCTGAATACAAAATGTTCAAAAAACAAGAAACAAGTCATTTACCCCAGAAATGTGCCAGTGTATCTAATCTAAGCTGCCCTAGACGTCGGAATACTTGTTCAAAGCATGATGATAGAAGCTTCAAATGTATTCGTTCATAACTGGCCAGAGACTCTTCCAGCAGGGCTTGTCATGGTTGAGACGTGCTCCCAACCAATGAAAGGCACCAGGGCCAGGGGTGAAAATCTAGCTGAGAATCGTGATTGACGAACATAGGCGGCTACAGCATAAAAAATGAAACCTAAGCCATAGAAGAGTGCCTGGTGACTGTGGGTGCAAGCACTAATGGCCTCCTCTGCATACACGTTAGCCTCCCCAGTCCACAGATACTACCTATTATACGACTGCATTGGTGTGGAATCTCAAGCACTCATACCAAGTACATGTACAAGTACTGCTATCAACATGGGCTCCTGTTACTGGCCCTTTGAAACCTGGTTTCCAAATGAGGCAATTGAGACAGAAATGGGCAAAACACAGCTTTTCAGATAACAGACAAGGGCCCAATACTGTAAAAGCCATATATATAACGAAGTGCTAACTCTGACGAGTTAACGAGGAGAAATTTGTCGTTAAAATAGAAATCGTTATACAGAAATTGATACATTTTACTGTCCTATTGAGCGTTGAGAATGAGTGAGAATCGTTACTTTTGGTACACGTAAACTAGTCAATTTTGGGAAATCGTTATATATGCGCCTCGTTAGAATAATGGCTTTTACAGTATTGGTGACATATTAATGTCTGCTATTTTCACAAAAAGACTTTTTCACAATTATTGGCCAGCTTCAAATCAAACATCACCAGAGGGTGTATGTCTATGAGTGCGAAGCCATAGTGCCCCGCACACATTTCTCATTGATAATTCACTGGTTCTGAGAAATCGCGAAATTTTAGCAACGGGCCTATCAAGCGACTTACAGAATAGGAGTTACATTTGCCCTTCTAAGTATGTGGGTTAGGCTCTGCACCCAGGTGCATCTCTCAAGCTCCCACTAATCAGTGTGAATATAGAACCGTATGTATGGTAAATTAATGAGATCCAAGATAAAAGACTAGGTATTGTACCAGGTGCCGACTGATGGTGTAGCGTTCTTTGCAGCTTAGAGAGCATTGTGTGGGGAGACGTGTATTCATCACCATTTCACGAGGTGAATTTTATCACCATCGCTCTACAAGATAAAAAGTCTTCCACATGCATGTAGGACCAAGTCCAGGTTTTCTGCAAAGCAACTGTTGGTTTCCTGTCATTAAAATAAAGTGAGAAGGGGGGGGGGGGGGGGCATGGAAACATGGAAAATATTGATGAGGGCATTGACAGATAAGCAAGAGTTGGTATCTGTATACATTTCGTGTATTGAATGGAAGCTTCGAGGCTTGGTGCGAATACAGGCTTGAATGGTCATAAACACTGGCTTCATACGCAAATACTATTATAGCAAGCAGTCTGGGGAAGAGGAATTTCTCGGGGAAATCCCTCGAACAGTATTTTCAATGTCTACGATCATGTACATTTTTGAAACTATTAAGTATTATGGTAATCTTGGAAATGGATAAAGATTAACCAAATTCACAAGATATAGTGACATCAAGCCACATACCTTCAAGGCGTCATCGCTCCAAGCAGCATACAAGCTCTTGAATTTACCATAGTGTGGCCGTAAAAATTTCAATGGCTTCGGCACTGAAGTCATGGAACTCGTTGAACTTCTGATAAGAGTCCGAAGCGACTCCAGAGTGGGCCCATGGAGTTCAGCTTGTGACTCCTGTGACATCGAAAATACGAAACACACCTCGATGGAACATCCTCTGAAAAATTCTGATTTCCAATTTTGAATTCAAATAAATTTACCTGTAGTCGTTCAACCAACATGAGTAAATCATCCTGAAGTTGACGATCCTCCTCACTCTGCAGGCGAAAGGTAAACTTCCTTGTCACAACAGTCTTCTACAAGCAGTAATAAACAAGTTCTCTTACAAGCTCTGACTCTTCCACAACCGGGGGGTTGGTCGTCTCCCCTGACTCCCCAGAAGGTTTCTTCTCTTCATCTCCCTCAGCCATTTTTTCAGTTTTCACAAACTACAGAAGTACAAAAACTTTTTGTCACTTTTCAGTGACCAAGCAAAGCGCTGTTAGCTGCAAGCATGCGTACTCAAGGTTGAAATGGATCATGATCCGAAGGAACAATCTACAATGACATCATGGACCTCAGATTATTATGACATTGAGCTCAGCCTACTGCATGCAGTACTGTGACCAGGGAGTCGTGAAATAAAAAATAGTATTTTACGACTCCCTGACTGTGACTGTGAGCCTAGCCGAAAAAAACTAGGTCTACAAACGACGAAAGGGTACTGTACTTGTTGTGCACGACATGGACAACGCGATGTTCGATTTCGAAGCTACTCTGGATCTTGTACCATGATGTTAGCTCAGCTCAGCTAGCTCAGCGCGGGCCCGGGGCCGTCTGGGTCCCTAGGTACAGCAGTACAGAGAGTACAGTGGGAGTCTGGGGAGACGTCAAATCAAACAAGACTGAAGTGCTGTCTTGTATTTGCCAATGGCCTGCGAGAGTTCTTCATCTTGCTTATTTGTAGCTTTTGTCTCACCGGATCCAGCGAGTGCGTTAGTTACGATTGCCGGTGTTTGTAGTAGATCTAGATGTAGAATTATTTGAGCGAGATTGCTGATGCGACATGTAGCTTGCAGACTCATTATTTTGATCAGAAGCTCTCTCTTACCTTGACTGTCGGTTCTTAAAGACCCCAAGAGTTGTTCGAGGTATTGCTTCCTCGGGCACGGACGGACTACTGGCCAAGTTCTCCAGGGTCATCGGCGGCAGTGGTGTTGCAAGGGGGAAACCCAAGTTTGATTTGACTATCTTCCATCGATAATTATGGACTTGAGAACCTAGCCGACGATTTCATCTTAGTGTGCTGTATATTGGGATTTCTTCTGGCACGAGAATGGCTGACTACTCGTTTCACTTTGTTCTTGGATTCTGCTTGGCTTGCTACTTCTTGGCACAATGGTTAGTATCCAAGGATAAGCTGAATGTCACCAATCCCACATTCAAGCGCTTCCAACGTGACTACCTGTTTGTGTACTCGCTGGTGATCATGTCTGACTGGCTGCAGGGTCCTTATCTGTATGAACTTTATAGCTTCTATCAGTATGATGAAAATCGCATTGCTGCTCTCTATGTCGCTGGCTTCGGCTCGAGTGCAGTGTTTGGAACATTCACCGGAAGCTTTGCTGACAGATTTGGACGCAAACGGCTTGCGTTGGTGTTTTGCGTGATGTATTCGCTGAGTTGCTTCACGAAGCGGTTTTCATCGTACGGACTGCTGATGACTGGACGAGTACTTGGTGGTATTTCTACGTCGTTACTGTTTTCTGTATTTGAGTCCTGGTACATCCATGAACATGTGCATACATTTGACTATCCTGGAGAGTGGATGGCAGACACCTTCTCAAAGAGCACGTTACTCAATGGAGTTGTTGCCGTGTCAGCGGGTCTACTTTCTCACGTTGTAGCGGAAACGTTTCACTTTGGCCCAGTGTCACCATTCTTTGTTGCTATAGTGTTTCTTGTCATAGCTGGTGTGGTGATTTCTGCCATGTGGACAGAGAATTATGGTGCTGACAATGACAAGGCTGTCGAGCCGTCCACCAATTGCCTGGAGAGTCTTGTGCATATTGTCCAACATCCGCACATATTGCTAATAGGGGTTATGCAGTCACTGTTTGAGAGCTGTATGTACATATTTGTCTTTCTGTGGACCCCTGTCCTCAAGCCCATCCATCCACCATTGGGCATAATTTTTGCATCGTTCATGGTTGCAGTCATGATTGGAAGTTCTATCTTTGACCATCTCTTCAATGCTGGACAGAGTGCAGCAAGGATTTTACAGACCTCTTTTATCCTCATGTTCTCATCACTGGCAATCTCGTCTGTCTTCATTCATCGACCTTTTATCTGCTTCTTCGCCTTCTTGTTGCTGGAAATCGGCTGCGGCTTATATTTCCCAGCCATTGGTTATCTACGAGGCCAGCATGTTCCAGAAGAGTATCGCTCAGCTATTATGAACTGGTTCCGTGTTCCATTAAATCTGGCAGTGGCTGCTGTACTCCTGCTAATGTTTGGAAGTCAGAGTTCTTCAAGGACAATATTTGTTCTTTGTGCTGGAATGTCTGGCATTGGTATTCTATGCTCAACACTGTTTTCTCGTCGCTATCCGAATGACAAGAAGTCATCGCCAGGTACTGAAATTTTTGAGAGTGTTTAGTTGAATAAGATGTATCCTAGATGTTTTCATTGTGTTCACCGCAGCTTTTTTACTTACCGGTGCATTACATTTTTCTCATTCTCACATCATCGACTATTAGTAAGTACCTATCTTCAGAAGTATTCCCTAACTACTCACTTGACATTTCTATTTTCATTCTTGTTTTTACTTTGAAAGTTTGATTGTAACTTACTTTCTGCTTTGTAGTTGCTGGTATCAGTTCTTTTAAAATTAATTTGCTATTCCAAGTAGGACTTACCTAATTTTGCCCATTACCCCTCTTTGAACCAGTCCCCATCTGTCCCCCTCGGATTTCCACCATTACGCAGTCATGAACTTTTGTGCATAATCGTCTGTCACTCGCATTTTTGCGTAAGCTCTGCGTTCACTATGCACATATTCCTTGAAATTGTTGATCAGAGTGCACAGCAGCATGCAGTGTCATGCTATTGGTGGCGCTCCACGTTTCAAGTCATTTATGACACTGTGGAGTACTAGTAGATAGGCCTGTGGTGAAGTGTGCAAAGTCTAGTGTGCCCAGTTAGTCTCCTAGCCGGTGCGCTTTGGCATAGTGCTATAATATGAGCACAGACAAGTGCATTTATGGATACATGTATACCGAGAACCCCACAACTTGAGGATGACGATTTTGCTGTAATAACTCCACTCTGCCTTTGCGGGCATCAAGCACTCTGTTGGACAACTTGGAACCTTTCTGCTTTATACAGATAACCCAAAGGGCAATATTGTCTTACTCAAGGACACCGCCTCCATGCAAGTCACCTACAGTCAAACCAAACAAATTACTACATGTACTGTAAAAGTTGGATCCAGAACGGGGCACGAAATACATCTGTTATTCCTTTGTTTCCTCTGTACCAGACTACCAAGAGGTTTTTTTCTTCTCTCGAGTCTCGATCGACGAGATACCCCAGCATAGTAACACCTCTTTTACGGACAAAATAAACTACATATTAGAGCAACACTTGATAAGAACAATTATCACATGGCACGTGATTGTTGCCCGTACTCCAGCGAATCAGCACCTTTCGCGCCGCGGGCAATAATATGCGATATTGCCCGCAAAAAAATAGTTTATTTGCCCGCAAAAAAATAGTTTATTTCAGTGATCGCGTGACTACTCTGTACGACTCTACGAGTCGCAGTGTAGCATTGAGACGAAGATGGAATTCTTTTTGGAGATGGACATCCCGGCAATGGACATGGCCTCGGACGTCTGCCGCGTGGTGCTTGCAGGGATCATTTGTTCAGTCATGTTGGCAGCCTGACCGTCGGTAAGCTTGTGGATAAGATTCAGTTCTGCTCGAAGTGGTACTGTGATCACAAACAATTATTTGAAATAACACAAATTCAACTCAGCGTCGTGCGTTTTCATATCCTCGCAAAGTCACTGCCTGTGTGTGGTCTTCATGTGCCACGCAAAACTCTTACCAGGCTCATCTGTCCTCTGCCTTCACCTTTGCTTGAACAACAAACACAACAATTCAGGAATGTTTTGCAATGAAAAATACAGCTATCTGGAGCTGAAAAAAAAAGAAGAAAAATTGTCCTCAGAATTAGTACACCAGGGAGTCGTCAAATACTTGCACTTGTTGCAGTACTGTATTTGACAACTTCCTGATACACATGTAAACATGAAGAAACTCTTTGTGGTAGCACTCTTAATTTTTCAACTGAAATTATGATTTCCCTCAAACCAGTTAGAAATTATGATTCTGCTGTATTTTATTGTCGTTGCCATGTCTATTGCTATGACGATGCGGTGCCGGCACTTTTTTTTCTGTCTCCGTCTTTCAGTACTGTATACTCTCTGATGGCCTGTAGCAGACTTTTTGTTAGGGTGTAGGAGAAATATCTTCATTTTTCCTGTTTTGATAATGATAGCACATCAATATACATTGTGGTCATAATGTGTTGGCATTTGGGCTAATTTCAACAGCAGCCCAATGGTCTGCTCTGTGGGCCATGTGATAAATTTGTTATCGCATGGTTGCTGCGGGCCTTATGGCATATTATTGCCCCTCGAGGTTAGCCCTCGGGCCTACGGCCCTCGGGCTAACCTCTCGGGGCAATAATATGCCATAAGGCCCTTGCAACCATGCGATAACATATACTTACATAGCTTTAAAGTCAGTGCAGTGTGTGCATGTTTGTTTGAGTGCTACTACGCACATGCCACAGCTATACTACATTTTGTAGTTCAGAAATGCACTACCAAGATAGAGTACATTATGTACTCTTGGTACATGTACTACAGTCCAGGGAGCCCTACACATACCGTGTGTGTAGGGCTCCCTGCTACAGTCTACTGTAAAGAAATAGGAGACAGGTGTGTGCTGGCATGGTCACTAAACTTTGTGCTCGCAAAGACTTGTAAAAGTTGGAATTTGTATGCAAAAACTTTAGACACATATCACACTCTAAAATCTTCCAGTACTCGCAATACAGTACTTGAAATTCTGTTAGGAGAGCACTGCATGTATGCGTTAGTTGCACACTCTCTTGGTCCTGGGCATACTGGCAGTTGGGGTCAGTAAAATGGTGCATATGCATGTATGATCCTCACATAATTGCGTATGACCGCAACATCATGCGCATGATTTGCAAGATTGGTCAGCACCGGTGCACCAGGGAGTCGTACTCAAACTAGTTTGGGTACGACTCCCTGGACAGCACAAATGATGGAGATAGCCTAAAAAAGATGATGCCCTCTACTCTGGCAGGTCTCCATAGCTCGAGAAACACAACAGCTGCACACAGAGGTCAAGAAAAAAGCCAACGTGTGTGATTAGTACTGATTACACTTTCAGTCAAGTCCAGGTAACAGTTATTCCTGACATAACACTAAGCACAGTGCGAGAAAACTTTACCAGCAGTAGCAACGGTCATTGTTCACATTATCGGGCAACAATACTATGATGACCATAACAAAACGAAAAAAGTTAATAACACAAGACGGATACAAACAGCATACAAGAGTCTGCATAACCAGTGACACGAGGGAAACTAAGCTATGGCAGACAGTAGACAAATGCAGAGACAGATCGGAAAAAACCCTCGCAGAACAACAACCTATCACAAACAAAACAAACGTACGAGAGAGAGAGAGAGAAAGAGAGAGAGAGAGAGAGAGAGAGAGAGAGAGAGAGAGAGAGAGAGAGAGAGAGAGAGAGAGAGAGAGAGAGAGAGAGAATGCAACATAATGGCATCTGAGCAGCACACATACAGAGCAGCAGATCTCACACAACAGCAAAAAGGTGAACTCCTAACAAAGAAAATAGGCAAAAATCAAAAATCAATCAAATATAATTGCACAAATAAGATGGCAATGCTAGCCAGCCACAGCATTAGCAAAGAAGTATGGGGACATGCGAGAGAGAGAGAGAGAAACAGAAGACCAGAACCAGTGTCCTCGTGCTTTTTACCAGGTGACATTGATAGGAAGAAAAAAATAATGAATACTGCAAGACACCATACTATATATGCAAATGATGACATCATTGGTGTGGGAAGTATGCGAAAAGAAAAATTCCTAACTTTATTCTTTACAATATGCTGAAACCAATCTCAGAGTTTCTCATTCACGTTCTATTAAGGAGTTTAAATGACTTTCAAAATTGTGACACTGAATTTCAATGGTATAATTATGTATGTATGTATGTATGTATGTATGTATGTACAGATAGTTATGCTCTTGGAGACAGAATTGTGAGTTATTTCATGATCTAAATTTCAATACCCTCCCAATGACGCGTGTCCAACTCATTCACGAGCGTGCGCACGAACGTCATCTCTTTGCGGGTGTTCTCAAATAAGACAGTCGGATCATCGTAAGGACAGCGAAGACAGTTTGGTGCCCAGACCATAGCTAGATTGTTCAGATCCATCTTAGTGTAATAGCTGACAGTTGTTGGCACAAATTGCTACACACCAGTAACAAATAGAAAGAAAACAGAACAGGTAAGTGGGCATAACAACTAGCGGCATTGTAAAGGTAAAGTACTACTACCTGAACTGAAGAGTGCTCTTTGACACCTTGAGACATCGCAAGATGCATGGCGGGACAAGTGATGTAATACGTCATGTACATGGCTTCTTCTCAGTGGGAAAGTCAAACCTCAGATTTCATCATCAGGCTAAAAGTATGCAATCACCTGGTTACTAGGCCTCAAGATAGTGTCGTAACTCTAGAATTGTTATACTCTATTTCCCCCGAAACAAAAAAACATCGTTACTTCATTTTCACAGTCAAAGGAGCTACGGTGCTCAAGAAACCTACTTCAGTGGAACACACAAACTCAGGACAAAAAAACGAGTGGATACCGTAAAGGCGCGAATAGAAGCCCCGGGGCTCTATTTTTTGCAGAAGACACATCGAGGGGGTTATATTCGAGAGAGAGCTTTATTCGAGAGGGGCTTTATTTTTTAATAGAAACGCCAATTGTTTCACACTATTCGTGTTGATACATGCAGTGACTACACTCGATCGTTGTACTGTAAAGTACCCGTAACTGCACTGCATGATACGGACATTGAGCACTCGATTATATAGCCCCGGGCTTTTATACGAGACGGGGCTTTATTATTCCGATTCCCTCTGACACACGGGCTCTACCGTAAAATTCAGTTAATAAGCCTCGGGCGTATACTTTGCAGAGCGTCAAAAACCGGGTGTATATTTGGGCATGGGCTTATTTTAGGGCATGGGCGTTATTTCGGACGCAATCTGCAGAAGATCAATCTATCAGCAACCCACTAGTTTCAGTGAACCACCATTCACACTGAGCGCGGTACAGGTACATCAAACCACATGTTTTGCCACATTTTTTGGCAGTTTGCTACATTCCAACGGAACATCGCTGTCCTCGCGCGCCGTGGCAGTGTTGAGTTCTGCACTGTGCTGCGTGCAGTTGGATAGCACGCACTCGATCTACAACTGTTCTACAGTTTGTACGCGAACACACGCTCGCTAGGCCTAGCCCAAATTTGCCGGCAATTCTTCCAGCAAAATATCGACTTTTCCAACGAAAAGAAATTGCTGGCAAATTCCGAGCAAAATATCGAATTTACTGAGGATCCGGGTGTGTTTTGGCAATTTTATTCAAATTTCGTTGGTTTCATTGGGCCAAGGTCGTGCTGAAATAGCTCGTGCAGGTTGTCAGGGGTACATAAATTTGAAATCATGCTCCAAAATCCGTAATACTGACACCATTATAAGTTTTGCTTTCCTCATCAGAGTCACCATCCACTTTTACCAAAGTAGACGGTTCATTCGAAGCCATTTTTGCCACAAAGCAGGAGCAAAATGGAGCAAAATATCGAAAACGAAAGGCAATGCCTAGCAAAATATGGAAAGTGATCGGGCAAAATTTGCCGGCAAAATATCGAAGCGCCCCGAGCAAATTTGGGCTAGGCCTAACGCTCGCGCGCTGGTCATTTTGAGTCCACTTTACGCCCTGGGCTTATTTCGGGCATGGGCGCTAAAACGGACTTGAAGTGTACACCGCCTAAAACTGGGCTTATTATCGGACATGGGCGTTATTTAGGGTGGGCTTATTTACGGAATTTTATGGTATTTGAGAGGGGCTGTATTCGAAGGGGCTAAAACGGACTTGAAGTGTACACCGCCTAAAACTGGGCTTATTATCGGACATGGACGTTATTTAGGGTGGGCTTATTTACGGTATTTGAGAGGGGCTGTATTCGAAGGGGGGCTTGTATTCCAGCGCGTACGGTAACTGGATATTATGTATACCGGTACACGATAATACACAGTAGTGGGGATTCCCAGGTTGCTAGAGTACTCAACAGCACAAGGATGGAGCAATACAACAAAGGCAGAAGAGAACAGTGATAGCCTGCTAAATTATTGTTGTAACGCTGCGCTTCATGCGCATGGCAAGGCCAAGGGCCTGGTCAGACTGCGGCAAAAACGAAATAACCCTGTGATTAGAATCCGAAATTCCATAGAAACCTGATGCCAGAGCGGCGAAATCGAGGGTTGACACTCCAAAAAAAGCAAGAACGGACCACGCTTTTCCACTCCAACCAGGAGTTTGACGCTGATATTCACTGATTTTTTCATCTCGATCATCTCGATATCGAAGAGCTAATCTGGCAATACTAATACTGGCAACAAAACTCATAAGGATGGTTGCAAGGATTGCACTGAAGGTGGTGGCGATCACCGAGGTGAAGGAATTTGACGTTGTTCGTGGAGATTTCCACTTGACGCTCAAAATGAATTTTGAGTTTTCATTCTACCCACATGTGTAGTGTGATCACGATTCTAATCCTGAACGATTTTCTTTTTTTTTTGTCAGGCACCGAAAATTAGCCGCAGTCTGACCAGGCCCTAAGGCAATCCTCAGACAACTGAAACTCTCAGAAAAATCCTCAGTTGCCTGAGGAGTGCCTTAGGGTGTCCTTGATTGGCGAATCTGGATCAAGTGAGAACAGGCGTGGTCCGAGCAACGCTGGCACAATCTAATAAAGCAATGGCATAGTACGCCAAATGTACGCATATCGTACAAAGATTATGCGAAAGCTGTAAAAAAAACCACGTCAAAGTCCATTTCCACTCCAGCCACTCCCGGTGTGGTCGGATTGCACTCCAAGTACACCTACTCGGGATTCGGCCAAACGCTCACGCTCACTCGGAGCGCACTTGCTCGGGATTCGCCCAATCGATCACGCCCTAAGCCTTGCTAAGTGCATGAAACGCGATTTTCACTGTTCTCTTCTGCCTTTGTGTACACTATACTACAAAATAAATACTGTAAAACGACAAACTTGCCCGGCGGCTAAATTTAGCGTTTTAGCAAACTGGACCAGTTAGCGGCGATTAATTTTAGCGATTTTTACCTTCCACCAAAAATGAATTATATTTTACGAAGCCTTGGAGTGCTGGGCGCAGAGTGCATGAAGAATGAGAGAAGAAACCAAAGAATGAAAGAAAGAATCAAGGAATGTAAGAAGGAATCAAGGCATCAAAGAGAACCATAAGGTAAGTACTAGTACTGGGAGAAAGGATGGCACGTTCGAAGAGGGATCATCGGAAGACTTTCTCTTCGAACTGCTGAGCCACTGCGATACTCATCGCGATAAAATTCAGAAGACTTCTTCGAGCAGTACAACACTAAAATCTACGCAACAGCAAGCTGGCCAAATGCTCCAAGAAGTTCAACAACACTCTCCACAACACTGAGACATTCTCCAGTCGATCGTTTTATTCTCTTCTGGTTCAAGTCGCCGTACTCCAACGGCAACTAATGTTTGTTACTTGCAAGGCTGGTGTTGGTACGTAACCTGTCGTTGCAACAGCTGCGCTCTTTGGTTGGACATAGCCGGCCGTGCAAGCATCGATCAGCGTTGTGAATGTACAGTCAGTGCAGTGAGTGATGCATGCGCATGTACGAGTCGTACTGTACAGATCTGTTGCAAAACGATCGATCATCGACGCATCGCGTAGTACGTAATAGTACAAATTTCATATTCGCGTGTCAAACTTTCGCGATTCGACCCTGCTCGCGAAAGTCGCGAAAGTTAATCGCTCGCGAAAGTTTGTCGTTTTACAGTAGGCATCATTTCAGTCTCACATTGTTCCATTCGTCAAAGCTCAATTCATCAGAACTGACTGGCCTATCAAAGTTACGAATTTTTTGTTTCCAGAAGAAGTAGATTGCTACACTAGTACACTCAGAGTGTGGATACTGCTGTACATCATACATTGTACAAAGTAGACACGAAGTAGCAGGGAACACGCTTCAAAGACTACATTGTACAGTCACACATATGCCAATGCTAGTGAAGTGAAGAGAGGAAGCATGTAACAGTTAATGGTCGGCCATACCTGTAAGAAATGGACAATGTAGAACAGCACGTTGCGGTTCAGCTCCGGCAGCTCATCCACAATGGCTAACACCTCGTCTCGGCTTCCAGCACACCGAATACATCGATCAGTAAACACACAGTAGGATGTTAAGGCCAATATTCAAATCCTACAAGCTATGACAGGAGACATAATTAGGCCAAAGTATGACTTAATGTAGTTCATGACAATAGAGACTGCTAACGTTTGGTCAACAGAAGCTAAACCAGCAGGCACCTGCAGTAGGCCAGCTCTCGGCAAACCCCGATGTCAGAAGAGACCACGTGCCTACGGTTTGAGCATGAAAACTGCAACGAAGTACACTGCAGTATAACATGTGTCCAAATGGTGCGACAGGATTGTACTTCGGAGGGTGAATTTAGATCATGAGGCTGCTTACATGCACACCTTCACTATTGTGCAGTCAGCAAAGGGCTCAAAATCACGCGTAGACACTTTGATGAAATCAAAAGAACTTGCAATTGCACCGTTAGTCCTGTGCACTCATTGTACTGGTATTTGTGGTGAAGTTTGGAATAATCACGAAAAGAATGAAGACGGATGTATTGGTACGATACCCGACTTTACCACCTTCAAACAACTACAAGATCAACGCATCTGGTTTCATTTAGAAAAAATTGGGACGAGCGTAGGTTTGAAATATTGACAACGTCGGGGTCCCGGCAACGACACACAACCGGCATGCACGGCCCATATGCCACATTTGCTCACAGTCTACAGGATATATACCGGGGCAGTCCGGAGGGATTGCAGAAGGCACTCCTGGCCTCGGTGCATACTGGCAATATGGGAACAACTACAACTTGTACCACACCATGAAACCAGCACACAACATGATTTGAAACGAGGGTCTGGAATCAACCAAAGTATTGCACAGTGGCTGTAACATTGTACACTTACTTCAAAATGAAGTACCTAAACTGAGAGGTGAGGGCATGTTCGATTGGTAGGATCGGGATCCAGATCAACCGGATCCACTGGATTCGCACCCTTTCGATTGGTCGAATCCGGATCCTTTGGATTTGGATCTGGTCAACCCACCTCGGGGAGCAGGGTTGACCAGATCCAAATGATCCAAATGTGCGTATATGGTGGGTAAAAATCATTTTCGTACACATTGTTGTACGCACACACGTGGATCGAGATACTAGGGACGTCTAGCAACGAGAAAGTTCGAAAGAAAATTCGAGTCTGGGAATACGTACAGAAACAAAGCTCGAAACTTCGAAAACTTGGACGCATAGTTGCAGTGATTTGCGAAAGTAACTTTCTCTTTTCTCGGTGTGCACTTGACGACAGGGAGTAGTAAATTTACAGCCCCCTGCTTGATACTGAGCTGCAGATACAGTACTATAAGATTCAAATAACTTCGAGAAAGTCATTTTGCATTGCTAAACCTCACATGCACGGCTGTTTTTTTCGCGAAATTTGGACATTTAACAAGATGGCAGCCGGAAGTCTCGATTGGGCTGGATCGGCAAGAAAATTTGAATTTTCAAATTCTCAGCAGGCGATTTCGCTGTGGTTTTCGCTCGATTTAGAAAGCTGCCAGGCCAGGTTTACCCGGAAAACAGGTATTCCGTGTTCCTCTTGAAACTAGCTTTCCGCTGGTACCTCACATGCCCAACTTCCTCGCAGGAACAGTTTGTTCCGCGTTGCACAAGTCAAGCCTTCTATCTCGCTCGTTGCTTGATTCATCGTTGACATGCCTGCCTCAAGAAGCCTTTTCAGAAGTTTTCCCAGTCTAGCTTTCAGTTTTCCAAGGTAGAGGACTATCTTCTGGCTATCTTCACCAAGTTTTATCACGTCCCGTGCACAAACTTCAGGTCCCGTGCGTGCAATGCTGAGCTACCTTTTCATGCGATTTAGGGGACAGACGGCATGGCACTGGAGTCGCTGTTGAGTCCAGGAGGCCGAGGCCTGGTGGAAACTGCCCAGTAGACATGTCGGGTATTGCTGAGAAAGGCAGCAAGCACACAGATAGACCCAATATTTTGATGTAGATCCAATTGTGCATTTGTTCGAGTGCATATCGGCAAATTTGAAAGTTACCCCGTGATCCCGACGAGGAGAAGCTGAAAATCAGTGCGTGCGTCAATATCCAGACTACCAGGGATAGCTTGGAGAGGTTCGAAAAGGTCAGGATGCTGGTTGACCATGGTAGGAGTTCCTTTTTTCTTCCTTCTCCCTCAAATTGTCTGGATATTGAGTATCTCGCTCGAATGCTTTCAAATAAGAAATCCTGGTTTGACTTGCGAAATCGTGGAACCACACGGAGAGTGACATGAGTGACTCACGCTGCTATCTGGTGTTTACGAGGTGTTTGTCGCGCTGGAAACGGAGCGTCTCTGTAAGTTTGTATCCCTGGTGATGTTTGTGCCTGGAGAGCACTATATAAGTGGTGCTCTTCAGGCACAATCTTCCTCAGCCTACTCAAGCTCAACTGATGAGGGGTGAATTCCCCGAAACACTGTGTATTGAGCAGGGAGTGGTGCTTTCTTGCAGGTTTGCCGAGTCGAAGGTTCGATGGACTTCTCGTGTGCTCTGGATGGCAGTCGTGAGTCAGTCAAGTGTCAAGTAAAGTCGGCGGAATAGCGCGAGCTCCGGTGTGGGGAGCAAACCCTTTCTTACAAATCATCGCCGAAGTCGCAACCACTACTTCGTACTGTAAGACAGGTAAATCTAACGAGGAAGTACTAGTAAATCTAATGTTTTAACGAGTTACATTTCTTCGTTATAACAAGTTCTGTTGAGGCCATAATGCCTGAAGACTGCAAGATCGTTAACGTATCTTTTCATTAACCTATGAAGTTTGGACAATCATTAAATACCCCCCCCCCCCCCACACTGTTTATATACAGGAGGGTGATTTAGGCCACTGATGGCTAAATACATGTTCACACCACAATGCCAGGTCAATGTTGACAAACACAGGCATACACTGCAAAACTGCTGAGGAGGATATTATAGTTCTGGTGGTATCACTGGATCCAGCAGCTCTCTAAACCACAGCTTCAGTAAAGAAGCGGGTACATGAGGGTCGCGTAGGTCACCAACTTCGAACCGATCAATTCTAAGCTTGAGAGTGTTGACCTCATCAATGTCACCAGGCACTCTGTGAAACACACACACACACACACACACACACAATGTGACACATACGACAGATAGAAAAGCACATAAGACCCCTTTCAGCATTTCAATGCGAACTGTTCAGAGAGCTCCGAGTAGCAAAGGGTGTCAATATATATACCGTATGTCCGCACCTTTAAAGCCATGGCGGTATATTCGATTATAAAGCCAGGGGCTTCATAAATGAAATGACATTTGAAGTATGTTTTGTAAAAATGAAGGAATAAGTACTATGCTAACAAAACTTACAGCCCAGTAGGAAGGGTGAACAAGTGGATTTAGATTGAAATTTCTGTGTGGACTTTGACTTTTATGGCATGGCGTAGTGGGTGAGTCATCTTGCATCTAAAATATCTAGGAAAGCAGCGGTGTTTCGAATATAAGGCCATGGCTTTAAAGGCGCTGACATACGGTATGTGAACAGGCTGTATCCTGATCGAGAATGAGTTTGACCATTCAGCAAACATGGTGAGCCATACTGTGATTAAGTTGGCAATCCGTGAGAGGCAAGTGCAAGAACTACACGCGTATAAGACAAATATTTCAATCCTGCTCTGGTAGTGGTAGACTGCAAGCTTTGTAAGTGACTGTTGTAAGCTCTCAGCATAGTTTGGCTGCTACCATCTTGTGCTATGGTACGTATGTGATCAGGATAAGGTTTTTTTAAGGAAAACAGCGGGGCACAAGTTATGCTTTAGAGCCCACCAACTAAACCAGAGAGAGACTGGTTTCCATTTAATATTTGCCTTGGCTCACCATCCGAGTACTTATTGATAATTTCTATTCTAAGACTGTGTACTATTATTCCCTTCTGGATAATTGTGCCTAAAGAATACGTTTCTTCTCCGGGTTCAGGGTCTTTCGCTTGCATTTTAGTTTAACCCTTTACCAGCCGATGTGCACATGAAAGCGTCAAATTCGACGCATTCAAGTGGGAAACTTCACATGATCCTAACTCTGTCAATGTGTCAAAACTCGCCCTATTTCAACGATTCAAATATTCAGGTCGAAGAGAAAACTCCCGGTTGTCCGTAGAAACAATCTGCGACGAGCTACGACCAGTGGTTTCAGCGAAAAATCACTCGCAAAACGAGCCGCAATCGTGGCAACTGGTACGCATTGAGCACGACACAAAACGATGACATTTTGAGACTTTTCGCTGACCAGATCAACTCTAATTTGCACAGGTTTCACTTGTGAGATTCCTAGGAGCTCACAGCGAAAAAATCGGAACCCAGTGATCAATAAAAGTGAAATGGTTGGTGCAGGACGAAATTGCGTATATTTGAAGCGTTTTGCACCTTCGCTGCTCTCCAGTACTGGAGATATGGCATCCTTGTTACCATGCTTGGCCACACTCTTCCTCTCGCGAAGACCTTCCCAGGAAGCCCAAGATTGTGGATATTGGATGAGTAGAACAAGTTACAATCTGAAGAACATGATATACAGATTTTTGACAATTTCTCTATGTCCATACTATGCTCATTCAACTAATACCTTCATATAATGTATTGGGTAGACTCGGATGGAGAGCCAATAATCAATAATTAATTATTAATAATGAAGAAAAGGACCAAGGAACAACAACTTCCCGCCCTACGTTTTCATATAACATAGAACCTTTCAAGTTGGAAGGCTGTTGGAGTGCGCACCCAAGACGTGCTAGAGCTGATAGCCAGTTAGCTGTGGAACGTCAGTACTGTCGGTCAGTTCTGTGCAATGTTATCGCATGAGCTGATTGCCAAGTAACTGGCGGTGTTAGTGGACACTATAGCGTAACTTGTAGTTCCTTGGCCATTTTCTTCATTATAATGAATTGGTTTGGGCTTTCAATAAACACATTTCACTGATTTCAGTAGTGGCACAGCACTCTGGGGTGGTGTTATTAATTTCCATTGTTACCAGATTCAACATCGGGTTTCTGTGCTGCGCTGATGAGTCCTAAAGGACGAAACAGTACTGCTTGCATATTGAACAAAAGTACAATCACAGCATGCATCACCTACCGAAAGATTCCTTCTGTGCTCTTAGCATTGAGTTTCAACACTTCCTTTGCCAGTGTCGCCAAAATCCACGGCACACGGCTGTCGGGATACGTTGACAACTGCATCTCAAAGACATCTCTCAGTGTGTCGCCAAACATTGATGGGTTGTAAGGCAAATTCCGTCCATGCTCCACTTCCTCCAGAGATGGCTTTTTCTGGCCCTTCTTGGCACCAGAAATGCGCATTTGTTCCAGTCGCTTAGTGCAATATTGTGCATACACCTGGACTGGGCTATCCTGGAACACACGCACACACAATGGGCACGCACATAGCCAGCAGTAAAAAGTAGTCAGCAGACTGCAGCCAAGTATATGGTGCAGTATGAAGCATGGTAAAACTGGAAAACGTTAGGTGTATGGATATTATGCCAAGCAAACATGAAGAAAACAAACTCACTGCTGATTTGAGGTCCTGAATAGGTGACGAAGGAAGATGCTTGTACATATAGCCTTCTAAATAGGAATGGAACATAGATGATGGCGGAAAGAATGACAACGCTGTACACATTACTTCCCAACCAGCGTGTAAGCTTTTCCTGGAAAGGCATCAAAACAAGCACAACAGAACACGGGATCTCTATGATCAGTGATCAAATCGACATTGCAATAAGCGCTTGCAACACTTTCACCACCAATGGTGAATGGAGAAGACACAAGCAAAACACGCCAGGGGCAAGTTGACAGCCTGATAAACTACACATTGGTCAGGTGTCACCACATCAATATGATACCACGAAGGTTTAGCAAGACGAATTTCACGCGAGTTCGCAACCCAATGAAAGACAAACTCAGTAACAATTTTTTTGTTGTGATAAGGCTGCACCGTTTTTTTCTATGTTTCTCGTCACCTTTACCCGATGAAATCAATGAGGGAGGGCGAAAAACATTAACCCTTTATGGACTGCCAAATTTGTACAGGAAAGAAGCGACATGCGAAAATCAGTAATAACTCGAAATCGGTGTACATTAGCCAATACAACACCATACATTTTCGGACAGTAGATAGGATAAGCTGTCCAACATATCCTCGCCGCCGCTCTCGCTACTAGCAGTATCAGCAAATCCATCAGATAAATTGTTTTCTTGAATTTCTGGGATATCATCATCACTATCACTGTCCACTTCGAACTCGTCGTCATCAGACTCGTCAAGTGGGTCGTCAGAACTGTCCTCATTAGAGTTCCAGTTCAGAATCATGCCGATGGCATCGTCGTGCCATGACAGTACTCGTACTGCAATTTTAGTTCTGCATGCTCGCGCAAGCTCTCAATTGTTTTTCTTGCGCGGCCGATTTGGTCAACATTTTGACTAGGGACCCCCGGCGAATTTAGCACCATTGGAAAGATATGGATTTCGTCTTTCGATTTGTGTAAAAAATATCGCCGAAAATGTGCGGCGCGCCCAGAAAAATTCGCGTTTCAAGTTTCGATCTTATTAGATCAAAACTCGTACAGTCCGTCCACAAAGGGTTAAAAGCCATAAAAAAAAACATTGTACATACTAGTATTTGTGCACAGCCGGAGTCGAACTAAAGACCCGGCACTGTTCGTGTATATTTTGAATTCACTCAATTCAGACATGCATACCATCAAGAGTACATAACCCCCCAGAGTGTGCTACGCCTGACCCAGCTCTGCATAGGGGCTTGGTCGAGCGCAATCGGATCTTCTGATGTCATGTGTACACTCCATACCAGTGCAAGGCCGGTCTCGAGGCAGGGCACCGTTGTTTTTGATCCGAGCGTACCCGCGACTCACCGGGTTCCCCTCAGATGTGTACGAAATTATGACGCAAAGATCCGATTACGCTCGACCAAGACCCTATGCAGAGCTGGATCAGGCGTTGCACACTCTGGGGGAGGGGGTTATGTACTCTTGATACCATCAAGAGTGCATAAACAAGAGTATGGAACTGTAGATATGGGTCAATGCACGGCGTGCTGCCTTCATTACGTAACTTGCTTCCATCACGCTCTGAAAGCATGCAGTCAACCCCTCAATTTCTCGCACAAGCCCGTCCGTTTTTGCTCGATTCAGTCCAGTACCTACGCGATCTCTAAACTTTGGCGTGTGAACTTCAGTTCCGTACGAAAGTTCATTTCAAACCAGAGGGAAAGTGCGGTGTTTGATTTTCTGCAATGTACAGACTGCACTGAAATGATGTAATAAAGGCAGCACGCCGCGCATCTGGCCCATAGAAAAGAGACCACAGTTGCATACTCTTGTTTATGGATTCTTGATACCATACATGAGTGTATTCAGCCTATTCATTTCCATACAATGAATGAAGTAAAGTTTATTGCACGTGCTATCTCTACTGAGTGGTACCTACACGCCAAACTGTGTCCATATCAGCTGGACGGGAACGTTTCTGGTCACGCTTCTGCTCACCCTGTGAGCGCACATTATGCTCGTGATCCAAAAAAACGGGCAGTAATTGTGTGACTTGCGGCCCAGCTTATCCACACACAGTACAGGTATGTGAGCTAGTACATGTTAAACTCCGGCTGTGAAATACACGAGCGCGGGGGACGTGAAACATAGAAAAAACGGTGTGGACTAAGGATTAACAAACAGAGTTCGCGCTTGCACTACATTGACAGATCATACATGTGCATAGACCGTAGTAGGTAGTAACTTCATGACCGCCAGACACGAATCTGCGATTTCCGACTGCTTTTCCGACCGAAAAGTGTGAACGTTCGCATTTCAGTTTGCGAAGCAAAAAGGGCTCGCAAACTCGAACGCAAAGTTCGCCTTACTATTACTGTACTTACTTGTTCTTATTGCCAGTGGTCTGACGACAAAGCTGTACAAATAGCTCATCACGTAGCTGGGTAGTAGTCCATGTTCTGCCGATGATCTCGTGTAAGATTAAATCCCGTTCCCTGTCTTTCAGCTTACTACGCTTGTCACCCATGTAGACTAGCAACTCTACATGCAAGCAGACACATGTCAACACTATACTCATTACGGGAAGAGAGAAAGATAGAGAGACAGAGAGTTTAAAAGCAGAGTGAGGAGAAATGCCAAAACCTAAGTCTTTAGGCACACATTGTAGTTCAACTTCGTACTTTCAACTAAGAAGCACTGTCCTGCTCAAGTATTGGACACAGATTGCAAGCATTACGAGTAACATCACCGAGAAGGTGATGTACATACTCCAGATGGGCGATCAAGACTCACCAATACGATCAAGACTCACCAATACGATCATTCAAGTATTCAGAAATTAAAACAGGATTGCACCCATTCTGTACATGATCTTGTGCGATGATAACAGAACAGGAGTACTTCCTCCTTAAAGCAAATCTTCGTTGCGTTTTTTCGTGTTCTTGTCATGATATTTCTGTTGGCATTAGACAAACATGTCAGTGATCTATCCCCTACATAGGGTAGCCGCTGTGTCGTCCATTGTTCTGACAGGCTTATATTATGAACCTCCGGAAAGCATGGAGTGATGTCCTTCGAAAAAATCGGCGAAGCAGAACTGTTTCTCGACAGGATGTCACCAGAACACAACCCCAGGTGCACACGCATGACACCGAAGTGCGAAAATGAGAAACAGCTTGAAAACGGGCCCAGAAGTGCCAGAAGCCGGCCAGCCACTGCTGTACCAGCACGATGGTGCGCGTCTGCACACAGCCAAAATCAATGCACTTGTGTTTGCAGCGCAGGGGAAATCAAAAGTGTTCGAAATTCAGGTTGTCGTTCAGCCGGCGCAAAGTCCCGATCTCAACGTCGACGACTCAGAGTTCTTCCACAGCCTGCAGACCGACGTGTCACTTGCGGCAAAGGAAACCAGAAAGGAGCTTCTGCAGGCTGTGGAAACATGCTGGCACGAGTACCCTGCTGCGAAAATGAGGAGCGTTTGGTTGTGTCTGTATGGCTCCTTCCATAGCATTCCGGAGAGTGGCCACAACTACCAGCGCCACCATGGAGGCCATCAAGCTTAAAGGTCGAGCAAAGAACTAGGCGATCTCCACGATCAAATCGTGTCTCGGCAACTTGTAACGGCTGCGGAACAAAAGCTGGCAGCGCTGGAGGCGAAAGTCAGCGAGGATGCAGACTAGATGTCATCAAGGAGTGAGTCATCATCTGATTCAGACAAAGAGTGAAGCTGGACTGCTTTGAAACGAACTGCGTGACATCTGTAAATCAAATATCTCTCATATGCTGCTTTGTTTCTCCCTTTGCAAATCGAGTTTGTAGCCATAGAATGAGTTGGACTCAACTGTAAAAATGCAACGAAGTTTTGCTCAACGGAGGAAGTAATTGTAAATAAGATCTAAAGCAACATACGTTTGAACATATCCAGAGCTTCCTTCTTCCGTTTTTTATCGTTCGTTCTCAGCATAGGATGTGTGAGCGGGTCCTTAATATAGTGAAAAAGAACAGAAAAGCACAAAAGAAACCAAAGCATACAGCATCTAATGAGGATGGGCACACAGAAAGGCTAGAGCAGGGGTTCGGTGGTGACATGTAGCACACATGGTACATGCTACACGCTATATGGTGCACAGTGCTAACACTTCCTGTGCAAGCTTCTAAGTTCCTATCAGATTGATAAGTGTGCTCATGCGCATGTAGCTAACTGCATGGTGCCATCTGTTGGCACATAAAAGGAATCGTGCTCTTCTAAAACTCGACACTGCCCCATTCCAACCTAAAATACGAGCTTCAGACAGTGGATGCGACATCCAATCTCAACAAACATGAATTAAGGTTCCGCACTACGTAAAGTTGAGCAACTTTACGTTAGTAGGCGGGAAAAACCATGGAATTCGCGAGTTTGCACTCCACTTACGGAAAGTTGCCTACGTAGAGCATGTAGGTAGGGCTCTGATAACGTAGGTGCTCCGTAAGTGGATACAAATGTAAGACTCTTTCCCCAGGTCTTACACTGCTGCGTTCCGAGTTGCCAAGGGCAGTTACGTGATTTGAAAACTCTGTATGGCGGAACACAGATCCGCATGCAGTGTATGTAAGACTTTCCGTAGATCAACTACATTTCTTACTAACGTAATTACGTTATGCAGAACCTCTCTGTTGTACCTTTCAGTTGCAGCTCTTACCGATGTGCAAAAACAAAACCAGGCCCCTGAAACACATTACTAAATAGCCCACACTCAGACCTACCTTAGTCCAACTCAGCAAATTCTCAATGGTGACTTTCTTCTTGAAGCTGAAAAATGAGCGCCGACTCTTGGGCTTGTCAAAGCGGTCAAATGAGGCAATGTTGAATTTCTTATCTGCTGGAGGCAAACTTGGGGCAGCCGGAGGAACAGAAGGCCCTGGAACTGCACCATGTACTGCAAAGAAAGTCATCAGAAAAAAAAGAGTTATATCAGGGTGGGCACAGCCACAGATGGTGCCAAGGCAAAACCAACCTACTACTTCCACCATACAAAAGATTCTGCTGTAACATAGGTCTACTATCCACTTTCAAAAAAGAGAAATATTATCAATTTTTGAATTTCATTCGGCACTTTGCTGACACATACATAAAAATGCAGGCAAGACACATGCATAAACATGCCACAATCGCAGTATAGCGAAGTTCGGAGGACAGATACACGTAATGCTACAGTGGACGCAATAGTAGATCACCATCATGAAGGGAAAGGTCACTTCAAAAATGCAATCCGGTATATTATACTATGCTGTAGGCATCATTTCCCCAGTGTTCTTCGGCTAGGACATCATAGTAAAATTCTACAGTTCGCTACTAAAGACAGAAACTATCATGAAAAGGACGATCCTCAATGCGTGGCTTAGCCTAGTACTTAGTGGTTCCTTGGGGAGTTCATTTTTAGTTTAGTACTTTCATTTTAATTCAGGGAATCAATTCGTTAGCATCTTTCAGTCACATTGTTAGAAGCCTAAAGCCTGATTCATACTTCATTTCGCGTAAACACATTGCGCGACAATTGAAAGATAGGCTAAAGGGTGCGAAATGAAGCATATGAATCAGGCATAAGGTAGTAGTTTGGAGAAATTAGAGAAAATAGAGTGAATCAAGGCCACCTGTGCATGTTCCCGTCAGAATTAAAGGTATTTAGAGAGGAAACGGGTGTTGAGCGTATATATCTGTGCATTCTACTACATGTACTGTATTAATGTTGTGTCAAGTCCAATGTTGGCACTTGGCAGATGCATACACTAAAATGGGTATTGACCACATCAAGAGATGATTGCCGTTTTAGACATTGAGGCTAGTTTGTGCCACTACAGCTTCAACTGAATATCAACTACATTCCAAAAATTCATTGGCATCACCCCACCTAGATATCGCACATCTCTCAGGAACCGGAACCACTGTTCCAAGGCACTCATTACAGAAGCAGTTGCTCCCCTTGTGTGTTGAATGAGTCACATAGCAACTAGGCAGACAAATATACCCACGTATATGTTACATGAGGCATATGCACACCAGATAAAAACGCAAACAATTGCAGAGAGTGCTGAGGAAGGGTAATTACCTCTTGAAGCATCGGAAAAACTGCGTGTTTGCTTGGTTGCGTTCAGCACATCCCTTCCCGTTACACCCAAGCTGAACCGTGTTATTGGAATGTTGGCATTTTTTGGTGCATGCTCATCAGTAGAACTGGTTAGCATAGCCATGTTTAAATCAGTTATACCAGCGCTAGAACCGTCATTAGAACCATCAACGGTAACATTTAATGCTGAGTCACTATGTGTTACCACCAAGCCCTCAGGACATTCAACATTATCAATTACACCAGTAGTGATTAGGCTTATCCTCATGTGATGCGAGGTAGTCTTGTTTGCAACTTTGCGCACGTTCTCACCTTCAGCGGTGCTATTTTCCGGCACAGCAGCTGTTGTGGCTGCGGTTGCCCCAAATTCATCTGCAGCACTGCCTGATTGATCATGAGCAGATTGATCATTATCCTGTTGATACTGAGTGTCATCATATCCACCACCATCTTGCGTGTATTGTGTTGCATCATAGCTAGCTTCTGTTGTTGCGGGTGCCGCTGCTGCTGCGGCTGCCTCATCTGTTGAGTAGTTATACTGGGACTGGTCGTATTGGGATTGGTCATACTGCGATTGGTCATACTGCGATTGGTCGTACTGCGATTGGTCGTACTGCGATTGGTCATACTGCGATTGGTCGTACTGTGATTGGTCATATTGAGACTGATCATACTGCGCTGGGTCATACTCTGCGGTCGCAGCATCGGGTGGAGGGTAGTCGGCATCTTCTGCATACTGAGCCTGCTCGGTAGCTTCTCCTTCCGCCGTCACCACTGGCTCCTGACTCGTCGTAGCAGTGTGGTAACCATTATTAACAGGTGTATCTCCATTACTGACTGCTGATACATCAACATCATCTATATTGGATACTGGATCTTCCTCACCACGAATATCACCAACAGCACCTGCTGATGACACTGACCCTTCTGTGGACTAAGAGCAGGAAACACACACATACAAACATGTACCCACCACACACGCCATCACAAACAGACACACAGACATACATAGACAGACAGAGACACGCACGCACACACATCTGATGTTCATCCTTTCACGGTCTGATATACAAAAATCACCATGATCGATTTTAAAACTATCGTAACTCATAGTTGCAGAAACATTCACCCAACAGCCATCTCCAGTCCTTGGCTACAACACAAATAATAGTTCTTCCAAATGTTCACATCAGTATTCGGATTAGTGACCTCGACAATGTACAGTAGCGGTGAGTCGTCCCTTCACATACGCTACTCATTGAAGTGGTGTGGATTGACTGGTTTCACCAGCCAATGTTTGCCACTAGATACAAAACATCCGTATTATTGGTGATGACACTGGCATACTATCAACAGCAGGCCACGTTCTCCGAATCAAGTATGCTTCATACAAAGCGCAGCATTAGAGAGGTTCCGCACTACGTAAAGTTGAGCAACTTTACGTTAGTGGGCGGGGAAAACCCGTGAATTCGCGAGTTTGCACTCCACTTACGGAAAGTTGTCTACGTAGAGTACGTAGATAGAGCTCTGATAACGTAGCTGGTCCGTAAGTGGATTGGGGTACAAATTTATGACTCTCTCCCTCTGGTCGTACACTGCCGCGTTCGGAGTTGCCAAGGGCAGCTACGTGATTTTAAAACTCCGTATGGCGGAACACAGATGCGCATGCAGTTTCCGTAAGACTTTCCGTAGATCGACTACGTTTTTTACTAACGTAATTACGTTAGGCGGAACCTCTCTATTATCCAACCCAAAATGTTTCTCCAATTCAATCTTACGTTTTTCACTTTGCTACCCATCTATCTATTTTCCTGTGTCTTCATGAAACTTCGCAAGAGCTTGACTTGAAGGCTATAAATTACAGTTCATTGAGGAAGTCCGTTTCCAGGTTCATCAGCACGGGAAAGAGTCCATAGGCGAACGCGTGCAAACGGCTATATTCAGAAAACCTACCCTGCTAAGGAGCAGATCTATCACAGATACCCACACAAATACGTAACATTTATACTACCCAAACAACGCCAGTAATGTTAGAAAGTTGGGTCGCTAAACACTTCGTCCAGTGCTTCCCCGTCACTAGAATGTTGACTTGACTGGCTCAGGAGTCTGTTGTCCCGAGTGCAAGAGAAGATGCCATCCCCGCCAAAGGGTATTTGCACTACACGTCTGCTTTGGATGGTATTCGTGGGTCAGTACCGTAAGCATCCAAGGTGCAAGGGAGCTCAAGTGTTGAGCAACTCAATCGTAACGCTCTAAAAAGAAAGGAGCTAATGAGAGAGAGAGACAACAAAGCAGAGGGATACCACAAGCCCGCGTCTGGTGTAAGCACCCATTCTCAAGTGCACGTGCACATCAGGGGGGGGGGGGGGGGGGGGGTGTGCACACATGTGACCCAGGATAAATTCGGTGGATTTTGTGCTTGCTTTACCATTTCTGACCAAATGCAATGGAAGAATTCACATACATCCTTTTACACCCATATGTCCAAGTCGTACCAAAACTTTGCAATGGAAGATCACCAGACCCATCCAAAGCAATGCATAGTAGAATTTCAAGTGAAAATAGAATGGATATATCTGACAATAAATACAATGTACACTCAGTAAGATAGTGACTTACAAGTCGAGGGGTGGGAGATCGAGGCATAGTGTCTTGGAAAGACTGTTGAAAATCAGCACACACCACAACCAGCAGCACACTTAGGCAAAACACTTCAACTAATTGTCGTACATGTACTTAGACACACACTGTCATAAACAATCATAATCACAGGCACAATATTTTTAGAACACACTCACCTGTAGCTTTGACAATGGTATGACTTCAGAATCCTCAGGTCGCTCCCAAACAGTTTGTTGGGTGGCAGCACAGTAATAATAATAGCATTCACAATCATTGTCGTACAGCTCCCACCACTGGTCATCGGTCATCTGGCGACTAGAGAAATACAGCAAAATTACGAGGAACACAATCTTGACCCTCTGTAACCAGACGATAAAATGGAAAGTCCGGCGAGGAGTACATACACTTCGACTCCATCTGGTGCATCCCAGGAACAATCTCCAGTCGTGATGTTGGCATACATCAACTCCTTAGAACGTGGATCGACGATTTCGACCCAGGGGGTCGCCATTTCTCCTCCAATCTCAGCTCAGGATTTACACACAGTCAGATTTTTCCTGGGGAATTGGTGACGAGCCCTCCATCTACAGCACCATGCCCCGAGTGCTACCACTCGATTTCTACCACACCATAAAAATGATCGTGAACTAACTCGCAAGGTGAAACTATCTTGGCGATATCTCCAGCAAGCCTCTCACGTCCAGCTACATCGAGCTCAGCTCGGGGTAAAGGAAGCTGGCGACAACCTAAATCCAAACTACTGTACTAGTACAGCTGTACTTGGCTGACAACACCAACGTCGCAACGCTCACTGAAGCAACACTGCCAACAGCATCAACCCGGCTAGCACATCTATTCCGTCACTGAGTCTGCCTGCAGACTGTGCAGTGCAGTACTGGCATACATGCAAAATGTGCAAGCAAGTCAGGAAACGTTGTACTGCGATCGAGTACGATCGAAATGACATGATCGCGTCACAATACGTTGCGTAGACCATGTACATGAGTATGTTGACTGACTGTAGTTTGTATTACAGTGCAGAGTACAGTGAGTCTGTAGATTGTGTAGATCGTAGAGTAGGCATGTCGCGCTTGTCTCGAGCTTGCACTTGCACTTGGGGGATACATGATTGTGTGTGTGTGTGCTCGGAGTAGTAAAAGTCAGGTGAAACTCATCAGATTTTTTTTCATTTTTGGCTTGTCCACTCCGGGATGGAGGACTACTGACACTGTACTATATATTGCAGCCTTGTAGATCTACAGTAGAGGCTATGTACACCCTGGACCCTGGTGGATCACCCATAACTGCATAAGTTATAACCAGCTCTTGATGTCGATACTCAGTACAATGCAAAGTGGTATCTTGAAGTTTTTTTTAGCTTCAAGACACCACTTTGCATTGTACTGAGTATAGGTCATAGTCAAGTGTCCGGCACTGTCGACATGCGACGCATTCTGGTAGACCAGACGGAATCAGGGTGCTGAGAAAATCCTCTCCTACTTACTAGGGCTACATCATGACTGTACAAGCAGTGAACCATGGTGAACATCACCAACCCCCCCCCCACACACACACGCACACACACACCATTGGACCATTGGGCGCCCATCGCCGGAGGCCATGATAGCGATGCTACAGCAGAAGCCATAGCAACTTGTGCTGGGATTGCACCATTCAACAGCTTGCAAGGCTGAAGAATTGACCGCCACTATGACCGCCACTATTCAGCCTGGTCCTCTCCTACTAGGGCTACATCATGACTGTACAAGCAGTGAACCATGGTGAACATCACCACCCCACACACACACGCACGCACACACACACACACACACACACACACACACACACACACACACACACACACACACACACACACACCGTATTGTGTGCATGCATTGGGAAGCTCCATAGGCTAGACCCTGGGTATCTATCTCAGGAGGAGATACAGCCTATCAGCAAGTAGGGCTAAAGGGAAAGGAATATGCAAAACCAGCTTGCACAACATGCAACAAGAGCATTGGGGCAGAGGTCTACAACGTAACTAAACCGTAACAAGCAAATGGATACAATAGTAGTCAACGGTATTCATGTGTACTATTCGATTATCATGATGTACTATTGGCTGGTACAGCGCAAGTAGGGCTAAAGGGAAAGGAATATGCAAAACCAGCTTGCACAAGATGCAACAAGAGCATTGGGGCAGGGGTCTACGACGTAACTAAACCGTAACAAGCAAATGGATACAAAAGTAGTCAACGGTATTCATGTGTACTATTCGATTATCATGATGTACTATTGGCTGGTACAGCGCACACCATGCTGCAGTCTCATAGCCTGTAACTAACTTAGTACAAGAGAAAGTTGCATACTAATACACAGCAGCACCTTCTGCATCATCCATCCCCATGGCTCTGAACAATCACCAGGCTTATAAGCAAGCTCTCAAGAAAGAAAATTATAAAATAATATAGAAGAAGAAGGTATTTCATGGAAACTCTGCCCAGGATAAAAAAAGGAAAATTGTTCATACAGTTTCCCAGTGTCCAGCAGTCAGGATAAGTCCAGTTCAGATGGTGATGTGGGATCATGCAGTTCAATAAGCATTCCATCGCTTGAATCACACGGTGATAGAGAAGCAAGTGAACTTTTCCGCTCAACACTGGCATGGTCAGAGTGTGTTGTTTCAAGGGGAACTACATCCGTACAGTGCTTGCTACATAGCTCAGTTGCTTCATCAAACCCGTTATCAGCTTCATCACATGATACTGGCGAGATCTGGAGCTGCAAGTGCTTCTGCTGGACGGTAGGGGTGATACCATGGCAAATGTTGGAAACGTCAGTACTGCCTGACCGTACGTCTGACTCTACTGACAAAGTACTTGAACGGCGGCCTGGTAAAACATTACCCACAACGGCTTCAGGCTGTGATTGCTTGACCAATGTCAGTGCAGTGTTGCTGCCATTGGGTGATGTTACATGTATGTACACATCTTCTTGCTCATCATCATCATCAGCAGCAGCAGCAGCAGTATCCGCTGTTCTTGCCATGGAATCAGCACTATCAGTGTCACTCGCATCGGCAGTGGGTGAAGACGCAGGCGCATAGTCACTTACAATTTCCATTATACTAGTACTGGAGTGACTACCATTTAGTGGGCTTGCAGTCAGCAGCAGAGGATCATCACCATGATTGCCATCACTGTTATTCGCAGCCGTTAAACTAACATCAGCTTCAGGTGAGTTAGCTTTGCCAATGCTGCTGTCATGCGGAGTTGTGCTGATGGTAGGAGGGGAAGCACAAGGCTGTCCGGACACAGACACTGGCCTATCAAGCATGGAGGCAGCAGCAACTTGCTCCAGTGCAGTCTCTCCTGATGCACACCCATCGTCACTGACTAGAGACAATACAGGCGATACGGGTGAGACTGGTGAAAATCGACCAAAGCCAACAACAGGTGGTAACTGGGAGTTGGAAGACGTCAGCTGTGCCACTGATACAAGACTGGGTGATTTCAGTGGTGTCTTCTCACTGGTCACATGTGTAGTAGGGCTTGGAGTGGTACAGTAGCCGTGTTGCTCTGCGGTATGAGTAGTAGCTGGCAGGGTATCAGCATCATCAGCCATATCATCACTACGGGTATCACTTGACGAAATAGGAGACACGGCATCAGCATAGCATCGGGTATTTGAGGTACTGCATATTGCTGAACTGCTGTTATCTTCCACCAACTGCCCTTTTGTTTCGAAAGAACACGATGACGGCCTTGGCTGATCTATGCTGCTGCTGCTACTGCTGCTCCTCACTGCCTCATCACCATCATTTTCATCTGATATAAATTCAAATGCTGCATCATCCTCATCCATTGTAAGACTGGAAACAGGACTGTAGAGATTGGTGGTATGTATAGCAGATGATTCTTCGTTTTCATCTGCCATCTGCCTAACATTTTCATTTCCAATTTCTTGAGCAGGTACTGGCACGTATGAATCAGCTACTTGCTTGCATCTTGGACTGTTGGGAACTGAGCTGCTTGTATGAATATCTCTACTATCAGACTCGACCAGATCCAGGCTGTGCAATGACTCTTGGCTGGGGGCGGGCGTCTCGTACCCTGACATATCACCCGTTAGTTTTGATGGTTCAAGAGAAAGCGTAGAGGGAGAGCAGCTCTCAGAAAGCTCACATCTCTGCTGTACTGGGCTGGTATCCATAGGCTCTTGGGAGTCAGTAGCATGTGAATCGACCAACATTTCTGATGGGTAAGGTGTAGGATGTTGTATTTTAGAAGTGGTAGGTTGAGTTGTGCCAAGTGCTGCTCTTGCTTCAGTGACAGGCGATGGTACTGGACTGAGGGGAGAAATCATTAGTGGGATTTGAGCAGTTGCAAGGATATTCTCAGCAGAGACATGCTCTTCATCCACGCTCTTCCCACCATTACGATTAGTGGCCAAAGTGGCAACAACGACTGGTATGGCATTGTCACAAGTGGCAGCAGTGGAGGCTGCAGCTGTATGCTCACTCCCATTGATAGCACTTGGCTCAGTGCTCTCAGCAGAACCAAAATGTGTCACATCAGCAGCAGGTGGACGCACAGAACTACCACCAACCTCAGTAGGAACAGCTAAGATCGCCGTGCTATCGATCGCTGCAACCCTATCGTCTGTCTGCATGAGTTCATCACCGCCACTGCCAGCAGTTGTAGTAGCCGTGACAGCAACAGAGACAGCAGCCGAGGCAGTAGCAGAGGAAGTAGCAGTGACAGGAGTGGTAGTAGCAGAAGTAGCAATAGTAGCAGTAGCAGACGCAGCAGTAGTAGTACTGGCAACCGAGACAGCATACATAGAGAAGTCGTGATCAGAACTTGGCAGTTCCGTATTGCAGGTGTTTGCGACTTCTGAAGTAACGGCAAGGACCAAATCAACGGCATGTACGTCAACACGCTCAGGACCATTATGAACATATGGAGCAGGCATAGCAGCTGACACCACTCCTTGTTGCAGAACATCATCATCATTCTCCATCTCTGCCTCTGTGCTCTCTTCATTCTCTGTTTCGTCCTCACCAATACCAGCACCAGCCACAACACCGGTATCAGTCTCTTCTCTCACTCCTTCTGTTTGCTCCGCTGCTGCTGCAGCTTCCAATAGCGCTGCTGCTGCCTGACGCTTCTACAAGAAGCAACATAGCAATACACACACCAACGCACCCACGCATGAACGCGTGCGCGCGTACACACACACACACAGATGCGTGCACAGATTCACACACAGACAACACCACACACCATAACAAAACATATGCCACACACCACAATACAGATGATATGCTTTCTGATGAATGGTCAGAAAGGTTGGCGAGAAGCAAAGGTCATTTGCAAAATCAAGCCCCGAAGAAAAAAATTGACTGTCACCACCAGGACTCAAACCAGGGACCCTTGCTTATGGCCAGCGATGCTCTACCACTAAGATATGGTGTACATAAACGCATGATGTGCTCATCAGCTGTCAAGTGGAACAAGAGTGCATAACCAAATGTGTGCTAGTGTTATTAGGGTGGAAAGAGCAGTGGGATGGCACCATCAAACAGAATGCACATCCCCATCACAGAAAAAGAGCGGAACTAGTTCCAAGAGATTACAGTCTACACAGCAGGAGAACAAAGGCCGTCGAGTAGCATTAACTCAAAAGTATTTCGAGTACAGTAAGAACACATCCTTACCTGGCGGTTACGGTGTGTACGCAATGCATACTGTAGATGACAATGTCGACCATGTCGGTGGTAAAACATCTTACAGTCTTCAGCACCCCTCGATTGCACTACTTTAGCAACCAACTCCCATTCATGGCCATGGGCAACGATTCCTATGAATCAAAACACCACACACACGCACGCACGCACACACACACACACACACACACACACACACACACACACACACACACACACACATGCACAAACATGCGCATACATGCACACAGGATACGGAGTATAAATTCATATAAATTCATAGTTTCACGTACTATTAAAAGGGTAGGTCAAGACCTATGTTTCCACATCCGCAAATCCACAAGAGCCTATTTAAGGGGCAATTGTGTACATGAACATTACCGTATTTCCCCGAATATAAGTCGCACCTTTTTACACTTAACTTCAGGGCCAACAAAGGGGGTGCGACTTATAATCGAGCACGACTTACTACTGAAGTGAATATATCAAAACGATAATGGCATAGACCTGGAAATGGGGGTGTGACGTAGAATCGAGTGCGACCTATAATTGGGGAAATACGGTAGAACCTCTCATATCAGGGTGACTTGCGAACGAATGTTGCCTGTATATCAGAACTGTCCCTAACCCGAAATACAGCACGACACACCAAACAAGTCTTCGGGTTGGATGTGGGTTAGAGTCTCGTTGAGATATCGCAGATTTGATCTTACACAAGTCACATGCGCTGACCACTAGTCTACAGACTACAGAGAGCTGCATATGGAGTCTTCAAACCATTATTCTATTCCAGTCGCTCAGCCCGAAGATGTCTGCCCTAGATTGCCTGACGAGCCAAGGAGGGACAAAACTCGAATCGCAATCCAGGAAACCATTGCTGTGTGTCATAGTCTATGCGCCAGACTGCCAAGGTAGATATTACCAACCATCGACTAGGTCAAGGGCGTCGGAACTGATGGAGATGGTGATGGTGATGGTGAGAGGGGATAGTATGGATTTGCTAGATGTGACAGAACTACTTGCAGCGATAGAGAGCGCTTGATGTTCGCCATGTGTTGACTGCCAGCTTAAAGACTAGAGAGAGTCCTCAAACTAATATTCTACTCAAGTCAGCAAGTCAGAAAAGTATTAATTTGTGAGAAGCCCCAAGATGACACTGCCCCAATTTCAGAATCAGCCCACCAAAAGAAAAGAAGTACGATACAGTTCAAAGCACCCCCTACAATGCACGGCACATGTGGACACACACGTTCCCGTCACAATAACTATGCACTTGTTGTTGACCTTGTCAATGAATCACTGAACCTGTTGAGCGGATTGCACAGTTCGAAAGCAAAAATGCAAAAAACGGTCGTAACTCAGCCAAATTTTGATGGAATTCCACGATCGAAATATCTAGGAAGAAGCCAAAGAACTCAGCTTTCTAATCCAACAATGGCCAAAGAGCTACAAAGCAGCGTAGCAGATATACCACGCTCGACAGTTTAGTCATGGGAAAAAGTCGAACATTTTTCTTGATGACTGGCTTTGAATGAGAAATTTCCCCTCAAATGATATGCTGATTCATCCAGGCACACTTCCTGCACGTGGCCAGCATAAAACTATACTTAGCGCAAAAAAGTGAGCGTTTTGCGATGAACGGGAGTGAAATGGCTGGCATCGAGGGAATTTGCTTGTACATCCAGCTCTGTGAACTATTTGAAGCGGTGGCGTTGGATATGTGACCACTATGATGTTGAATTCGGGTTCAAAGTACTCTGCTCACGGAGAGCTTTTCAGAAAGCCCAAGATAATGGAAATCCGACAACCAGAGCCAACATTATTATTATTATTATTATTATTATTATTATTAAACTCAATCTCGTAGCATGTGCACGCATTGCTAATGTGGGGAGCAACCCCAGAGATGAGGGTGATAACATTATGCCGAGAGTAAGGAAAAATATCGCAATTGCAGTTGCATACATTTTTCGGCAGGTGCCAAAGGGTTCAACTTACCATCCTTTAGCAGGCGAACTTCATTATCAGACCATTTGTTGGTTATAGCTGTGTTCACATAGAAGAACACACATCATTATAACTACATACGGTGAGAAGGGTAATCACATGATATCATAGTCTCGCGTTCAACAACACTCAGCAATAATAACAATAATATTGCAGTGCTGCCTGACAGGTATTCCGGATGCAACTTGTGTTTTATCCAGTGCGTGCATGCATGCATGCATGCACGCTGTACCATCGTACGTGTAGAGTGCTAGGTGAAATCACACTCAAAGCGCAAACCGGGCGTAGTGGACCAGTTCCTATTTTATCACAGTATTTGTATATGTCCACGTCCAGTGACATTCATACCACTTCCATGCGCCAAGGGCTGTGGAAGCTGAGGGCGCCAAGTATGCACTTTGGATCGGATTTCACGCAGCACAATTGTACACGCATACATGCTGTGCATCCAAATTAATGCGTCGGACGGTACAGTATGTTTTGCTAAACTCAACTGCAACATGCTTATTTATCGGACTTTCATGGTACAATGTACGCTGAACAGATACATAAACATGCAGTTGATTTCTAGCTGGCTTCACCAGAGTCTTGCAGCTACTCCTTGAGAGCATTCTAACCCAGTGGTACATGCCAGTGACTCTACTTAGAGCAGTTATGCCCACGAGATGTGTAGCACAGTGGTGTTCACAGTGGTGTTTCACAGTGGTGTTTCACAGTGGTGTTTCACAGTGGTGTTTCACAGTGGTGTTTCACAGTGGTGTTTCACAGTGGTGTTTCACAGTGGTGTAGCACAGTGGTGTTTCACAGTGGTGTTTCACAGTGGTGTTTCACAGTGGTGTTCACAGTGGTGTTCACAGTGGTGTTTCACAGTGGTGTTTCACAGTGGTGTTTCACAGTGGTGTTTCACAGTGGTGTTTCACAGTGGTGTTCACAGTGGTGTTCACAGTGGTGTTTCACAGTGGTGTTTCACAGTGGTGTTTCACAGTGGTGTTTCACAGTGGTGTTTCACAGTGGTGTTTCACAGTGGTGTTCACAGTGGTGTTCACAGTGGTGTTTCACAGTGGTGTTTCACAGTGGTGTTTCACAGTGGTGTTTCACAGTGGTGTTTCACAGTGGTGTTCACAGTGGTGTTCACAGTGGTGTTTCACAGTGGTGTTTCACAGTGGTGTTTCACAGTGGTGTTTCACAGTGGTGTTTCACAGTGGTGTTTCACAGTGGTGTTTCACAGTGGTGTTTCACAGTGGTGTTTCACAGTGGTGTTTCACAGTGGTGTTTCACAGTGGTGTTTCACAATGGTGTTTCACAGTGGTGTTTCACAGTGGTGTTCACAGGGCTGCAGTGTGCAGTATGGTGTTGCACAGCGTTGCATAGTGTTACATAGTGCTACATAGTGCTGCATAGTACACAGACAGAAAGCTCACCAACAGAGCTGGCAGTGCTAAGCAGCAGCGACAGTGAAGATGACAAAGACGATGACGGTGGTGATGGTGACGCCAACAACACCAGTGGCAAAAACAAGCACACAGGAAAAGTACAAGGACAGGTTTCTTTCAGTCTTCACACATATTCTCCTACTGCAAGTCAACAAATATTTGGCGCATATTATTTTTGGCTGCTTTCGGCCTAAAATTTGCTGCGGTTGAAGCTTTGCTTTGCAAGGTTCAGTATGACAGTGGATACAGACAGCAGCAGTACAGGCTGAAATTTTAATGCTCGCGAAATGTGTTCTAGCTCTTGGGGCTGAAATTTTAATGCACTGTATTATACAGGATGGCAATACATGTACACACCCAAAAACAAACAGGGTAAGCATGTCCTAGACTGAGACAACAAACAAGAATGTTATAATACTGTACAACTGATTCAGAACGGCAATACCCACACACTCACACACAAAGTACTGGAAGTCTTGAGGTGCATATAGCGCATACCGGTATTGTCCTAATACATTAGGGCAATTTGTGAAAGATTTATGTGAAAACTCCAATGCAGCATCGTATACAGTAGAGAAATGGCGGTAACACAACTGGCAAAATGGCGGTAAATACGATCGTTGCCAGAGCTTTGCAGCGTAGAGAGTGCTGCGTGGACATGCGTATATTCTAGGGCTGAAACGATTATACCAATTACTCGGTAATCGATCGATAATTCCTTATCAATCAAGTAATCGTTACGTTAGAGATTACTTGTTAGGGATTTTGAGTCCAAAAAGTACTGAAAACCCTCGTGTTTGTGAAGTTTGAGTCAGTTTCCACTGTGAGTATGCAGTTGCCAGGGGCATGGTGCAGATTCTGAGGTTAAATTGACTTTATAACTACCATGTTTCTGAGCTACCCTGTCACTAATGCAAATTTGTGGTATTATGATGGCTTAGATTTCGGAAACAGAGCAATGTTTGCACAAAATTCTGACACTCTCTGCTAACGATTATAATCGATAAATCGATCGTTAAGCTCAAGAGTAATCGATAGGTGAAAATCCACGATCGTTTCAGCCCTAGTATATTCACCACCATTTCGCCAGGCATGTTTCTCAATCCCTAGAACGGGCAAGGGATACTTGCAAGGATTTCTAACATCTTAATGAGGGGTTATGCAGATCGGCATCAAGATCACATTGAAATAAATAAAGCTTACCTTGAAGCGGTAGCCTGCACATGGGAATGGCACAACCAGACAGAATCATGCACACATGCATGTCCGGGTGTGCACACGTACGTGCGCACGTACACACAGACACACACACACATGTACACACACAGACACACACACACATGTACACACGCATATACACATACAGAGTACCATAAATAACAGGTCACAGTTTTCATCGCAGGTAATGAGAAAATTGACACGAGAATTTGACATTTGCCTGCTTGTACACCCTAGATCTGATTTTCTCAAATTTGGCACTTAGCGGGTTATGCATCTCAGCTCTTCACATGCATATACACATATACACAGATACACACGCACACACACATACACAGACACACACATACACGGGCATACACACATGCCCATCACACTACAAGCTATGGAGCGATGTAGGCACGCAACACATTAGTCTTCCTACACTGCAAATAAACACACACACATACCCAGCTTGCAATAGGAGCATGGTTGAGAAAGACTGCAAAAATGCATATACATCCATCCACCCACTCTCAAGCACACATACCTACATGTTCCTTATCGCCTCCACGAGCTCATAACATGCAGCTGCCACTCAGCTAGCTCTAAACAAAGTGTACTGCTCAACTACAAGCAACCCTAAACAAAGTGTACTGACAATTTCTACTGATTTGAGTGCACACATGGATTAAAGGCAATGCAGGACTGAACAAGCAAGTGTAGTTGCACAGTAGCAGTCTAGTCATATTTCGATGTCCTTAGAAACTGTACAACATTCTACCTACTAGTGTAGGCAAGTATCACATACAGCATATGCAACACATGCAGCACATTCACTACGCATAGTACAGTGCAGCCACCACTTGTACTTGCAAGCATAGGACACTTGTATTTGCAAGCATAGGACACTTGTATTTCACAGTCACCACAGTGTGACAACAGCATAAACAACAGCATCAACAACACCATCAACAACACCATCAACAACACCATCAACAACAGCATCAACAACACCATCAACAACACCATCAACAACACCATCAACAACACCATAAACAACACCATAAACAACACCATCAACAACAATAACAAATGCCAATATCATCGCAGACATGGAGTTCGCACCAGAAACATAACACACATACACCTCAGACCTGCCCATCGCAGAAGCAATGATAGCGAACAGCTATGTTAGACATAGCAACTAGTGCTGGGATTACACACACACACACACACACACACACACACACACACACACACACACACACACACACACACACACACACACACACGCATGCACGCACACACACACACATGCACACACGCACACACACACACACACCACCACGAAACAGTACCGACTTTTTTCCTCATGAACTCATATGCCACTGCACATGCATACAAGTACAATAACAACTTAGCAGCAATGATACTAGGGCTCAAACGGTCACGGTTTTACCCCTAACGGTTAACTGCTAAGCTAACGGTCGGTTTAACGGTTATAACCTATAAGCCACGGCAATCCTGCGGACTCTTTTTTAACCGTATATTTGACTATGCTCATTCAAAAAAATGTACCCTATTCAGTACAACGCACACATGTACATTCTCTTGCATGCTCATTCATACACACTCTCACACCAAGAGACCAGATATGACTGAGTTGACAGCCTACGCGTGCGACAGCCTGCGAAAGAGCATACTTTGCAACGACCTGATACTAGAAAAATTGACTGAAAGTAACTGTTATCTTTATCGGTTAACCGTTAATTCTTCGTAACCGGTCTGCAACCGGTTAATTGGACTAACCGTTTGAGCCCTAAATGATACACCAGTGTACAATTACAAATCAGAACACAACACAGCTGCACCCACTTCAAGTATCCTTGCCATCAAGCAAGACATTTGTTTAGAGTAAAAAGTTGTCAAGGGCAGTAATCTGGTAAGGTGAATGACCATTTGTCGCCAAGGACCACTACAAGCAGGACAGAAGGGTGTTATTTCCTATCAAACCCTCTCACAGCCTGGACAGGGTTAGTGAGTGCACAGCATACTATCGGAATGCCTTGAGCGATTGGCTAAGACAGGTTTCACTGTACAAACAATGCAGCTGCTCGACCAAGGTGCAGACCACTACCATTTTCAAAAAACTAAATCCTGTGAGAAGGCAGCTCCCCTTCACGTTCCCTGGCATTCAGAAATACTGTAATGTCGCCGAGCTAAAACTGTTTACCTCAACTGGAAACCGGACAATGAACAGCAGAGGCCAAGGCAGATTTTGACCGTTGAACAAAGTAAGTTGCACATGGAGCAAGCAATTGAATTGGTGTATTCCACAGGATGTATCATGAAATAAGAGAACCCAAAGCATGCACACCGGCTAGTCTGCTGTCTGGAGTCGAGACTGAAACTGAGCATAGGTAAACACAACTCAGCTGCTTGTCATACTGCAACAGATGAGAAGAGCAGACTTATCAACTTGTGTCTCTAAGACTGGATTGACTGAGACAGTTTGAGAGTAGTCATATGACTCAGAACAATACTGTACCACTACTCCGGGGAACATACCGAGGGAGCAGAACCATTGCCGTTGGTGTTGGCCTCCTGCTGACGTTGCCTTTCTTCATTCTGCTGTTGTCGTTGTTTCTCAAGCAACTGCAATTGCTTCTCTTGCTCTTGCTGATGGGACTGCAAACGCTGCTGCTGGCGAAAACGCTTGGAGTACTTGCGTGCAAGGCGCTTGTACTTCTCAGATTTCTTACTTCGATAGTAGTAGAGCACACATTCCTTGACACTCTACATAATACATACATACAATTACATAGAAGCATGCACACAGACACAGACACACACGCATGCGCACGGCCACACACACACACATGCCCATCGCGGAAGCGATGATAGTGAACAGCTATGTTAGACATAGCAACGTGTGCTGGGATTACACCATTTAACACTTGCAAGGCTGATGAATTGACCGCCACTAATTTTAGCCTGGTAACCACCAAACAGCTGATTGAAGTGACTTTTTCTGGCCAGTGAATCCCTATTTTTCATTTTTTTCACTTTTTTACACACACACACAGCAGCCATTTCCACCAAAGCACCCAGGCAAGATTCATTAACTAAGTAGTGGCAGGGAGAATGGTAAGAAATCAGCATTGATCTGATACAATGCCTTGGCACTGCAGGAAATGGTCTGCTGTGACCGGACACGTTGATCCACATCTCTGATATCATTCAATCATTCATTGCGCACATTTTCAAATCAACCTAGCAACAAACGGCACAGAGATCTTTTAGGGACTTCTCAACAAATCAAAGCAGAGGCTGCACTTGAAAACGTTTACCAGATTTCGATAGCGTTTGATGCTGTGATTCAACTGGAGCCACACTGACATACAATTCTTTACATCTTCATCTCTTATAAAGAGCTCGACTGGAGTTACAGGCGCCAGATTTAACACTGTGTGGCTTAGTACAGGGCGAAGAACCATCAGTGTTAACATGCCTCCTCCCAATCAAATCCCAAGTGGATACCGGTAGTGGGCCTGCTCTAATGAAAAAGTACGGCATCCGTATGGAAAAAAATGGTCCGATAATATAAATGTCCAGCTGAACATGAGCGTGCTCCCCGTGTGGCTGATTGAACCGTAATATTGAAGCATGGACTAGGCAGTTGCTTAGAGCAACACAAAAAAATAACGAAAAAAGAAAAGAGGAGAAAGCAGCAACAAGGAGTGATTGGCCATATTGTCCTCTGTATACTTATACAGGCAACATACTGCTCTTGGCACGCCACTCATCACAAGCTTACTACAACATACTGCTTGGCACGCCACTCATCACAAGCTTACTACAACATACTGCTTGGCACGCCACTCATCACAAGCTTACTACAACATACTGCTTGGCACGCCACTCATCACAAGCTTACTGTGCATTATGCAAAACACAGATTCACAAGTACCGGCTAATTACCTTCTCCGGGAGGAAGCTTGCAATTTTGTCGAAGACTTTCGGAAACATGACATACCTGAAATTTGCACACACAGACACATACAGAAACTCTACAAAATCTGATCTGGTAGGTGCGTGTTGCACACAAGCCATTTTTTTTTATATTCCAGAACTCCACTCCGTCAACTTCGCCACTCTTATTGGCCACTGGCTATCGTGAGAATAAAGATTTGAAACAACAACAACAACAACAACAACAACAACAACAACAACAACAACAACAACAACAACAACAACAACAACAACAACAACAACAACAGTACTAGGTCACCGAGTGGTCCATAGGGAGGCACACACAAAAAGACTGACAAATGCGTTCTTCGGCTCAAACTGCCTGAAGTTATTCTTTACTTTCCAATTCCACCGGTTTCTGCAGTTAGAATGCTTCATCCGAGGATGAAAGGAAAATGATACAGCACTAGCTTATATACACAGCAGACAGTAAACATTACAGGCTGAGTACAGAAAAAGTAATTATTGCAGTGCAGCGAGTTCAATGCCATTACAGTCAAACCTCGTTAGGACGAACTTCAAGGGACTGAACACATTTGTTTGTCTTATCGGGAGTTCTTCTTATCCAGATCTGACAAAAAATCGATACGCATATCAGATGGATTGTATTTACGTGAAGGTGCATGCTGTGGTACATGAGAAGCATTTTATTCTTAGCATAAGCCAGAAACAGGTAAGTACAATGACAAAGCGCAATGAATCACGATTGTGTCGAAGTTCGTACAACGCACTGATTATTTTGTTCAAAACACGCTTGAAAACAATTTGCACTGTACGTACAATATGACCTCGACTATTGAAAAAAAGAAGAAAAAAGGCAGCCAGCGCACGCGCACGCTCGTGGACCGAAAGTTCGTACTACGTGTACATGACCACACTGACTTTGTTCAAATCACATTTGAAAATAGTTCGTCTTCGTGAAAGTTCGCTGTACAGAAGTTCGTCGTAAACGAATAATTTTGACTTGAATTGATGCCTGGCCAACCATAGGATTGGCCTTAGTTCGTACTAATGGAAAGTTCGCCTTATCAGTGTTTGTCCTAACGAGGTTTGACTGTATCACAGTGCAGTGAGTTCAATGCGTCAAAATGTTACAGTTCACAAGTTCGTGAACCGTATGCTAGGCGTAGAAATAATTTTGGTTGGAAATTTCGCAACACGAGCAACAGTTACGTACTAGCAATGCAAGGATAATACACAACAACAACAACAACAACAACAACAACAACAACAACCCATACTTTTGCCTGAAAGTCTCTTTCTCTTCGTCAGTCCACACAGTACGCTGCTGCCATTCCTTGGCAAATGTAATCGGATCTTGAATTACACCTGTTGATCCAAAGCAAATTCACACACACACACACACACACATACAAGCACACACACAAGCACACACACAAGCACACACCCACAAAACTGAGATTGCATACAAAAGCTAACGCAGCACTGGAGGCATCCATCAACTGATTCAACTCAAAACTAAATATGTTACAAAATACATGCAACACACACTGCTGTGCTCTACAATGTCATAAAAAAGAAGAAAAGGAGGAAAGAGTAAAACAACAAGACACACACACAGAAAGAGAGAGCGCGCACACAGGAGATAGAGACACAGAGAGAGAGACACACACAAAGAGAGACAGACACACACAAAGAGAGACAGAGAGACACATAGAGAGAGAGAGAGACACACACATAGAGAGAGAGAGAGAGACATAGAGAGAGAGAGAGAGAGAGAGAGAGAGAGAGAGAGAGAGAGAGAGAGAGAGAGAGAGAGAGAGAGAGAGAGAGAGAGAGAGAGAGAGAGAGAGAGAGAGAGAGAGAGAGAGAGAGAGAGAGAGAGAGAGAGAGAGAGAGAGAGAGAGAGAGAGAGAGAGAGAGAGAGAGAGAGAGAGAGAGAGGTAGAGAGGTAGAGGCAGAGGTAAAGAAGAGAGAGAGAGGCAGAGAGGAGAGAGATGAAATAATGGTTGAAAACTCACTGTTGCGGTTCACAAACCGTATCCTGTGCTTGTCCTGAAGACCAACCATGGGTGGTATGACAGCTGCACCTTGACGGCAACGATCAGGATTCTATCAGAGCAAACCAAAAAGATAGAGCTGCTTTATGGCCACAGGTACTAATACCAAAGTAGTAGCATGGACTGATGGACTGACCATGATCAACTGTGGGTTTTTCTTCTTTGATGGAGCTCTTGTAACTCGTGTTCCCCTCCATAAGTAGGGCAACCCAAGCAGACTTCTTGCTGCGCAACCGCAGCTCAGTTGTATGCACTACACCACTCCCTGCATAAACTAAGATGTAATCCAGGACATTTTCCATGACAGATATCCATGCAGAAAAAAGTCCCGAGCTGCACACACTGGGGTTCAAGTACTGAGTCTAAGTCTTGATGTTTACCCGTGTACAGCCGTAGCAACTGAAATCCGACCCCTCATATCCGTGCTCAAGTGCAGCACTGATTCTAGCAGTCTTGCTTCGGTAGTGCAAAAGCGCGTGCTAGGTTTTTGCAATGTGAGCGCACTGAGGTAGGGGTGGATTTCAGTTGCCACCGCTGTACATCTGATGTGTTTCACATAGGCCTAGTTTCACACAGTGTTTGCAGTGGCTGCGTTGTGCTGTAACAACTCCCTTGCTTGAAATAATGTTTTCGAATTTTGTCCTGGTGTTGAGGATAGCGCACGTCGTTTTTCTTCGATTCCAGTTGTTCCCGCTGAATTCATCTTTAGCCTGTTTATTGTGGTCCGTGAATGTCAGTCTGATAGAGTTCACTCGAGTAGGCGCCAGACATTGATGTAAATAATAAATGGCTCCACTATGAGAAAGATACGGGCACACCCGGCACAGCGATGAAGATAATTTTCTGCCAGATGTGCAATCAGCGCAAAGCCTCCCTCCATGGTCTAGGAATTACAGTTGATGGGATTTTTGGAAACATTATCAACAGGCGATGCTGTAAATAAGGACACGCATACATGGAAAAAGTGCTAAGTGCTAATCAAAAATCCAAGACTGCTACAGAATTGAGTATTTCTCTAGCAAATACTGCTAAGCTAAAATGACAGTAAAGTCATTCCTGCAAAGAGAAAGTATTTGAATTGATGTCTACATTGTAATAGTGCATTGCATACCTCCATCTCCTCCATCTCAGCTAAAGAGTCCAGAATCTCCGTGAGTTCTGCCTCACTACGTGCTGCACCGCCATACGTACCACGGCTACCGAGGCTGGACAACATGCAGGCGTACACACATACACACACACACACCACAAACACACACACACACGTGCGAACACAGGACACAGATTTAGGATCCACTCAGTAGGCTTGGCCAAGACAGCAAACTTCTACAGCTAAAAAAAGATGCCATTCCAGTATAGGATTGCACATATCTGAAGCACTGGAAAGGGCCAACTCCCCTAAGGATCCTTTGGATTCAAATTGCCCGCTGCGCATCAGTCCAATTTACAGTACGTCCTGCCAAAAGCCCATCGCTACTGATATTTGCCCACCGGCCACCACTTTGTACCCCTGGCCATTATCACAAATAAGACCACCTGAGAGATCAGACCATTTGGGACGGTCCAGAGGGTGGTTGGATTTCTGACATTCCACCATACGGCGGATTATGATTGTGTTGGTGTGCAAAGCCAGGGCAAGCTCTGCAATAGAACATACTTCTAAGAAGGATCTATCTTCTTACAAGAGGACAGGAAGTACAACTAACCGTGTGATGCGTTGTGATCTTTCACGCTGTCGCTTCAAATCTGGAAAGTGCTTCTCAAATACTTCCCGTGATTTAGCATCCTTGGCCCTAGGTAAACACAGAACAATAATGTTACGCGTCGTTGTTTGTGGCAACCCATGAGCACTTCAGCGGAGGCAGGTCTTGTGGAGTTATTATACAGGTACGGAAGCAAAGCAGCAGTATTACAGAACACACTAGCGGGAAAGACCTCGAAAGCCCTCAACTCCCCCCCCCCTAAAAAAAAACTTACCGTTTCCGACTGTTGTTCTCATATGTCTCAATTTTCCTCCCCCATGCTTGCGTCAGAGCCTGGTATTGTTCACAGAGTTCAAGATCCTATTGAAAAGAAGCAAGAACCAGAATAGGCCAACACATATACCGCTTCATATAAAACAATTCCAACACACTGGACTGTACACTGCACCACAATGCACTGGTACTTGCAGACCTCTCCTTTCATACCCACAAAACATCCCTGTCCCATGAATCATTATAAGGAGTACAAACCAACAATGGAGGGTTGGCTTCAGAAAGCAAAGCACATTGTAGTCCATCATGCAAATTTTGGTTGTACTGGGTTAGACCACAGATACTCATACTACGTAAGGCAATGATAGGGATCCATGCTGAAGTAGTTGGAATAGCACACCGCAATACACAATTCGGTACATGAAATATTAATAAGACAGGGGAAAAAGCAGAAGCATACCTTTGATCGCTGTTCCTCATGCTGTAGACGCAAGTACTTGACTAGCTTTGGCTGAACCCGATGACGGCTGTAAGGGACCACAAACACAAGGCAACACCTTGAAAATAGCAAGGCAAGCACAGACAAACATACATGATGGCCATCGAAGGACCGACCCCTATCCAATATTGGGGGATTTTCCCTTTACTGGAAGCAGGTAGAAGATGCAAAGGTAAATTGAAGTGAAGTTTAACCCTTTCAGGGTCACAGTGCATTTACTACGTCTGGGCACTGAAAGTCAGTGCATCAGTACAATTGTGGAGATAGCAACAAACAAATTGTCACAACATTTTTGTTTCTCAACGGATTTTCACAACTTATGGCTTACTGGAAAGCTCCTTTCCTGCTCGTCATCTTCCACGTCCTTTCAGAACATACAGCACCTCAAGGACGCCCCTAGCCTTGCCAACAGTGTCCCTACCATGCGCCAGTTTGGCATCAAGACCACGCTCAACTATTTCCTTCGGTTTGGGGCTCATACTCAACGTAGAACTACGATTCAAACTGCATCTAACTCGTGAGATTCAAATGATGTACTCATACGTCATGCTGCCTTTCACACATCATTGGGAAATCCCCTTGAATGACTTGAAAGTCGCAAAAATATCGCCAGGCAGAAAGTAAGAAAAATGTTCAGATTGAAATCGCGCGTTCAATTTATCGCCGCTCGATCATTTGTTGAGCTATCGCCACACCGAAAACACCTCTGGAAAGCCCTTTCCATTCCAATGAGCTATAGATCTTCGCGATGCGATAATCCGTTCCAGAGTTATCGCTGTTTGTACAGTGATCTATCAGTGCGTACGGTACGTGGACTGTACAAAAAGTATAGCACGAGGATACTCGTCATTGCCCAGACACGATGGGGTCTGCATGACGAGTATACTCGTCATAAACCCGGAAAGGGTTAAGAGGTACTTACCAACTAATCTCAGCAACTGTGTGTGCACAGTAAAACTCCCCTAATCCGGGCACGGGTGCCTTTCTGACCCCTCTAGCGTCACAACAAGTGGCTTTTCAACTAAAACGACCCCAAAAACTATTGATTGGCAAAAATGTTTGCTTGCATGCCTAAGGAAGTACTGCATTTTCCAGAGTATAAGCCGCGCACTGGAGTATAATCCGCACTAGGGGTCAAACGGGTGTACCTTTAACTAAAGAACGGGCAATTGTCTTAACGGGCGGGTTAACAGGTACCCTTTAGCAGCCATGTTTAAATTTTTGCGCAATTTTCACATGAATCAAGATTTTAATTCATCTGTTCTCGGGTTGCATTTTGATATCACATTGTGATTCGCAAATCGACTGGTGTCTGATAGTCGCAGCAGTAGATCTACTTGGTCCGCCCAGTTAAAATTGGCGCTTATCTTCTCACTTGGTTATTTGGTGTTCTGCCTGTGCCACACGGCATGGAACCACCGATTCACCATGCGAACATAACCATTGACCATTGCATCCGACGACATGGCAGCACAAACCATCACTGAAGTTGCGATCGTTTCGTTTGAGTCTTTTTGACGGAGCTGCCGCCGACGAACACTTCCGTCAGCGCAAGAAAACACTGCAACCTCCGCTCGAGTCCGTAAAATAGGTCAGGATGTTCGCATTTCAGAGCGATGGAGAACACAGTTTCTGTCTACTTCCAGCTGTCTGATGGCAAGGATTGTTTACCCCGGGGAGGTATAGAAAAGCTGAAAAAGCGCTTCGCGAGCTTGAATTTCAGTGCTTGCACATTACAGCGCCTAGTGAAGGGCTATCACCAGCAAATCGCTGACGAAGAAACTGCAGCTCATGTCGATATCTCCAATAAGTGAGACCAATCCGGCGGACACACTTTGAAGCTCACAGAGGACAGGGCAAAGGAGCTAATCAAAGAAAACACGAAGTCCTGAGAGAAACACTCGTGCAAAGGGCTTTCAGGAAACTAGCCGAAAAGCCTGGTGCACGGCGTTGTAGGTGCAGTACGCACAGGTGCTACATCAAGCGGAAGCTATCACTGCGCTGCACATGCATGTAGATCTTCAAGCACCATGCACCAGCGGCTCGCGTGGGTATGGGTGCTGATCAGCAAGTACGACAAGCGCAAGAGGCCATTTGAAAAAAGGACACTGATATGGCGTTGCCTTTTTGTCTCAAACAAAGACCATGAAGACGCATTGTTGCGACGAACGGGGATAACACTTACAGTCAACATGCGGGCAGTCTCACTCAGCTTCTGATGGGAAGTTGACAAGCACGCACTGCCTTTGAGCGTGATTCGAGACGAGGAGAAGTGGAACAAGCTATGAAACGACCCGTGCAGCAGCTGTCCGGATCGTACGTTTTGAGCTCTTCCTCCAGCGACGATAGTGGCGAGGAGGATGTGTAACTTGCTTAAATTTTCGACTGAGTTGCTTACTGACATGTAAATAATCATGTATATAGTGCTTTGTGATCGTGGCTTGCTTCAAATATTCGTATTTCTTTCCTGAGACAAGTGTGAAGATAAGCGCCAATTTTAACTGGGCGGACCAAGTACTAGGTGCGAAAATGCAACAACAATGCAGACATCCAGCTTGGAGTTGTAAATAATTGACTCCCGCCTGGAATACACGATCCCAGCAGTGTTGCTCCGTACTGACTGCTTCATCAAAATCCAAAAGGGTACCCTTTTACTAACAGTACCCGAGATTAACGGTCGGGTACCCGGTACACCCCTTTGACCCCTAATCCGCACCCAGATTTTTACAGACATCTACCCTGTTTATCACCATTAATTTGACCATAGTAGTATAAGCCGCAACGACTTTTTGGGATGAAATACATGTGTTAAAAGTGCGGCCTATACTCCGGAAAATACGGTATGTGTGTCTGAATTACAGGCAGTTCGTTGTTACGGCTATATACAGTAGCACCAATGCACTGGATTGTGGAGCCGATAATAGCAAGAGTGCATGAACAAGAGTATGCAACTGTGATTATGGGTCAGTGCGCGGCGCGCTGCCTTCATTACGTAACTTGCCTCCATCACGCTCTGAAAGCATGCACTCAAACCCACAATTTCTCGTACGAGCCCATTCGTTTTTGCTCGATTCGTTCCAGTACCTACGTGATCTCTAGATTTTGGCGCTTGAACTCCAGTTCCGTACAAAAGTTCATTTCAAACCGGAGGGAAAATTTTGTGTTTGATTTTCCGCAGTGCGCGAACTGCAGCTGAATGATGTAATGAAGGCAGCGCCCCGCGCATCTGGCCCATAGAAAAGAGATCACAGTTGCATACTCTTGTTTATGGACTCTTGATATTAGTAATACTTTGACCAGAAGGCAACAGGTTGGCACAGAGAGGCGACACAGACAGTCACAAGCCTTACTTGTTCAAGATTTCATGATACACTTCCAGGTCCGATGGCTCTTTGTACAGTCCCTGTGCACAGACACAAATGTATAATTATACAGACAAAAACGCACACACAAAAACAGGGTTCAACTAGGCTTGCACAAAAAAAACAAAAAAAAGTTCATTGTTACTACCTAAAAAAACACCAGTCCTTGAGTCACTCTTTTGGATCCAAACATTTTTTGAACATAGAACAATGATTATGCCAATGAGCTTCAAGGACGGTATGCATTACTGGGCATTGATCACATGGTGTTTTCCACAGGTTTCTGTGTCTTCTGATAGCATATAATATGATTGGGCACTCATGCCTGCATCCAAGATAACACTTTGTTAATGCCCGCATGATAATCTCTGAGACGTCCTCGAGGCTACAGGTAATGTTGAATATGTCACTGGTGGTACTCTCCATCACCACTGCTGCTAATACCACAGCAGCAACAACAAACGAGCCTGCCCCAAGTACCATCAACCATCACTTCGGCATTGACCTGGCATGCACATCCAAAATGTTCCGGTGGTATTCCCACAAAGTAACATACATGTATCTGGAGAAAACAACAGGTCACCTGCTCCAGCTCTGGCAGGCAAAACAGCACCCACCTTATGTAGCAGATCAAAATAGGAAAACAAAATCAACTTACCCCAGGACCCGCAGACTCAATATTCAAACAAAATGCTCCAAGAGTTGAATGCGCTTCTTGTGCCTTGCGCTGTGCAAGGAGAGAAAAATAACGATAGGACAGCCAGGTGACCATCACAGCAAGGTGACCATAAGAAGGAAGGGTCATATCATTATGTAGTTATGGTAACCAAACCTACCTTATTTTCAGCGTAGATGCGATCAATGAAATTCCCTTGGAGGTCCGAGCTAGTACAAGTGTCTTGCTGTGAGTTCTCTCGACTTTCTGCACCTTTCTGATGGATAAACACAAGTACAACACGCGCGCGCGCGCACACACACGCACAGGTACGTGCACATGCACCGCCATTTTTAAATAGCCAAAACCTACTGCACCAATAAGCCTTATGCACCTTGTACAGATGCATGAAATCCAGTAGAATCTCGTAGACCCGGTTGGGTGTTGAACGTGCAGGACCTTATTGTGTTTACTGCTATTCCCACTAAGAAATGGGCCCTGAAGGCATTTCATACGAAAACCTTTTTCGACAGAGATCTAGCTACTCATTAGCTCTATCCGAAAAGATGAAGCTGGAAAAGCGATTGTTTGCCATTGATCATGAGACTAAATTGGTCAAATGCGCATGTATAGCACACAATGAACACCCAACCATGCATGTACACATCTATGGTCCTAGTACAGAACTTCGTACATCTGTCCAGCGTGCATAAGGTCTATAGATAAAGTAAGACAAGGAACCCTAGCGCAACACAGTTTCTGCATCTGAGTCAGGCAATCGTTGACACACTGACACACTGTAGCTGTGCAATACAGCTACAGCGAAGATTATGGGTTCACAATGCAACATGCATGCAGCACAGTTCTCGGGCAAGTCCAGTCCAGCACTGTAAAAACGACAGTACTGCACAGGACCAGGACCAGATTTGTAGCCTCAGTGAAAATGATGGAGTAAATCCAGTCAGCAAATTTCAACCAATTGCTGTTGAGTACGCAAACTAATTAACTTGTCACTGTCCAATCAAAGAAATGTTTCACTTAGAAGTGAAACATTTCTTTGATTGGACAGTGACAATTTTCACCCAGGTTATACGGTAAAATTGTATGATATTGTATGTACGACAGGCAGGATTGTTTATTTTCTCTGTAGCCAACTGCTGACATAAGGGCACTGTCTTATAAGCATGCCATCCTTTACATTGAGAAAGCCATCACAAAGTTTCAGCCAGCCCCCCCCCCCTCCCCTACCTTGAGTTCTTTGAGTTTGCTCATCTTTCGCTCAAATTTGAGTATTTCTCCATCCAGCTGGACTAGAGCAGACATAAGGTAATCTCGGCTGTGAATGGGATGCTGCGGTGATGGTGTGTTGACCTTACGAGACACGGCCGCTCCTGTTGCTGCGGCCGTGCCCATGACACTAGCTGGCCGTACCCGTGCAGCACCACCATCGCCGCTGGCATGATGATGCTCAACAATACTATCATTATCAGAGTCGTCTTCACCACCTGATAACACAGTACCAAGAATCACAGATGCAGAACACAAATCTTACTACAGGTCGTCCCCCGTTAATACGAGTCCGGTTAGTACATAAACCCCGTTAGTACATCAGAAATCTCAAGTCCCGGACGAAACGTGGTCACTTCCATACAAATTTTGTCGGTTAGTACATAATTCGTTAGTACATAAACCCCGTTAGTACATAACATTTCTCCGGACCCGCACGCCACCTACCTCAATAATACATAATTAATTTTGTTGGTCTTTCGGCCTTCCAGTGGAGGCACATTGTGTTCTGGTTTCTACTTGTGGACGCAATTAGCTCAGAAATCAGAGCGCACATCACAAGCCGAGAAAGCTCTGTTTTTTTCCGAGTGACTATACAGGCGCGGCTGGCATGCTATCATGTAAACTGTAGAATCTTCGCTGACTGTGACCGTTATAACATAATTTTTATGTTAATATATTGAGGGAATCAAGAATATCTCGCTCCCTAGTCATGGTAGCAAGAAACACTCAGAAAAGTTGAAAAAAGTGAAAAAATTCTGGTACACAAGCAAGTTATGTACACTTTCGTTTAGTACATAAACCCCGTTAATACATAACATCAAGTCCCAGAGATTATGTATTAACGAGGGACGACCTGTACACTACTCTTAAGTACAGCCTACTGGTGTCACTGGATGAAGAATGAATAAGGATAGAGGGGCAACATTGAAAAACAACAAACACTACTAACTTCATAGACGATAACACAATACTCTCTAGTGTGCAATGTATTTTGTAACTTATACAAGTACTAGTATAAATACAGCAATGTCACGACCTCGGGAATAAAAGTGCTAAAGTACTATGTGTGAGCATTGTCCTAGCATAGTGCTGAGTTCCCCATACTATGCTGTACCTACACAAGGACATTGTGGCAAACACTTCAGTAAATCATGTACCCAGATACAGAACACACGGAGGACCATATTTCGGAAAGTACAAGTAGGCGGATGTGGAATTGGTGAAAAATGGTCACCAGCTGGTCCCGGCTATGTGGTACCTAATCAAGGCTAGGTGGTGCCTGGGGAGAGCTGGGTGGTGCCTGGGGAGGGCTGGGTAGTGCCTGGGGAGGGCTGGGTGGTGCCAGGGGAGGGCTGGGTGGTGCCTGGGGAGGGCTGGGTGGTGCCTGGGGAGGGCTGGGTGGTGCCTGGGGAGAGCTGGGTGGTGCCTGGGGAGGGCTGGGTGGTGCCTGGGGAGGGCTGGGTGGTGCCTGGGGAGGGCTGGGTGGTGCCTGGGGAGGGCTGGGTGGTGCCTGGGAAGGGCTGGGTGGTGCCTGGGGAGGGCTGGGTGGTGCCTGGGGAGGGCTGGGTGGTGCCTGGGGAGGGCTGGGTGGTGCCTGGGGAGGGCTGGGTGGTGCCTGGGGAGAGCTGGGTGGTGCCTGGGGAGAGCTGGGTGGTGCCTGGGGAGAGCTGGGTGGTGCCTGGGGAGGGCTGGGTGGTGCCTGGGGAGGGCTGGGTGGTGCCTGGGGAGGGCTGGGTGGTGCCTGGGGAGGGCTGGGTGGTGCCTGGGAAGGGCTAGGTGGTGCCTGGGGAGGGCTGGGTGGTGCCTGGGGAGGGCTGGGTGGTGGCAAAACTCATCTACCACGTTGCACACAAGGCTAAGCAATGAAAGAATGGGATTGCCCTAGGAACTTACCTGATGCCGGGGATACAGCCTCTACAGTAGGTAGTGGTACCGAATCCTGTGAATCAAACACACATACACACACACACACACACGCGCGCGCGCACACACACACACACACACACACACGCACACACACACATAGAATGAGTGCAAGGTCACATGTGATATCATATTCCATCTTGCTTGCTTACCACTCAATCACGGCAAACAAGGTCCCAGAGAAAAGAGATGGCTACAGGCAAGCATGGGTGTTGATAGTGGCATTTGTACAAAAAGATTTAGGATGCACCACATACTTGGCCTAAGACCCCAGGTTAGATGTGCAGCTGGCAGGGGTACACTATATACCCACACACACACACACAGTCAGAACCGCCCTTGTGTGTAGCAGGTGGCGGTGAGTGACAAGACGATGAAGACACATTGATTTGATACTTGGATAACCATACAGGCTGCTCGGATACAATCACGGCATATGAAAGCATGATAGGTGCAAAGCCTCTGTACATGCCGCAATGGTTCGCATACTCAACAAATACGGTCATGTAGTACAATTACGTCCAAACGTTCCTCAATGTTTTCCAACTTCACTTTTAGGCACCACTATAGAAATGGCAGTTTGTCAACTGACAGCAGTTTGCGTATTTGCTCTTCACTAAGAAATCTATGCATGATCTGCTGTGTAGAGTCGATCGGTCCACTTGCTTACCGGAAGCTGATACACAATATTAGGGCATGAATGAGCATGCTTACAGCAAGAGTGGCAGGTTCATGGCCGTAATGACCACGGTGAGACTGTGGCAATGCCGCATGACTGTTATAGACAAGCTGCTGTTGATCAATAGGAGTAGGTAATAAGGAATAAGCACCTCCGGATGTGCTCACATCACCCACACGCATAGGTGCAGTAGCAGTAGTGGCAGTGGCAGCTTGGGCAACTCTCTCAGGCTAAACAATGAGCACGCAAAACACCATAATGACATTGCGTCGCTGGTCTTAGATACTTTCCAAGGTGCAGTGTACTTCAACTCTGGATACCCACATCCAGGGTGCACGTACATCAATACTTGAGGGAAAGTGACAGTGCATCCATTGACCAAAATAATACGTGTCTATACGAAGCAGGATAGACTGTGTACAATGTACAAGGCACACGTGTACTTACATTCCGATGAACAGCTGTAGTAGAAACAGCACAGCTGGAACTACCAACAGTGCGTGGTACGCTATGCGAAACTGTCTTCGTCGGTGGCGCACTGATACCACCAGTATCAGCAGACGACAGTAAATTGGTGGCGGAGAGCATAGCGGTATTTGCAGCACGGTAGTGATTCAACTGCGGCTTGCTTGGCGATTGCTGCTGTAGCTGTTGCTGCGGCTGTTGCACTGATTGTTGTAGTTGTGACTGCTGATGCTGGCCTGGCCACTGTACGACATTGGGTCCCGTGCTTGGTCTACCAACAGCAGCCAAAGGAACGCCATGTGTATCCTGAAGGACAACAGAAAGAATGGCATGGTCTTTTGTGGATGCATACAGTACCTGTTGTGGTAGTGTGGCGCGACAGGTGATGTGACAGTTTTAACACATTGCACCATACAGGGTGTCGTATGCTAGACTTGTAGCCTTTCAGCTAATACCTGTACGTTGTCACCTCACCTCTACTGCATTCATTATGCTGATTGGGGTCAATTGCTCCTCACAATAAACCTGTTCACTGGCTTGCAACATCTGTAAGTCACACACTTGCAATAAGTCATACCATTTTGTACCCAGGGCTGAGTGTGTGACTTGCCGAGAGGCTCAGAGCAGACTGCGCATGCACTGCTTTCGCACCTGGATAGAAACTAGAAAGTGCCAAAAATTGACGTAGGGTTGATGTGTCTTCGCAGTACTCACAAGCCGCTAAAACAGTTGACAATCGCAGATGATGTGCATTGTATCATGCAAAATATACATACATGTAATGCACAATACACAGAACCATCACACAGAATAGTGATGAATGTACACACTTACACTCACTCACACACACATGCACATCCACACACTCACGCACACACATTCACACACACATTCACACACACATTCACACACACACACACACACACACACACACACACACACACACACACACACACACACACACACACACACACACACACACATACACACACACACACACACACACACACACAAACACACACACACACTACTACTACTACTACTACTACTGTAGCTTGGTTGCCACAAGGGCCACACCACTCCGAAAGGAGCCAGAGTCATTGTCAGGAGCAGAAACGGAGATGACGACTCAGGTCACTCTGTCGACGGAACTGACGGTTGCAGCGAGAACAGCGAACACCATACGACGCTCTATCAGACTTGGTTGCTCGATGGCCACGGTCGCACTTGTGACGTCTGAAACCAGGCACTGACTTGAATTGCCGATTGCATGTCACACACAAGAGAGAAGCTGGGAAGTTGAGCGGAATAGGTGATGCCGGCGCGGACGCTTCCGATGGTTCCAGGGCCAAACAATGATGTACACGCAAGCCACCACGAGAGTGAAACCACCTCCTGCATGTACCACACTGCACAGCACCACGCTGCTCCTGGATGGGGAGACTTCGCTCTGCGCTACACTTGTGTCTTGCTTTGTCGCCTGGCCGACGAAACGAACGGTGGCAGATAAGACAGTCCACCCGTTGAGATTGGTCATGGGAAGGACCGCCGAGGCTCGGCCCAACGGCAGACACCCGCCAGGCAGACCGATCCTGAGCAATCCCATACCAAGCCAGATGTTCAATGCCGATGTGCCGAAGATCAGCCGAAATCACAGCCCTCCAGCGACGACGGGGACCACACGCAGGCCGAGGCGACGGTAGGAAGCCAAACAACAGCTGCTTGGGCACACGAACATCCGACAGTGGCGTGTCCAGGATTTGGCTGAGGGGGGGGGGGGGGGGTTGCGGCCGGGATCAAGGCGGGATGGGGTGGGGGTAGATGACATCATGATACTGTCCCAGGTCAGCCATTTTGAAAACCAATGTCAAGAAGCTCCTCCTGTAGCCCCCTTCTTCAACAGTTATTCACCCGAACGGCCCCAGAGACTGTTCCGGAGGATCAGCGCACCACACGGGGACAAGTGTCGAACTTGCTTCAAGTTCCCTTTCTTCGTCGGCCTGTGGGACGATCGACCATGATGTTTCGGGGAAGCATTCTCTGGAACGCTCTCCCCTCTGATTTTAGAGTGATACGTGTCCCTGGTCCCTTCCGAAAAGCTCTTTCTGCCATTGATATACTTACTTTGTGAATATCCTCGTTAAACTTTTATTATCTGCCATAAATTCCAACCTTCTCATCTATCAATCATTTGTGCATGCATGTCTATAAAATCAACCACGTGTTCCTGACTCCATGAAATTGTCTTTCTATTCTTTGACTCCATGAAATTATTGTCTTTCTATTTCTGACTCCATGAAATTGTCTTCATATAAATTTTTCCTTATGTGAGCGAATCAACTGCAATTATTTATGCGAGTCCAACAATTTCTCACCGCTCTCAAAGCATCCTTTACATAGGCAGCGGTACTTGTCACTGTGCGCTGTTCTTCATGTTCTGGCTGCTCGCTGACAACAGGTTCTTCCACGTCTGGCGGAGTGTGACTGTCAGTCCGCTCCGAAAGTTCAACTGGAATAACAGCAACTTCATCACTCCCACTGTTTCCTGTTGGAGCGGCAGCAGGAGTTGCGCCGCCACAGGAACGCTTTACAAAAATTCCAGGCTCTGCTGGCTAGAGCTTGGCCTTTTGGGATGTCGCTGAGACATCGAAGAAAAGTCTTCGAGTCAACCAAAACACGATTCGAACGAGGATGATCGCCTGAGCCCTCGGCATTCGAATCGTGTTTTGGTTGACTTGATCGAAGACTTTTCTTCGATGTTTGTACGTAACGTTGAAGACGCGTCAAGCGCGTCCCATGATCCCAGCAGGGATCACACTGTACAACAGTACACAGTCAGGTCACCGTGTTTCTGTAGCCGTGCATGCTCACTGTACGCACTCTGTAGACTGTACACTGTACTGTACTACTGTACTAGTCTGTCGTGTGTACAATCAACACCAGCTCGAGCACCGTAGGTCTACCGTGCAACCGCTTTTGGACGATCGTTTCAGGCCGCGCGCGCCCCGAGTACATGTCTTGTAGCTAGCCCCGCGCGCCCTGCCTTTTATTTTTCGAAACCTAGGTCGAAACTTTTGAGGGGGAGGGGGCGCGCCCCCCCCCCCCCCCCGCGCCCCCCCCCCCCCCCCTAAACCCGCCACTGTCCGACATGCGGGCCACATGGCCAAGCCATTCAAGCCTCCGCTTCCGAAGCCGGGAGGACAATAGCGATGGATCACCCCACATCTCTCGGAGCTGCTCATTGGTGATGCGTTCCTCCCACTGTTGTGTTCGCGAAACACACAAGATGCTACGGATGCACACACACACACACACACACACACACACACACACACACACACACACACACACACACACACACACACACACACACACACACACACACACACACACACACACACACACACACACACACACACACACACACACACACACACACACACACACACACACACACACACACACACACACACACACACACACACACACACACACACACACACACACACACACACACACACACACACACACACACACACACACACACACACACACACACACACACACACACACACACACACACACACACACACACACACACACACACACACACACACACACACACACACACACACACACACACACACACACACACACACACACACACACACACACACACACACACACACACACACACACACACACACACACACACACACACACACACACACACACACACACACACACACACACACACACACACACACACACACACACACACACACACACACACACACACACACACACACACACACACACACACACACACACACACACACACACACACACACACACACACACACACACACACACACACACACACACACACACACACACACACACACACACACACACACACACACACACACACACACACACACACACACACACACACACACACACACACACACGCACACAAGCAAGCATATAAAGTGACATACGTGTGCCATTTGCAAATTAGAAGCTGGTTGATGTTGCTGAAAAACACCGGTGACAGCAGCAGCAGCAGGTTGATGTGCAGGTGTACTTGTCAGGATACTTTGGCCACCAGTAGCAGCTACAATAGCTGCTACTTGCTTATTAGGCATGACTAAACCTGTCTGGATATTACCAATGGCCTGAACTATAGGGTTAGCACCCATCAAGCCACGTTCGCTGCGTATAGTAGGAAGAGCAGGTGAAGTAGCAACAGCTACTGTCTGCACGTGAGGCATGGCCACAACTGGTGCTAAGCCAGTATAGGGATGCGCAGCCATGGTAGCAGCAACTACCTGGTGTTGCAGATTTATGTGATGCTGGGACTGTGCCTGGTGATGCTGATGATGCTGCTGCTGCTGCTGTTGGAGCTGATGCTGATGAGTGAGTATTTTCGGGCTGACTCCATCTGGCTGTTCACCCAGCCTGCAAACAAACAGGCAAGTAACCGCACAAGCACACGTACCATGATACAGAGCACACTAGGACCTAAGAAGAAAGCGGAAGAGGCCACTAGGCCATCTCTGAAAAAAATCTGGGGCGTAGGGAAAGGGGTTATTGATAAACACCTGCAGGCATGATGTTTGTTTGAAAAGAAAAAAGAAACTTTCCCACACCCACATTACCACCACCAGCTTTACAATCGTGTTGGGAAACACAACCAGCTTAGGAAGTTTTGCTCGTGCCAGGCAACCACCATGCCTGATTATACCATGGTGGCAGACGTAGCGCCTAACGGCGTTTGTTTCATTTGATAAATGAAATCATGACCTCAAACAAGGACACTCACATGTATATAAAACAGGTTTACTGCAAAAAGAACCTACCACATACTCCGACCACGGCCGTGCCTTTCCATATCAGAGAGCAGGGATGGCCTGCGTCGAGATCTTTGCACGAGCACAAACACATACAGAGTATAGTTACATTTATAAAGACAGGCAAGTCTAACAAATGAGGGCTGAGACCTCTACAACAGGTTTTTATGCCTGCAAGCAGGTGCATGATTTAACAAGCAGGTTGTCAGTCTAGATTTTATGCGCAGATGGAGAAAATGCGCAGAATTATTATTATGAGATAAAAAGCAGAAATAATAAGAAAAGATGAAATGAAAGCCTGCTCATAACCCCACCCAGCCTTGCGAACTGGGAATGGTGGATTAAGAACCCGGGTTCAACGCTCGAGCAAGCGCTCTCCACTCAAGGTGTTCACAGCAACTGATAGGAACACATAGGGGGAAATGAGAGAGAGAGAGAGAGAGAGAGAGAGAGAGAGAGAGAGAGAGAGAGAGAGAGAGAGAGAGAGAGAGAGAGGGAGGGAGGGAGGGAGGGAGGGAGGGAGGGAGGGAGGGAGGGAGGGAGGGAGGGAGGGAGGGAGGGAGGGAGGGAGGGAGGGAGGGAGGGAGGGAGGGAGGGAGGGATGGAGGGAGGGAGAGAGGGAGGGAGGGAGAGAGGGAGAGAGAGAGAGGGAGAGAGGGAGAGAGAGAGAGAGAGAGAGAGAGAGAGAGAGAGAGAGAGAGAGAGAGAGAGAGAGAGAGAGAGAGAGAGAGAGAGAGAGAGAGAGAGAGAGAGAGAGAGAGAGAGAGAGAGAGAGAGAGAGAGAGATGTAGTACATGTGATGTTAATACCAGGTAAGCTACATAACACATTTATATACAGTGGCCACATACATTGGCATTGGCCACAGTGCCGGAGAGCTCACTAAAATTAATACAGACAAAAATGGATAAAAATTATCCGTCAGTGTCATTTATCAGTGTCTGTAAGTGGGCTGCTTTATGTCATTTGCTTCGTCTAAGATTACCAACATCATGTGGTTCGGGTGCTGCTTGTTTTAAGCCTCTTTTCATTTGTCTCAACATCCCAGTCCCTGCAAGAGTTGTATTGCTGTTGTTGAAGCTGCCACCTGTACCTGGCAATCAGCAATCATTCTTGTTGTTGTTGTTATGGTTGTTGCTGTCGTTGTTGTTGCTGTTGCTGTGTTGTATCCTTCTACTGAGGTATTCTACGCGTACAACTGTTGTGTGTTGAGGCCCATGGTTATTGATGACACAGATACAGAGGCAGGCATGACTGCAGGTAGTGGATGTTGCCGTGGAGCACATACTTAGGTCTAAATGACCGTACAGTTGGTGATAACAATGAAAGCAGGATGAGCTGCTTTAGATGTTCAGGCAGACGTGGAATGGCCCTACCGACATGCAGGCTAGCACACAACCGAAATTAAGTTAGCCTGATTTTCCCAATCTTGGGCTCTCCGGAAAGCTCTTCTCAGCGCGAACACAATGAGCTATCACCCAGCAAAATTGGAGCTTTCAAGCCCAGCTCTACAGCCTAGCGAGGTCACCATATCGCTGGGAATGCTCTCAATCCCTTTCTCCTTCGGCCATTCCAATGTCCTTGCTCGCCCAGCTCTGATTGTTTTTACACTCCCGCAGCAGGTAGCCAGCACTAGGATCTACGCAAAATTTCGGATGACTGGCACTTGAGAACCAGGGAAATTCCCCGCTTCATACCCGGAAATGTGCTCGGAGCGAGAAAAGTGCTGTCACCCAACGTTCGAGCGTGATATCTTACCAACCATTGGAGGTATCGTGAAAACGATTACACTAACGGAAAGCTGAGGTTTTTGGCTGACCTACATACTTCGATTTTCACGATGCAATGTTTGACTGGTTTATGGCTGTTTGAAGTCATCGACGGAATACCGTCTCAACACTGTGAACGAATGTATTGTGCTGAACAGTCACAACGTAAACGGAAGAATGGGTCTTGTTCACTGTAGACTTCACGATTTGACTGTCTCGTCAGGATTCTCCTGTCCAAGCAGGATAACACCATGACGCTTATCCGCTGTGATGACTTCGAATAGTCTCCAATTACGGTACATATCACATTGTGTATTTCTAGTGGTAAAACGAATATACCGAATGTTCGTTCGGTTTGTCACATTCGAACGAATATTACTCTGACATGGCGAATATTCGTAACGTCACTTCGAATGCAGTGCATGTACATGCATGCAACCGAGCACAGTAAGTGAAGTGCGTACAGGATGCCCTGTGATTTTGTGCTGCATGCGTGCACATGTGTATGCTCATACTGGACTGCCAATGTTGTACATAAATATTACATAACATGTATGAACTTCCAAGTAGCCTTATAATTGTAGCAGTATATTAATTGTTATGTGGCACTACCGTTTGTTATGCCTAATAACAAGAGTACATGTACAGTAAAACCTGTGACTACCGACCACCCCTTGGTGCCAGCAAAAGCGGTCTTTAGTACCAGGTGGTCTTTAGTTAGAGGTTTGCACCGCGTGACCATATAATTATGGATCCCATTATATGATATGTATGTCAAAATGCAGCTAATACAATTCCCCAGGACTTGCGCAATGTCATTCTTATTTCAGTTCAAACAACACTTCGAGAGAAAGATGGAGAGATGGATAGAGACACAGAGAGAGAGAGAGAAGATTAATTTTTTTGCAGACTTCAAATTCAGCTGCTACTTCTGAAGCCAGGAGTCAAACGTTCCCTGGGGAAGTTTCGTTTTGCGCTGGGCTCCAAATTTGTTCATGCGATCAATTGTACCGACTGTCCTTGTTGTGACTCCTCGATTGCTTGAACGCGATCCTTCAGCATCAGGACCTTGTGGTGCTGCTTTGCTTCTAGATTCCTTGATGCCATCGTCGATCCGTCTGTATGACTGGGGTGACAGAGCCGCCCAGTCTTCGTTTCTCCTCCGAGTAGTAATATCGATCAGAGAGCGCTTTCCATGCGCTCTCCAAGACGTTTCCTATCATGTTTATTCTTGACAGCGCTTGAAATTTTGACAGGTGTAGTGCAGTCCACACCGACTCCACAGTCAAAATTACCTGCGTTCATTTGTTCAGCTGTAGTATCGAAAGATTCCATTCAGGACCATGGAAAATCAGCAAAATTTCTAGAAGGAGCTTCGAGCAACATTTGATTTCCCACATCGCGGTCGCTAGTTACGGGTCAAAAATCGTCTTTGGGACAAGAAAAGGCGGTCGTTAGTCGCGTTCAGCAGGTAGTCGCTAGTCACAGTGCATTTTGAATGTGAGACCTTCCGTGCCTGGCGAAGTGGTCGGTAGTACCAGGCTGGTCGCTAGTCACGGTGGTCTTTAGTTACAGGTTTTACTGTACATAAACCAGAATGTGCAACTCAGGATGGTTCCTGAGGGAGCGTAATCCGTGCAGTATGTCATTTCTGACGGCATGGTGGTGCACACCACATGGTGGTGCCACAGGTACGGTGAAAAGTTGCGTAACCGGTCGCGGTGGTGCAGGTCACTGAGTTTGTCCTGATTTCGATTTTTTGATACAGATAGCCCGGTGAATTTACTTGCCAGCGGATGTACGCAGCATACACAGTCACACAAAAACACCGAAATCCTAAAACAGGACGTCTAAAATCATGCAAACGTGGCTGATTTCCGGGCTGTGAAACACGAAAATGTGAGCTATACGCAAGTCGCGGCTTGGCTGACCTCATCATAGTGACGTAGTGCACGAACTGCGCTGTTTCAGATCTGGTATGTACAGTTGCACACTCTGGTTTACGTACTCTTGCTAATACCGTAATAGTGACACTATAATTATATCCAGTCAAATGACTACAGATGAAGAGAAAACTGTGGCTAGCATACTGAATGGAATGTGAACCTACTACGTGTACAACTTTAGTATATGTATGGACTACGACACACTGCCGTGACAAAATATAACCAACTGGAAACTAATATGGCTGCTAAGTTCTAACTCACCTTTGATTGTCCATTTCACTGGTGAGAATGAGTAACTCCAGAAACACTCACTCCTCAGGAATTCACGCGTTCAGTCAGAGTCCAGTGCATGGGGGCGTGCAGCCAAAGTATCAAGTACACTGACTTCGCGATACGGGGAACACGTTGCACTCTAGCTACTACAACTACAGGCTACATAATATTCTAACTGTATTTCGCAGAGGCCAGGATCCGTGAACAGCATGTTCCAAATAATTGAAAATCTCTACCATAAAATGAAAACCTTCAGCATCAAGAAATACGGTCGGGCCAAGCTTTCATCTGCATGTAAATGTAGTTAGTTAGCACTACTCTCATCTCTCAAACTCGGCGTTCCTCTACTCAACTATCATTATACTGGTAGCTACAAAGTAGTGCACACCGCTGACGAAGAAGAAAGCAAAGCCCTTGCTACAGTAAGTAGAGGATCGGAATAAACAGATACTGCGAAAGTCTGGCAGAAAAGCTTGCTACAACAATCAGCATGCTGTTTTGTAGCAAGTGATTTTTTGAAAACAGTTTTGTTTTGGGAGTCTTCAGCTACAATGGGGCAACTGAAATCCGACCCCCTTGCCGGCGCGCCGCGCCAGCAGGGTGGTCGGATTTCAGTTGCCAGCACTGTAGTTGTCTGAGTGTCAGTCATAAGATTATTACCAGTGCAGGAGTCAGACAGCCAGTGCAGTACTAGGGCCAGTTACAGTGTACTGACTACCATGACTACTGTAGTAGTACTAGTACCAAGAGTATTGACCCCGCGCGGCGGGTTATGTACTCTTCGTACAGTCCGTAGATCTACGCCAGTTCAGAAAAAGTCGTAGGTGCCGTTGGTTTGTACAAGGGTTTCGCTATTTCCTGCTTATTTAATTAGAAAGAGATATTTAATAGCCAACAGTGTATCCTCCAATTTTGGCTTGTGCAAAAAATCCGACAGCGGTGATACCAACCTTTCGTCAACACTGTATTTTTGACACATTTTGACACACATGTCTTCAATTGGTGGACTTAGGAACGACCGACAGAATCGTTCAAGGGGGCCTAGTATTCTGCGATGCACCAGCCAGACCATTGTATCCGTAGACCACAAATTTACAAACAACGCGAACCCCCCAACAGGTTGCTGGAGCTCCAAACACAAACCCTCGCAGATCAATGCATGTGCCTATACTTGTATGTACAACAGCAACAATATCAAGCCAAATACAGTACTGAGGTGGGAAAGAAATATTAATAATTCATGCAGAGAGGATGACACTACAAACACAGCACCTGAGCGAATGCAGAATTGAAGTAAAAAAATGGCATCTGCGGATGGCCAGGATACGGTGCTACTATTTACAGAACAACCGCCACAAGCTATGACACAAAGTCTCGTACCTTCATTCACGGCGGACGCATGGAGCAAAGAATACGTTTACCACACACCCGTACATACATGCACACGTGAATTGACACGTGTTCATGCGCTTTTTTCCAACAGACCCACACACATCTGGATGTACATGTAAACGCACAGACATGTACACGTCCGTACGTGCACGAATATACACACCCATAAACATGCACACACACGCGCACATCCGCTTAAGTATGGGAGCATATGTGCACGAAGCATCACGTGATTGCATTCACAAGTTTATACAAGCCAGCCAGGTAATGAATGCATACTTGTAGTTGTGTGGTAGCTGCTACAACGAATGGAGCATTGGCTAAATATTGCAATAAGGAGAGTGTTATGATAGTCATGCAAAGGTTCTGCTGTTATCAACGAAGTGCACGCCTCCCATGCTAATTTCAAGATCCATTGTACTCTTCTTTGCAACATACTTCGTGCAGCTTGCATCCAATCGTAGGCATCACGAGTCAAGGCAGCAGCCACATGGACCAGTAAGATTCACTGATATTGAGGATTTGGACCAGGGTGCTGTTCCGATCAAACTTGCAATAACACCTTGTTGAGCTGGGTCTTCCCCACTGGCACAGCCACCTTGTGTGGCCCTACCATTAGTGGTCTCTGCCAGTTGCCTTCATTTCATTGGTAGGGTTGTGTTTGACGAAAAGCCCACTTGACTGCCTTCCAGCATAATTATAGCTTTCAAATGTAAGTGTGATGTATTGATATCACAGACATGCTGACGTTGGGTACATGCCTCAAGGCTAGTCAATAGAAGTGATAGTCATACATCACTTCAAGCTAGGACCACTCCAGTGGGAGAAATGAGGTGATCCACTGTTGTCCGCTGGAAGCGTTTGACCCTGTTGACCATGGTGATATCTACATAGGCATCAATACACAGCTGGAAAGTGAAGTGTGCACACACAGACGCACACACACACGCACACGCACACAGACACACACACGTACGCACACACATACCAAGCAGCATAGCACCACAATTTCCACCATGTAAAGCAGCAAGAGTATCACCCCCCCCCCCCCCCCCAAGCATGTGTATGCACCGAGTACATGTACATGTACATGATTATGCCACAGGGGATTTTTTTAATGCAGGTGCACAGACCCTGGGTCAATGGCATTGGTCATGGGTTTCATATTTATCTCTTAACTATAAATTGATAAAACGGCGAGGAGACAACAATTTGATAACCGCAATCAGTATTTTTTTCTCTACACAATTTCTTCACATTTTCATCGTTTTATTGCACATTGTCTCCACAGTTTTACATTAGATGAATACAGTGTACACAAAATGTCGATCCAGCTTGTATTACTGATTGCGGTTATAAATTGATAAGTCAATAATAATTTTGCTCTTCTGTTTCATGCATTGTGTGTAAAATACCAATATACAGGCAAATTGTACTAAAGTACAAGTACCATACAGCTCTGCATCAATTTTGCCAATGCTGTTGATTGTACATTGTTCACAATCGCTGCCATTTCTCATAAATAATAATTATTGTCATGCAGTATAGTTACGAAATACCAGGGAGTCGTAAAATATTTTACGACTCCCTGCGAAATACACCGCCGGCGCCAGGATGCCACAATACAAAGATGGCTACACTTTTTCAACAAACATGCAATTATTGCGAAAAAATAAATATTTCCATAATTTCGTGCCGTTGGTTTGTACACAATTTCAGGGCTAAAATAACCTTACCCTGTCATGGCGATATCTCTGAGGAGTTGAATTCACCTAGTCTCCCTTGTGCAAAAAAATCCCTCGTGGTGCTGCCAGCTGCAATGTAATGGCAACCCAGAATAGGGTGAAAATCGAAAACGATAAATTCCTCGCCTCCCGTCCATCCAACTGCGCTGGTTGCATCAAGTACGATGTTTAGAAGACGAGTGGCATCCGACTAACAACTGGCAACATATTTCTTGAAGAAGGAAGCCCTCATTTCACCGACTGGCCTCGAGGTAGGCAACAAATCGACCAACAATTTACTGGCCGGCGTCGTCATCTTTCCCTGCATAACGTCTGCATGTATGCACAGTATCAAGAGTAGATAAACAAGAGTGTGCAACTCGCGGATGGGTTGACCCACGGCGGAATTTTTTGTTGACGTAATCTTTTCGACGACGCACGCGCTGCGAGCCTTTTGGAGAGTTTTCCCTCGTGCACTTGGCTGGGCTTTACACTACAAGGCCGGTGCCCAGCACGTGCTCTCACACTGCTCTGCGGCAAAGCCGCGTTTCTCTGAAAAAAGGTGACGTAAACAAAAAATTCCGCCGTGGGCGCGGGGTATCTGCAGATTGTGCAGGAGAGATCCGGAGTTGCACACTCTTGTTTATCTACTCTTGACAGTATGGTTCCCGCGCAGAAAATAAAAATCGGGCCAAAACCATGAAAACAGGGTCTGGCGCACGGACTGCACTGAAGTATGCCAGATCAGAGCAAAAGCTGGTGATGGTTTATTTTTGTTACTTACCTCTGACACGTACTAGTACTAGCCCTTATATTATAAGCCCTTGGGAGGTTATTATTATTATCTCTTGGTATCACGTATAACGTTATCAATATTATAAGTAGGTTGGGCCGTGGCTGTTTTCTTTGGAAGGAAGTTCTGTGGAGGTCGAGACGACGGAATGTCAAGGTACATGAACTACAATTGACTCCATTTATAACAAACTCGCATATACTGAGTAGCGAATTTCGTGATTAGGCCACCCTTTGTTAATTCATTGTTTAACGTCCTTTTTTTCGCGAAAAGGTACGCGGGAGGGCGAAAAAAAAGCCCATTCCAAAAACTGGAAACCCCAATCAAACATTTTGACCAGTAAACTCGGCATGTGATATATACAATATTTCTGGGTCTAATGGCACTTGCAGGCATAGAACAACACTCTTTGATGGTACATTGGAGCACATGCCTGATGAATCCAACAAAACAGGTACATAGCATGGAGTTAGCATGTCATGAATTCATTACATCTGGATTTTTACTAGGACACACACCGTACGATATTTAAAAGCCAACAAAAAAAGAAAAAGAACACAAGACAAAGGCATGCCCGGGAGGCAAGATTATAAGTTTAAGGTCATGATCGGCACGATGTGAAACTACACAATCATGTATTTACAACTTCGCATATTATTGGTACTACTACTTTCTTGTTTTTTTTTTCCGGTCGGAGGCAAAAAGGTATGCGGGCGCGGACGTTAAACAACGAAAAAAGAAAGGGTGGCCTTACAGCGAACCCTTGTCCATGTCCCTGTTTGAACCCATACAAATTGACCCTTTATAGTGAAGAGTTTTCGTTTATAAGGAACCAAATAAAATATTGTAGGGCCACTTGCCAGTACAGTCTAGTCATAACTTGCTGCTTGTATAGTGTGAGTGCATTTCTGTTATAACGAACTTCGGCTATAAAGAACTAATACTCCTGCACAATGGGGTTCGTTATAATCATCAGGAGTCGACTGTACCGGTAATGGTAACTGATTACATGTACTTTAATCAATACAAGCTCGTAGGTGCAAAATACACTCACTTTTGAATTTAGTCAGTGTTTACAAGTCAAAGTACGACTCCCTGATGCTACTGTGCTAAATCAAGAGTAGATCTACATGAAACCCAGGGAGTTGACTTCCTGATGAAACCCGGATTTCATGTACTCTTGGTTACATGTACATACCGCATGTCAGTGCCTTTAAAGCCATGGTCTTATATTCAAAACACCGCTGCTTTCCTAGGCTATCCTACCTATTTTTAGATGCAAAATGACTCCCCCACTACGTCATGCCATAAAAGTGAAAGCCTAAACAGAAATTTAACTTGAAATCTACTTGTTCACCCTTCCTCATGGGCTGTAAGTTTGTTAGTATAGTACTTATTCCTTCATTTTTACAAAACATACTTCAAATGCCAATGGCTTTATAACTGAGACTGACTTTATAATCTAACATACCTCCATGGCTTTAAAAAGGTGCGCACCGATACGGTAATACATGTAGACTTGTAGTGCTGCATGACATGTACTGTCCCCGGGGAAAATTGCAATTCCGCGGCCGCG